GCAGGGTTACCTTTCACGGCTTATACTAATAATCTTATACCAGTTTATAGAGCTTCGCCCAGAATTATTGATTTCATTACCTATATAATTAAACTGGTAAATAGGAATTCCCTCTCCCAGTCTTTCAGGGGGGAGTGGCCAGTCAGCGTCATATGAAATTGCTCCAAAAATAATAGAGAAACCCCCTTTAAAGTGAGGGTCTAACATTTGTGTTTATTTTATTTTATAGCTATTCTATTGCGCTTTTAACCTACATACACAATTAAACCAAAAATGTATAAAACATTTTTTACTAAACTGAAAAAGTAAACATTTTTTGTCAAAAATTTGTATTTTTAAAAATAAATCAAGTAAAACTTCAAATAATTTCCTATTTACTACGGTTTTTTATTTAATTTTACTATTCGACTGAAAAATACATACCTAGGAGGCTAAAATGGCCTCCTTAAAGTACCTTCCCAGTACATTAAAAAAAGGTGCTATTCTTAAAAATTGGAACAAGATTTCTGATAGAAAAGTTGTCCGCACAAAAAATAAAATAAACATCATTGTAATACTATATGCTTCTTCACTCCATTCAAATCTAAAAATACACAAATATATAATATAAAATATTATATAATAAAAATATTATATTATATTAATGTATATAATAATAATAAATAATAATACACACCTTTCTTAATATATTTTAATGGCAAAATAGCTAAATTTTGTATCATATGAACTATTTGACGAATATTTTACTTGTCTTTATATTTTGTAGATAATCCTATGCTTTACGCCAAATGCTCTAAAAAAGATGATAAAATAAATTGATAATAATATTGAAGTTTTTATTTTGACAAACAATAATTCAATGAATTAAATCGTGTATTGTTCACATTTTAAAGTCAATACTTATAGTTTTTAATTCAGCTCAGAAACCTGTACTTTTAAATTTTGATGAAAGTTCAGCATAGATCACATTAATTTTTCTTTGTAATGGAATTGAAGTATTTTTAATACATGCATGAATTATATACACTTGATAAGATTCTTTAGATTCTTAAGATTTATTTTAATGTTTTCATTATCATAATATATCAAAACCGGTTTTGGTTTGTATCTTCCTATAGTAGTCTGAATACTATTTATTTTCAATTCCAATAGGAAATAAGCGAAAGATACTTATTATTCCAAATTCGTCTAATTGATTTTTTGACTGATTTTCCATTTGCCAATAATGCCACTTGCTTCTCTTGATAAATTATTTATTTCTCCTGAAAAAAGTCTAGAAGGAGTATTGAAATTGTTCTGAGCTTTAGTTTTCATATTCAAAATTACTTTTGCTACTTATTCTACTTACGCCGATGAAGGTTGATGGTATTCATGTTCAATATTTTTCAAAACATTTAAAGTCATTTGATTAGTTATTATACGAGATCTAACTTACTAAGGAAACATTTATTCCTTTTTTTTCCCCCACAAACTTTCATCTAATTTTTTCACCTGCAAAATTGTTTTGTTTTGCATAAATATATACACTATTCAGCTCCCTTTGTCTGCATTAATAACCTGACTTTGATTTATTCAGAAAAACAATTATTCATATTAAAATATCTGTACGGGGGGGGTGAATATCCGTATTAAAAATATACAGAGGGGAAAGTCCCACTCCATCAAAAATAGCTAAGGAGAAAATAACCCGGAGAATATCCGAGATTCAACTAAACTGACTAATACCTTCCTGATCTTAACATCTACTCTTGGGATGAACTGCGATATAATTTTTAGTTAGGGCTTTAATTTAATTAATAGGAAATTTTTAATTTTACAGTGGTTAACTATTCGAGTTCGATTTCTCACAATATACGTATATCATATAAGAAATTTAAATAATATTAAACAATATATTATTTATTATCAATTTAATATTATTTCATAAGTTTCTGGCAGATATTTTTGCAAAATAATTTGAGACAAATTTGATACAAAAAATATTATGTCCTCTCATTTGCTGATTACGTTTTCCGAAACCTTAGAACGGGCGAAAACCTGTAGTGTCTGCAATATGATTTTTCCCCCCTTGTACTGGCTAATTGACAGATAAATATTAGCAAACTATATTATAGCCGTCACATTCTCGTTTCAATTAGATGAAAAAACTGTTTCTACGCAGACAAAGTAACTTCATTCCCCCATCCCTATAGGTCGAAAACACATGGAACTCCCACGTCATACAATTTTCCAATCAACATATTTTTAATACTCTCATTGTTTTGCTTTCCATGTGGCATCGAAATAATAATATTATTATGAACACACAAAATGTATTAACCTCATTAGATTGAAATATGGTATTGCTTATCTTATTTGACATTGCAGTTCACAAATTATAGACAGTTTTTCAATTCTTAGCACCGATTAAAGTATTAAATTTGCACCTATAAACCGTGAAGTTTTTACACAATCATAACTATATTGGTATTCTGCAGTATTATTGCATTATTTTTTGCTTGTAGGAGATGGATAAACCATATTAATATTACTATTACTATATTGTAAGACTATAAATAGTAGCAAATGGTTATTTAATATTTGGTTATTTTTACAATTTTCAAAACAGCCGATGAACGAGAGAAAAAATAACCGAAATCTTTAACCTCGATTTATTTTATTGAAGTAATTTCTGTAGTTGTCTGTAGACCAGTATGGAACAAATTGGTGCATGGATCATGTCAAAAATTATCTAGTACATGAAAAATTTAAATTTAAACAAAATTAAAAATAACACACAGCGTTAATTTCGTAAATTGTCCACTTCTTTCTACGTTTCTTTTCGTTTATGCTCAATATTATTAAAAGAACTACAAATAAAATCAAAAACGGTATTCTTACTTACCGGTTGGTAAGATTTAAAATACAACGAAAAAGAACTCTTGTCATTTTTTATTGGAGCAATATTTCTGGTAAAAAAAATAAAGCTTAACAATTTAAATTAAAGGAATTAATAACGCAGTCAATTTTTCAATTTTCTTTTTCGTATTTTTCTGATTTTTCCTAACCCAAAATAACTTTTTTCATGCAATACAAAATGCTAATCTAAAACTAGTATTACTTATTTAGATAGGTACATATGAATAAAACAAAAATAGAGGCGATACTAGGGACGGGTGCAGCATCTGTTGTAAATGAGAGGTTGTGAGGGATACATAAAGTTATCAAATTTATATTTTTACGTAAAGATAATCCATTGCTAACGAAAAACAATTCGAAGCAAAGTCCAGTTTGAAATGCCGTAGTTTTTAAGATTTTTGTCAAAAGTTAATCTTAAAACGCGTATGAAAAAATTTACTAATTCAATAAACTCATAATTATGTTTTAGAACACTAAGATGAAAATTTTAATGTATCTTGAGTCAAATTTTCAATAATTTCCCTTAAGAAGTATAATATTTTAATAACAGACACCTACCAAATAAAAATACACATAAAAACACGTAAATATCAATTACCTATAAATAGCCTGTAAATAGTTATAATATTTTGAAGAATTAACCACGTCTACAAAAGGCTAATATCAGTGTTCTGAGGAAAATACACATCTTTACAATAATTTTTTACCAAATAACAACATAAAACAAATTCCTTTTTTTTTTTCATTATTAGGAAAACTTCTCGGCTGAACAACGACTGTTTAGTTTGTAAGTAATAAAGTCTATTACTTACAAACTAAACACAATATATATTTTCTAATAGAAAATATACTAATCTTAAAATTTAGATAAATATTTCTAGAAGAAAACTATAATCTTTGTCATTTTAAGTATACATTAGTTATCAAAAAACGACTTTATTTGTCAGTGGCTATATATTAAAAGGAACAAAATCGATTTTTGTCAATTTTCGATTGGTGCAATATCTCTAGTAAAAAAACATCGTGTGTACAAATGTATAAAATATTGAAATCGGTAACGCTTTTTCGCGCAGTAAATATTTGCCGTTTTATCTATAATTTTCTTTTGAGTTTTTCCCAATTATTTTGAAAACCCCTTAGAAAATCAAGGAATGGTCCATTGAATGTACCAGATAGAAAAAATTTCTTTTCAGAAATGGCGTTATACTTGATACTTCGAAGCACTTTCTGGTAGAAAAATTGTTCACAGACAGGAAAAAAAAACACATTATAGTAAAATCAATTATAGATCCCTCGCTACATTCCGAAACTAGAATGAAATATAGGTGAAAAAAATTGTTTACCTATATACGAAAAATGATTTCAAGCTTTGCTTAGTGTATTACTTTTAGCATAAATTAAAAATAAGAGTAATTTGTTTTATAAAAAAAAATTTGTATTTAGGTTCAATTTTCTCGTTTTTATCATTCTTCGAAATATATTTATGTTTTACAAATTAATGTTTGTACCTATTTTATGTCAAAGTTTACAGTTTGTGAGTTCTGTAACTGTACATCTATTAAATTGGACTCGTTCGATCTTCAAAACGTCCCCCCCTCCCTTAGTTAGATATATTTTAAAAGCCATCTTTATTTCAGAATTTGTAATTTATTAACTCGACCCAAACTTCGTATTTTGTGTTAAAAATAACCAAATTGTTCTTCAGCACTTCCAAGGGTTTTCAAACGAGGTTATCACCATGCATACACAATTAACAATATTATATTTTAATGAAATAATCAGGTACAACGGTCGGATAATAATACAATTATTAGATCGATGATAATAACAGACATCATATCACTTATCTTATAATTATTATTACTTACATAATATTATTACAGCAGCGAGGAATGAGCGTGCTTCGGTAAATTATCTATACATTTTCTCGGCTCACGACACACATTCAACTAGTAATTTATGTAGATTACGCATGTATATAATAATATTATTGTACCTAAGTATGCTTACATAACAGAATCTGATTAACCTAATCGACGGTCGACAAGCCGTATCTGTACTACCTATGAACGTCGATTTGTGCGTCTTCAGTTCTCAATCGACTTTTGTCCGTACAGCAACAACAATTAATAACATAATATCTCGTATAATGTTATGAACCTACAGTACCAAAACAAGTTTGCATTTAGTTTTTGTCTATTACTACACTAGAAATCATTTTTTATTATTATTATTTTTTTTTTCAAACAACACATACAAAATATCATATTACTGGTGAGTTATTTTTACATTATCATAATTTTTTTAAATCATATTTTGATTTATCACACGTGCTCGCGTGAGAGGACTGTATTATAGGCTACATCATATGGCTGGCCTACATACCAGGCATTTGCCGAATGTTATAAATCCTTATAAAATTAAAAAGCTGTCCTGGAATAATGGAAATGAGTGCAGCCACTGTTGTATGTGGGAAATTGGGAAGGTATGATATAGACGAGAATTTAATGTATATATATCCACAACAGTAAACCATTACTAACGAAAAAATGATTCCGAGTTCAGTTGATAGTGTTGCTTTATCAACAATATATATGTCATATTATGGTAAAATAATTACATATGTATTTTTTTTAGTAATATTTATTTAATTTCGTACCTATTTCCATGTTTTTCCCCATTTTCCTCGGGTTTTTTCCTATTTTTTTCCATTTGTTCGAAAAATCAAAAAATGATTTCCCTAAAGTACATCTCCAGTCAAATTTTCTTTCAAAAAAAGTGCCATCATTATTAACTAGAAAAAAATTGATAGCAGAAAAGTTATCTACAGAAAAAAAAAATAAATAGACATTATTATAAGACCAATACATCCCTCGCTCCACTCGGAATCTAAAATGCAAGTTTTTGACCTTTTCAAATGTATTATTATACAAATATTTGTTTCATTTATTACAATAAGGTGAGTTTTTCGTGACATTTTAGGTTTCAAAGTACATTCTTAGTTAATAATGGCATTTATTTGTATTGTATTTTAGATTTTAAGCGAAGCAAGGAATTGGTTTATGTATTGGTTTTACAATGATAATAATTTTTATCAAAAATATTACTCCGGGGTATTAAGTTTTGCACCTTTCCTGGAAGTAAATTTTATCTAGTTGTTACTTTTAGCAGGTTATTTTTTAATTTTTCGAACTGTTTTCATATTAATTGGTAAAAACGAAAAAATGAAAACTGATAAATTTACGACGTATGATTTCTTTTTTTTATATTTGTACAGCCAGTATTTTTACCACTATAAGTGTTCTAATATAAAAACAACAAGATACCTCTTTTATTGAATTTCGAATTTAATTGGTGAATAAGAAAAGTCGATTTTTTTATAATTGAGAAAAACCGAAAAACGTAAAAAGAACGGGAAAAATTATGAAAATAATGCTTTTATTATTTTCAATTTTTTTTTTTTTTTCTGTAATTCAGTTAAAAATATTCTTAGAGATTATTGTAGTGTTCTTTTTTTAACAAGTGTTTTAATGTCAATTATTAAGTCGTAAATATTACGGCTTTTCAAAATTTATACAATCGAATTTGGCTTTAAATCGTTTTTTATTAGCAATGGTTTATCGTTCCTTATAGATGTAAATTAAATAGCTATTTGCATCTTACCCTCCCGACTTCCCATACTTTTACATACGTATTAAACAATACTTCATTCAAAATTATCTATGACTATTGAATTAATAAAACTTAACTTAGGCCAATGGAGAAAAAGCCGAAGTTTCTTGGGCCCCTCCCTTAAATCCACCACTGGATAAGAATTAAAGATATTGTGCTATCACATAAGATTGCGTAAACTTGTTTTAAAATGCTTCGATATTGCGAGAACAAAAATCTGTATAGGTCTAGTATAGAGAATAGACGGCCTAACTTTTGTTTATTAGTTTTGGGTACACCACTTTTTTGTATTAATGGAAGTTATATTTCTCTTTCTATATTGTTCTGTTGTAATATACAATGCCACAACGATTTTGTCCATAGATATCATTGACAATAAAATTATCATTAATATTTGATATTAAAATTAAATTACATTTTTATTAGTTGATATTTAAATTTATTTAGTATTATTTACTAAGTAGTTTTAAGATTAAAGTTAAGTTCAAATCTAAATTATTAAACAGTTTTTTAATTTACAAGCTAAACCAATGTTCTAATAACTAGAAAGTCCAACAAAATTGCCTTAATAATAATTGCCCAATAATGGTGTAGTGCATCTGTAAAAGTTACAAATTAATAAATGCAATAAAAATTCTAATTTCATAAATAATTATACCTATGGTATATAAGTGAAAATCTTAATCAGAAACCTGTTTAACTCATTTCGTGGCGGTTTCCTCACTGCTTCATATCAAAAAAAAGACGGACATACTTCGTACGATGGGTGCAATCACTATTATTAAAGAGAAATTGGGAAGGTAGGATATAGTGGAGAAATTAATTTGTATCTCTAAGCAACGATAAACCATTGTTTACTAAAAATGATTCTGAGCGGAGTTCAATTGATAGTGATGCTTTGGCAACAATATATATGTCATATTACAATAAAATAATTAAAAAGGCATTATATATTTTCTTTAATAATATTTGTTTAATATTGTACCGTTTGCCCGTTTTTTCTACGTTATCACACTTACTGGGAAAAATTTTGTGAAAATCGAAAAGTGACTAAAGTACTCTCCCAGTGAATTTTCCTTTCAGAAAAAGTACTGTCATTGTAAATTGGAGAAAAATTGCTGGTAGAAAAGTCGTCTACAGAAAAAAAAAATCGTTTTACTAATATATTTCGTACATTTTCCTGTTTTTCTCACTTTTTCCCTTTTATTGGAAAACTGCCGGGAAAATCAAAAAGTTACCCCCTAAGTAATACCCCAAGAAAATTTCCTTTTAAAAAAAGGGTCTACATCGTATACATCAGAGTAAGCTTTCTGGTAGAAAAAATGTTTACATAAAAAAAAAGAAAAGAAATAAACATCTTTGTAAAACACATACATTGTTCACTACACTCAGAATCTAAAACATATTTCTTTGAATACATCTAGGTATTCTTAAAAAACCATCGATTCCTATAGGTAATCTTCAAATATTTTAAATACAAACTGTATAAAGTAAATTATATTGTCATCGAATATAACTTGAAGTGGTTTTTAGTATTAATTAAACACAATATTATTTTATCAGTATTGTTAATAACTATTAAATATTTTAAATGCTATGAAATTTATATTTGAAACATCAAACACGTGCAATGCATGTTATTTTTATGAATGAATGAACTACCTATATTACGGAAAATAAAGTGGCTAATACACAAAATATTAATTTCCCATAATACGCGTTATTGAGTATATCATTGTTTAAACAATAATTGAACTTATCTCTTGAGTCGTCGTTTTAATTGATTATTATTTATAGTATTTTTTAGTGCTATTAATAATTTATAAGTGTTTGTTTGGATGATTTAGAAATGTCTGATAATTCTTTAATCGACTTACTTACCACGTTTTTGTTTAATCTATAATTTTTTATGAAAGCGTGTACTAAGTGTGTAATAAAATTCAAAGCTAAGCAAACCACTAGTTGCAGACTTGAGTTCATATATTTATATAGGTAGTTAAATGATTCTGGTATTCGGCTCGGGATTTCATGGTGCTATTGCGAGTACTTGGATACGTTTTTACTATTCGAGCCTGAACGAGTTGAAGACCCCGATCGAATTAAACGAGAATAAAAAAAAAAAAACAATACTAAAATTGTAACGTACCAAGAGTCTCATAAAGATATACCCATTGTAACGTCTTTGAAGATAATAAAGATGATCAAATTCCGATTTTTTTTTTTTTATACACATTGACAAGGCCTACAAATATTTATATTTTGAGTTTTCATAAACAGTTTAAAAAAACTTTTTATTTTATTATTTTTTAAAACACTTGAAGATAGCCATTTAATAAAGTTTATTCCTCTGAAAATTTTGACATATTAACTATTGATTTTCATGAAATTCGTGATTTTTAATAATGTTTTAAAGTTCAGAAAGTTAAAAATTTTAAAGTGCCTATAATTATGCAGCAGGCTAAAATCGCATTAGCTAATTAATTATTATTATCATGAATAATTTATTGTATAATTTTTTTTCTCTAAACAATGTGTATAATATCTTCGTGGGACACTCTGTATAATAAAGATAAATCGCACGTACGCTCATTAAAAAAAGAACTAATATTGTAGATGGATGCGGCCACTGTTGTAGGTAGGTAGGTAGTGGAGAAGGTGGAATACATAAAGTTATTAAATTTTTACCTGTAACCAACGACAAACCATTGATAACGAAAAAAAATTCAGAGCGAAATTCGGATATTTGTGTTTTGAAAGGCCGTAATATCTACAATTTTTATCAACATTTGATTTTAACTCTTTTATAAAAAAAAAAAAAAGAATACTATATCAAATTAATTTTGATTTAACACTAAGTACTTAAAATGAATCTCTTATTAAATTTTCAAGCATTTCTGTTTAGTCTAACAATTTTATACACAGAGTATCTACCAAATACAAATTACGTGAAATACTCGTAAAATTAAAATGTCGATAAATCGCTAAACAAATTTCTCATATGTTCCAAAATTTTTACCACATCTAGAAAAAATACATTTTTTGTCAAAATTTTAAGTTTCTACAAATATTTTTTCTTGTATTACAACGAAAAAACAAAATTTAAAATAATAAAAGTATTATTTTCGTAAAATTTCCCGTTATTTCTACATTTTTTTTTCGATAATTTTATGTTATTGATAAAACTACAAAAAATAAAAATGTAAAAACAAATACCTTACTCATGAACTAGTTTAAAAATTCAGCAAAAATGCTAGGACTCTTGTCATTTATTTGTTGGAGCAATATTTATAGTAGTAAACATAATCCGTAAAAATTTAAAATAATGAAATAGTTGTGCTGTAATTTGGAAAAAATCGTATATTTCGTCTTTTTCGGTTTTTCATAATTATTCAGAACACTATTTTGGTTAACAAAAAATGACTGACTTACTCTGACAGTAGCGAAATATTAACAGGAATAAAATCGATCTCATGTCATTTTTGTATTGGAGCAATATTCTAGTAGAAAACATCGTTTTAATAAAATAAAAACAATGAACGCCGTAATGCTGCCGTAAATACTTGCCGTTTTACCTGCAATTTTCTTTCAGTTTTTCCAAATTATTTCGAAAACCCCTTAGAAAAACAAAATATGATCTTCTCAATTCACCAATTAGAAAAAAATTATCTTTCATAAGAGGTACTGTACTCTATACTTTGGAGCAAAATTTCTGGTAGAAAAGTTGTTTACATATACGAAAAAAAAAATACACATCATAGTACAGCCAAACCATAAATGTGTAACCAAAAACCCGAACCTAAAAACTGTAGATATAAATATGAAAATAATCGAGAAAAGAATAATATACCAAGTGATATTTTATTCGCTTTTGTTTTTGAAATAAGTTGTCTACTGCAAGACTGCGTGCCCACTACACACTGTTAAATCAGCAGTGATTTATATGTTATAATTTGTTGAGTGGAAAATAATGTAAAATGGACTTGGTGGATTGAGGGGGAATGTGAGAACTAATTTCGGTTAAGTACCTTTAGTGAGAACGACAGACGAGTTAAATAGATTACTGCTTGACAGCCTGTTTGATTAAACAAAATATTTACAATTTAAAATTTAAATGAATAAAATAAAACCTTAATAGATCGTGTATTATTTAATATAATATAATTTATTATTATTGCTACAATCGAACTCAATACCTTTGTACCGCCAGGAGATTATTCACATATCGCATGGTGTCCTTAAAACGATTATGGGAATTCTTTCTTTTTTTCTTTTTTTTTTTTTTTACTTCTTTTTAGCTTTTATGTGATCGCAAGTTTTAGTTTTGAAAATTTGTATACATTGTATTTAAACGAACAAAACGTGGACGTATTTTAGAGCAGGCCCACAGACTATAGAGAGTTTAGAAGTCGAGAATTTTCTTTTTAATTAATTAGTCCCGGTTAAGCGGGGCGTATTTCTCTTGATTTTAACGGCTTTTGGGTACCAATTTTAATGTATTAAATGCTCGTGTAATGATTGTATATTGTATACTCATGAAAAACTCAGGATAATATTATATCTGAAACCGTTCGCAGTGTAAAATAATATACGTATTTACACGGATGCGAAATCATCTATACTTAAAACTGTTGACTGCTACGAGTACATTTTTATGCACACAGGATATTATTACGCGAGGCCACGATAATTATTATAGGTTCCGCCTAGAGAGTTGTGTCTGTTTTTAACAAAATTGTTTATTTTTATTTCATCATATATTCATGGATATAATAAATTGTATTTAAATATTTGTTTACCAACTGAAATAATCGGTTCGGGTTGGCCACATTATCAATATCCCTTATAACCAACCCGCATATTGTCGGATCCGGGGAGGGGGGGGGGTGGAGGACAAGAGCCTCGTCACTCGCCCAGAATATAAACTATACAACAATTTTTACTCTCATAAATAATTAATTGTTTAACGCATATATATATATAGTACAACATTTTCAAGGAAGAAAAGCGGAGAGGAGGGATGAATTTATTGATTTGTACTATGAAATATTTGTTTTATTGTTTTCTGTCTTATCGACAAATTTCTTACCCGAAATCTCAATTCAATCAATGGTTTATCGGTGCTTACAGATATAAATTAAATAACGTTTATGGGTCCTACCTTTTCGACTTCCCATCTAAAACAATAGCTGCTCCCATCACCAGTACTACCTATTTTTTATTTTTTTTCGCTTAGTAGTAATATTTTTAGGGAACCTCCTTCCAAATTCAATTCTGGATTCGCCACTGAACGCACATGCGTACGTAATCTTATACACGCAGTGAAAAAAGCAACTGTTTGAGTACGAATGTGTGTACTCAAAAACCAAATGATAATAACAAGTTTGTACAATTTGTTGTACTCATAGCGTTAATGACAATGCACTTGAAAAACCCACGACAGTAAACAAGCTACATGCTATTATAGTATTGTTCTTTTTTCTTATTGTAATTCAGTTAAAATTATAGGTAGAAACTTGAAATTTGGACAAAAATTTAAATTGGCCTTTTCTAGGTGTGAAAAAACGTTCAAAACATTTGTGGAATTTTTGAGCTATTTATACATTTTTATTCTGTAGGTACTTTGTAGATAAAAATGTTGTACTAAACAGAAATGTTTTTGACGGGAAATTTATTATATGTCGTACTTTATGTTAAAAAAAAAAAAAAAGAGTTTTATGTATTTTTTTTTTTTTTTGTGATAATTTTAATATCAAACTTTGACGAAAATCCCTACCCATCGTACGAAGTATGTCCGTTTTTTTTCAATTAATAAGTATTGTTACTTTTTTTAACACCCCCCTTTGAAAATTTTTGGCTACGCGCCTGACATCTTACACAATATGAAAAAAGTGTTTGAAAAAAATAGAAAAATGAATTTTCGAATGTTACACCGGTTAACGACAATATTAACTTATGGTATTCGACATCAAATATCGGTTTTGTGTTAGTATCGAATATCGAAATACCGGATATCTGAGAAAAGTCATATCGGCGATAGAATATTTTGTTCTTCGGGTGTTTCACTATACCACTACACCTATTGTCCTAAATTGTTACACACTAATACCATTATTTTATAAGGTGTATTTTTTACGTAAGGTTTTTTTTTTTTTTTTTTACATCATCGTGTTAAATACAATCAATCGTTATCGCGGTGTTCGAAAACTATATAATATATGTTATCGTTAATGTATGGCATTCCGTAATTCTATAAAATAACTAGTAATTTTATAGATTTACAGGCACATTCAGTTAATGCATTGAATGAATACAAAAATATATACTTCAACTGATTATTCAACATACTAACTACTAAGTAGATATTTTATAAACTAACAATAACGATTTAGTTAAAATAAATACAAAATTATTATTACATCCATGTATAAAATATTAATATTCACTTTGAAAATGTTTATTCTGATTTGTATAACGTCAATTAATTAGAATTATTAAATTATTAAAAAAGTTACAAATAAAAAAAAAAAAAAAATTAATATTCAGTCTCGTATATTATTGTAAAATGTTTATTTATTCGTACACGATGGCTTAAATTATATAAATTAGCATAACCCATTCGGTATTCTATATATTAACTAGTAAAACCGTGTCATCGTGTAAAATTATTAACGAGTATATTTAGGAATTTTATAGAACAACTAGTTATTTAATAAAATAACGCGTTACATATGTTACCGCTAACATATTATGTATAATTACCTACGAACCTGCGTTCACGTTCATATTCCGTGAAAAACACGTGAACCAGTGTCGGTATTGAAAATTTTTTATAATAATGTTTAGAATCTCAATATAAGCACTCGTATACCATACATAATAAAAATCATTACAGAATTGGACTCCTCGAGTGGGTCGACTTTATATCTATAATTATATGTAACACAGATTAACAATACGTGTAGGTGTAGTAATATGAAAAACACAACGTGATGTCTACGCCTTGGAAAATATTTTAAAACTATTTTTAATGTCTTAGGTGATTAAACGGGAGGGAAGTTAAGTGGTATAATAATATTACTTTTATATTATTTAATTTATACAATAAAAATCAGGTACCCCAATGGCAAAATCGTCCGACCTCCATTGGAATAATTTGTCTTGTAAAAATCGCGTTAACGAATAACAATATAATATTTATTATTTTTAAGTTTAGTAATTTTCCGGAATGAAAATCTTCAGTGACTAACACTGTTGGGTATTCGGATTCAGAGGCGTATTCAGAGCAGATGGGTCTTCAGCCCGAAATTTATTGTTTTTTATAAGTATTGTTTTTAAAATATAATATATAATATCCTAAATAAACTACAATATTATGTAACTAATCAGCCCCTCCTCTATAAAAAAAAAGTTCCTAGATACGTCACTGCTCGGACCAGTTATATGTATACCTATACTGCAGTATACTCATTTATGCAGGAATAAAAGCATTTTTTTTTTTTTTTTTTTTTTTGTTAAACTATACATAAATACCGAGATACTAGTAGATATAAAACATATTAAACACTTACTTTCATAAATAAAAATAAAACAAAGAGTGTTTTCTTAATAAATAATAAAACTGTCCAACTTTAATTGAAAACCTAATTTTTATTTCCATGCAACGTTGCCAAATATTTACACGGTAAATACCCTCACGGATTTTTTCTATCCATACGTAAATAAACTACTACTTTAACGGGTTATTTATTAGTTTATTGCTTATAATTTCCGACAGCAAACTTGTATAATGAATCAGAATTAAATTGTTTTAAATTCCCATATAGGTACGAATATACTATAATTGCGTGCACTGTCAGTCGTGTTTGTAATTCAGATGTGTCAGCCAGTGTTCATAATATTGGTGAATAATAATATTTTTTAATATTGATTTTCTAAAATGAAAAATAGTTCGGAAAGAAGAAAAGATTTGATAGTACTGAATGGACACACATACAGACAACGGGCTGATAGTTATCTCAGACGGAACTAGGTGCTGTAAAAAATAATGTACAGCTATACACTGTTACTAGTGATGGATAATTCAATTATACTCGTAGAAAATACTAGTAAGCATAACCACCCTGTTTTTTCAGTTCAATAAATCGTTAGGAAAGTTCTACATGGGAATTGCAAATCGAAAACTATAAGTTCCATATTTGACCGACCGATAGAGCATAAAGATATAAAGTCGGTTTGATAGCCTGTGTATATCGAAAGACGATCGACTTCACTTTACCATTAGAAAATTAACCTTTTAGCGATTAAAATATTGTTATAATATTTAATAACAATTATTAACTTTGCAACGTTACTGCCAATTTCGGGTGCAATCGTACGTCTTTGAGGGGTGATAAAATATAATAATCATATTCTTTGTTATTTTGGCACCTTACGCAATCGTGTACTCAAAAACGTGAACCGTGCGCAATTGTATCGCGCCCATATAAATATCTTCATTCTTCAGAACATGCGAGTATAGGTTAGTTTTTTAAATTTAATTTTCGAACATTTAAAACATTTACGAGTAAAACGTTTTAAACGAGTGTTTAAAGCAATTCGCAACCCTGAACTGACATGTATCGAAACACAAAATGGACGACTAAAATTTTAATAGATACCTGCCGTAATAATGCATAATGTAATCGTATAATTTGTATAGCGATATAGGTCACGGAAAGCACACTCAAACTCAATCGTATCATGCGTAGTTATAAAAATTAAACTGTTTTCAAATAATATTAACGAAGCGTGATATTATAGCTACAATTAAAAATTATAAAAATGTATTATTCCACTACCTACGTAGTATAATAAACGAAGTGCCACATATAATTACTTATATCTAAACGATTTGAATTAACTAATAATTGATTAACATTCTAAGAAACGGAACTGAATTCGAATATTTTTGAATAACCAGACCAAAACTGAAATCCATATTTTATAATTATAAAAAATACCGTGTTTTACAATTTGTAACTATACAAATTTTGTTTTATATTTTCATGTTTTCAAAATAACCTGTTGACTGTATCTGTATCTGCTCTTGGTTTAGATTTGTATTAGTAGATTATATTATTATTGTTTTTGATAAATACAAGTATAAATATAGGTAAGTGCTTAATAAATTATTATACCCGGCAAAAAGTTGTACCTAGATATCTAGATATGTATTTATTATTTCATTGTACAAAATTAATGCGGTTAATAGCTACCCTGAAATTCATATTTATTAAATAAACACTCAATATTATTGTAAAATCTTGAATATGGAGTTATCATTTTAACTCACATTTTGATTTAAATCCACATTAACCGTAGTGAAGTATATTACATTTTTTTGGGGGGTCCGTAATTTATAACAGTTACCGACCTAAATATTTAATTAAAAGGAGTTTAATATTAAATAATTATGTACCTATATAAATATAAATATAAATATACCTATATTCCAATCATCTAATCACTTAATTGTTAAGTTACACCAACTGTTAAAACTGTTTCAACAAAAGTTTAAATTCCTTCGTATATTATATTGGATGAGCTAGATTTTTCCAGTGTATACACTATACACTCTATATTTGAAGTAGGAGAGTAGTAAATTCGATCAATAAACTTTAGATAATAATATATTACTTGGTAAATACAGTGGCGGATCCAAGAGTTATGCAAGAGATGGGGGCGAATTTTTTTGTATTGAAGTGAGATTTTTTTTTTTCATGTTGTACAAAATTATGGATTAAATGTTTTACAATTTATTTAAATAATGAGTTAGGTGGTACATTTTTCACAAGTTAAGCCTTACCTGTTCAAATTTAATTCAATTTAATTTTGACAAAATAATTTAGACAATATTCATATTAATATTTTTATTTGAATAAATTAAATTTAAAATGGAAAACTCGTGAATTTATAAAAGTAGATCTTGTAGATCTTTTCTATTTTTAGCAAATCTGTTTATAATATCATCCGCATTTAATTCTATATCCCTATGGATATGTAGAAACCTCAAATCAGTCAACCTTTCCCATTTTTGCCCTTAACCAGATTTTCAATTTAAAAATATTAAAGCTTAAAGTAACAAACTAAAAATTGCAAAACAATTATATACTAGTAAAAGCAAACTATGACAGTACCTACTAATAAATACTTGTACATAAATATATTATAAAACAATAGCTACCCATTTAATTAAATATCATAAACATCCATAATTATTTTTTAAACGATTTAATAGCATATTTTACTTTAAACTACAACCTCTTGAAAATGTTAAAATAATAATCTTACCGTCGCGCGACGTAATGTAGACAAGCTTCTTTTAGCAAATGCAACGCTTACAGACTAAGCACAAAGCATAATAAGCATACATCTTATAATTGGGTAAATATCAGCAGCGCATTTATCTAAGGCTGTAAAAATGTTATCAGATTTATTACCTGAAAAATGAAAGTAAATATTGATTATAATATTGCACAATCATGACTATAATTTAATCATTAAAATTTTAAATACTAACTGATGAAAAGTTACGTTTTGATGTTAAATGTTTCCATCTTTCTAACCATAATTCCACCTCTGAGATTAATATTGACTTTGAAATATTCGGGAAAAATGTAAATTCATTGATAACTTTATTAATCTGAGTAACTCTTTAATATTATCCAAGTTGTAGTATTTCTTGATACTAATTTCATTAATACTTGTAGTTTATAATTATTACGATTGAGAAAGATAATAATATTCGTAATTAACGATCAAACCAGTTAGTTTTAATCATCAAATATAGGCACTTTAGTCTATATTTTCGTGATATTTTACCAGACACCAGTATTACTTCATTTGACTCATCAGAATCAGCTCCCGTCATAGCTTTAGAATTTGATCGCCAATAATAACAATTACACTGCACTTAAAATACATACGTTAATATAAATTTACATATTCGACCCAAGCGGAGGGGGGTGATCACCTCGTCGCCCCCTCTCCTCAAATCCACCACTGGGTAGACAATGTAGTAGGTCAGACAAATGGTAGATAAAATACTATATGTAAGAAGGTCGTCAAATTTCCTATCAGATCCGTATGTCATAGAAATCGTGAAAAACGAAAAAACAACAAGAATAATAAATTCCATCGTTATCGATATTTAAATAATTATAAGCTCTACTCGAATTTTTGATTTTTATGCAATAGTTTCTATAACGATATTGCAAAGAAAAAAGAATGAGATTTGATTTCGATTTTAGGGTAGGTATGCCTGGTTTATAGGTACTTTAAATCACTTTCATAATGTCACTAGGGTTCACGTTTTTTCCATTATACCGGTTAACCAGTATACCGATTATCGCTCAAATACCGCTCAAACGGTTTACCGTAATACCGGCACATATCGTAAAACCGTAATACCAACGTATACCAGATCGTAGCTTATAGAGCTAAAATATCGTTTGAAGTGTAAACCGTATAATACCGTGTTTAACGACTTGAACTAGTTACTTCCATGGAATAAAACGTTTTGTAACGATTTACACCTTTACTAGTATTGCCATTTATACAATTATACAGCTATATTTAGGTAGTTGTTTAAAAATTAAACACTCATATTTGGTGCTATAGTCCAATAATTTTATTATTGGGTATAGGCAAATTTGGAACACAACCCCTTTCACCACGCACACACACACACACACACACACACACACACACACAGATGTGATCAAATATCCACTTATGCTAACACGTAGAGTATTGACTTTGAAATATGTAATTTATAAAATTTTACGTAAATTATAAAAGATATTTGTTACTTATTTGGTTTTCACTGGAATATTTACAACTCGTTTTTAAAGAAGTGGGAGGTACATTTACATAATTTAGACAGTTAAGTCCATCTTAATCATACCAAGCTGATTAATTGTATAAAAGTTGTGTACCTCTGGAGGGGGATTTTAGAAATACCAAATACTTCCCACACCGTTATTACTATACACCATTTTTAATAAACTTTTTCCAAATGTATTTCAAGTGATAACTTACTCGACTAACCAAAATATGTGTAATGTTATGCTCACATAACATAATATTATAACTGTATAATTATTTATTATTTATATCATTACAAAAATGTAACTAAAAGATTCAAATATGGCCGAGTACTTGGTATTTCACAAAGGAAAATAATTTAATAAATCTAACGGATCGTTCGCTATTCAAGAGGGATGCAAGCTTATCTACAAACAAAATAATTTATATATGTGTCAAATATAACAGAACTGCATGCCATCTGTTACGGCCCTTTGAGGACACTGCCGCCTCAGTCATACTATTGTATATTGTCTTCTTTTCACAATTCGAGTATTACTTACTTTATATCGATATAGACGCGATTGCCGCCTGTTCTATCTTTTTAAGCACACAAATTCCAGTGGGCTTCTATCATTCGAGAAAAATCAACATCCAATCATTTACCATCATTTAGAACATTCAAATATAAGTGTTATAAAATTAAGCAATAAATACACAACATCAATCGGCCCTTTGATGATACCGCCGTGCCGTCATCATTCTTTCACACTATATACCGTTACAATTATTTCAATACAAATTTCAAATCTACGCATAACACTTTATTTATGGTTGACCTTTTTTTATTGCCTTATATAAACACATAAAATGTAACGGTTTTTTCTATTGAAAATTAAGCGTCTTGATCCCTCTAGAAACCCCAAGACGAACACTCTGTCGAGAATCCCACACACAGCAACAACTACGCTCCACCAATTTCTTTCGAGAATCTCTCTCGAATAGCTAACTCCGACTTTTAGCAGCTATAATCACTCGTGTTCGATTTATTTATTAACGCACTTTGTAATTAAACCTTTTATTTTCCTAGTTTAAAAATTAGCATTTTTTATCTGAGTGCACACAGATGTTAAGTGTTAATTAATTAAATTAATTTGTCTTAATTAAATTGTGATTGCCGTCCAACGACTCCAGGTTCACGTGAGGTTATCCATAAGTATACACCCTAACGTTCCAACACCGTGGGCAGGTAACATAATTACATTTTTCTTTAGTTATTCATTTCGTCACCATTCTCGGATTCACGACTCCGAAATATAGGAAGGAAGATAGTAATACAACTAGTAGGCTGAGCCTTTATTATGATTAGAGATAAATTATTCTTTGTAGTACCAAAACTTAGATCGACTGTTTCACACTACATAAGCACATTTTTATACCTACTCCTTTATATTACATTCTTTATAGATATCTCTACGTGATTATCTTATTATTTTAAATATAATTATCTTTTACTTCTATACTTAGTGTCCTAAGTCTACTATCTCCCCCTAACCACCCCTCTCCCTTTTTATCATCCCCCGTCTCAACCGTTTTTAACTCCCCCTCTCATTTGCCCCCCCCCCCTTTTCCCTTCTTTTCCTTATTTTTATTTTACCTTTTCTATTTTTTGTATTACTACAAATTGGCGCCCAACTTTCAAGCTCAATTTTACTTGCTGAGAATTGTGACGAATTATTGAATATAACAGTTAAAGTACTTTATTATTTATTTACTTTACATCTATCATTTTTTATAATACCTATACAATAAGAATTATACAAAGTGAAAAAAAAAAAATTAATAAATAAATATTACTAATTAAACAGATTAAAACAGTTAGTTAAATAAATCGAACTTTTCATATATAAACGTTCATACTTATTAATTTAAAAATAAATATATAAAAGAGAACACAGAGAATTAGTAGAAAATCGAAAGAGTGGATATTAGTATACCTCATACATTTTTAGAAAAATTTATTTCCATTTATCTTTCAAATTAAATGATAATTGTAGAATATTGAAAATTTATCACCATTTAAAGAATAAAAAAAAAATGTATAAATAAAGAAATATTAATTAAATCTGACCCTAAGTTCTAAATTAATAAATCTTAATTAGACTAAAGAGGCAGTAAAGGTAAAAAATAAAACAAAAATTTTAATACCCTAAAGAGACTATTAAGTCCGAGTGGTTAATTATTGTTTTTATTATTGTATTTAATTTCAAAAAAAATATAAAACCCTAAAGACACTATTAAGTCCAAGAGGTAAATAATTATTTGTATTAAAACAGAAACATCTAATAAAACTAAAAAAAAAAAAATATATATATATAAAATATTTAACAAGATACAGATTATTCGTGGGTTAATATAACTTTTTCTCTCATCGCTCATAATTCGAATAAATAGAATATTTGGGTTTACATATAAATAGGTAACGGAAACAATACGTACTAAAATAACAAAAATTCTCAAATGTCTGAATTAGAACAGGATAACCAGGACAATACAAAACTTCCCATTATAGATTTTACAGCAATATCCACAACTTGGGTTCATAAATTAACTAAAGACAAATTAATTATCGAATTATCTCGCCTAAATCTAATAACAACAGGGTTGGTAGCCGATTTAAAAGCAAGGCTACTTAGATATTTGAGAGGAGAAAATAATCCAGAAGTGTTTATTAGTGAAAAAACTAAAAATAATTGTGTTATCGCACCAGAATCGTTAAACAAAATAGATAAAGTCAAAATAAATCCAATAATGAGTGATAATAAAAGACCTTATTTCAAACAGGGTAATTTTTCGGGGGCCATATCAGAAAACATAGATACATTTTTAAAAAAATACAATAGGGCGGCATTTATAAATGGTTGGTCTGAGACAGATAAAACTCAATTTATTTCTGTCTTCTTTCTTTCTACTTTTTACGATAATTTGCAATACTCTTCAGACAAATTAGAATGGGAAGATATAGAAAATAAATTACGTTTAGAATTTGAACCTATAGATATGCAAACTGATATGCTTCGTATGATTCTGGAAAAAAGAAAACAATTGCCGGACGAACAAACGGTCGCGTATATTAATGACGCCGAATCCCTATGTAGAAGGATTGATAATCAAATGCCCCAGGAGGAAATGATTAGAAATATTATGAAGGGATTAAAACCATCCATAGCCCGATATATAGGTATAATGGGTAACGAAACACTGGCTGAATTAAAAAAGAATGTTAGGAAATATGAAATGGTTGAATTTATGATAACGGAAGATACTCCTAAAACCCCTTTTGATATTGAAACGGAGACGATACAGTCTAAAATACAACAAATAAATAAAGACAACAGTTCAAAGAAACCTGAAATTGATAGATTACGTGAAGAAGTAGAGAATTTAAAATGATTAATAAACTCCGGAAATCCTAAACAAAATTGTATAGACAACCAATACAATAACTCATCACCGAACTTTAACGAATATCCGAGACAAAACAATTATAACCAGCCATGGTATGGGCAACCATCAAAACCACATTTCGATAATAATTACCAGCCTAATAATATCAACAGATACAGCCAGCCGTTCCACTCAGAAAACCCCACGTGTAATCAAAGATACGCAAATAATGACCCCCCAAATAAATATAAATTTTCTAACCAAACAAAATCGTGTTCATTTTGCTCGAGAAAAGGGCATTATGAGGAGGAATGCTATCAGAAAAATAAACAACCTACCATCTCGTGTCAAATATGCAATAAACCCCTCCACTCCGCTGTGAGTTGCCACATTTTTATTAATAAGTCAAAAAACTAGAAAATAGGTTAAATATAGTATTTAAATAGAATAGAATTTTTTTAACTTCTCAATTTACTTAATCAGTTCTGATATACGAGACTGTAAAATACTATAAATTGTATAATCACTAGCGTTCCTAAAAAATGTAACATCGTTACAGAATACGCATAATATATAAATCAAAACCCATAACGCCTATGGCACGTTAAACAGTGTCAATGTTAGTTAACACGAGTATCAAATAACAGGCCAAAAAAGACGGGCATATACTTCACACGGTGGGTGAGTTTCTGTTGTAGATAAGAAGTTGGGAAGGTATATAAAGATATAAAAGGATATAGAGAGGAATTTAATTTATATCTGTACTCAACGATAAACCATTGCTAATGAAAAACGATTCGGAGCGAAGTTTCTTTTATACGTGTATGTACATTTTCTCGTCTTTCCTTCGTTTTTTCCCAATGATTATCACAACACAAAAAAATTGTTCATTGCGGATTAAAAATAAAAAAAAATAAAAAAAAATACATAATTGAAAACCCGATATGTTCCTCACTACGCTCCAGATCTTAAATGAAATTTATTATTTTATCTTTTTATAATTAAAAAAAATAATAATTTAAGAATAATAACTACAAAGACGTTTAACGTTCAATTCAATCCTATAAAATATAAATAACGAAACGTCAAATGTTAAGTAATTGGTAGCTGGGTGCATACCCAAAATATTATACCAACTTTAGAGAAACAAATAATGCATATAGGTATATAATAGTTTTATTTTACCTATATAGGTATCTTAAGAGCAGTTTCGAATAATATTAATTATTATATTTTCCATATTATCTTTGATGTTATACTTTTTACACTATGCGATCAAAGAACTAAATTATAGTGTCAACAGTAATAAACGTCTACGGAAAATAATATGATGTTATGTTGGTTTAAATCTCGTCGTTTTTCTCGTATAATATAGTTCGTTAAAATAATATTATTTTATTAAAAGACTAAACGAAAATTAATGATAATAAATCTATTCTCTTAACGAAGACTGATAAAATATAATAAGTACTACAATCGGTTTATAAGCTTAGAACCGTTCAATATTTTAATTTTGATTCCTTCCCCTCAAATAAATTTACATTTTACACAATAAAAAAAACTTATATTTTAATAACAAATTTATATTATATGTATATTTTTTACATTAATAAAAACACTTGGACACTTCAAATTAATTTTTAAATTTAATTGATTAATATTAACCGCACTCTTATATCTTACAATTATTATTTATTTATTTATAAAGAGTCACAGAAAATCAAAAACTGTTTTTATTTCCCTTGGACGAAGGTGAAAGAGAGGGCTGCGTATGAGTTGGATTCCCGGGTATCTGTTTACCTGCACCGATACCGATGAATTGATTATGTGGCTATTGAGAGGGATATATCCGAATTGGTTCCCGTTTAAATTTTTGATGTATCCACTACTGGTCAAATTGATTCCCAATGTTCGCAGTAAGATAGTCGACCACACACACGTTTCCTATCCCATTCTTACAGATTTAGGACCGTCAACTTACTTAGAATTACTTAGATTTTATGCTAGAAATATTTCTATATTTTATATTCGGTATACATAACCATACAGATACGTATAACCAGGTGAATTTACGTTATCTTAATTGATTGTGGTGTTTTGGCAATAAGCCGATATTACATTATTTTATTGCCTCAATAACTGTAAAATATCCGCCGTAGTATGATAAAAGTTAAATAAAAGCTTAAAAGTGTACTACACTATACCTACAATCATTGTGTTCATTGTTTAAATGTAGGTATTAAACGGGAACCTATTCAGCTCACCTTCATAACATACCTTTTTCAAACGGGAACCAATTCAGCTCACCTTCATAACATACCTTTTTCAAACGGGAACCAATTCCCCAATGTGGAGTATGAGCTCGGGGACTGTTCATTCTCCACTACCAAAAGGAGCCATGGGAACACACGTAATTTCGGAATAAATGAACTATAAAATTAATGACAATGAACAGATTGATTGATGAACAATGAATACCTAAAATATTATAAATAAAGTTTTAACATGGCATAGTACGATTCAAAATATGAACAAATTAAAAAAAAGACAATTCTTGAGACTTGTCAGTCGACCTCCCCGTGGTCTCTTGGGTAAAGCTAATTAGCAGAAAAACATTAAACATTTATTTATTTAACATTTTTTTATCATATTATTACTGATATACAACAATAGAGGAATCAACTTGTTTATACTTCTTAACAGCCATAGAAGTAACTAACTAATATATAAATATATAAAGCAGCGTTTCTCAACCAGGGGGTCGTGACCCCAGGGGGAGGTCGCGAACACCTTGACTCGGGGTCGCGCAGGTCAAAAATAATAANCCAAATACCAAGTTTTTTGATAAAAGCATTAACTTTATCTGACATTATTAGAATGTTATTTTCACGGCCTTGTAAGCTTATATTCAAGTTATTCAAATATGAAAATATATCACTCAAATAAGCCAAAAATAGTAATGTCTCGTTATCTTGGAAAAAAGTTAAAAATGTGTTATTTCGATCTTTAAAAAATATTTTTATTTCATTTCGCAACTCAAAAATCCGCGTTCAAACTTTTCCTCGTGACAACCACCTAACTTCGGTAAAGAAAAGCAGTGACTTGTGCTTGGAGCCCATTTCTTCACATAGTGTGGAAAACAATCTGCACTGCAGCGGTCGACTTTTAATATAATTTACTATTTTTACAGCTTCAGATAACACATTTTTTAAATTATCTGGCATTTTTTTTGCGGCAAGTGCATGCCTGTGAAAAAAACAATGTGTCCATTCAATATGTGGCATTAAGTCTTTTAATTTTATTATTAAACCACTATTTTCCCCTGTTATTGCTCTTGCACCATCAGAACACACTGAAATACATTTGTTCCAGTCCAAATTTTCATTTTTTGTTGTTTCAATAAATAATTCAAAAAGACCTTGTCCAGTAGCATGACCAGGTATTGATTTGTAAAAAGCATTTTTTCTTTAATTGTTCCGTCACGTTCGTAGCGAACAAAACATAAAAATTGTGCCAAGTTTGTTACGTCTGTTGATTCGTCAAACTGAATAGAAAAATACTCGCTTGATTTTAGATTTTGTACTATTTGATTGTGCACATCAGTGACATTTCATTAATTCGTTTTGATATTGTCTCATTTGAAAGAGGAATAGTTTTTAATTTTTTTGCTTCTTCTGCACCTATCATAATATTGACCATATCAATAGCAGCGAGTAGAATGAGGTTNATGAGGTTCTCAGCAATCGTGTGCGGCTTTGATTCCCTAGCTACCCTAAGTGCTACTAAATATGATATCTCGAGTGTTGCAGTGTTATTCTGACTTGATTTAAGAATACAAGTTTGTTGATTTTTTTTTAAAAAAAAGTGATTTACGCTCAAAAAAGTCAATTGGTTTTTTACTAAAAGTGGATGATTTGTTTCTAGATGTCGAATTAATTTTGAAGGTTTCATACTTTCTTGAGATAGAACTTGAAAGCAAACAACACATTGCGGCTTATTATCAAGTGAAATAAACCCATNCACGATCAAGAATAGGACTTTTTAAGTTTACATTTTTTTCAATGTAATTTGATGTTAAATCAAATGCATCAAAATCAATTGGTTTTTTTACTAAAAGTGGGTGATTTTTTTCCAGATGTCGAATTAATTTTGAAGGTTTCATACTTTCTTGAGATAGAACTTGAAAGCAAACAACACATTGCGGCTTATTATCAAGTGAAATAAACCCATACTTCAAATACTCATTGTTATATGACCTTAATTTGTTTTTCACTGGTTCACTAGAAGTAGACGGAGCATTACGTTTTGTTATATATTTATCCATGATCATTAATTCAAATTACACAAAACTAAAAAGACGCACTAAAAACCAACTTAATAAACGCAATATCACATGAGTTTAACAACACGAGCGACGCGCGACTGTCATCGATAAATTAATCGTTTCATAACACACAAAAATAATATTAAAAATAACAATAATAAGCAGTCGATTAAATGTAGATATCTCATCAATAAAACGGGCACTACTTCACTAATGGAAATTCCTAACGACCCAATACAAACTTGATAAACTTAAGTTACTAGGTATGGTATTTATAAATTGGTATTTAAAATGTTATATTTCGTTTGGTTAATGATAGGATATTTTTACTGTTTAAATTTTTACCTAACCTAGATGGACGGGGGGGGNGGGGGGGGGGGGGGGGGGGTCGCGCAGTGATTGACTATATTTTATACCTATTTTGGGGGTCGCGACACTAAAAAGGTTGAGAAACGATGATATAAAGTAAATCAACTCCGAATTTTTCGACTTTCACAATAATTCCCATAATCGTACGAATATTTAACAAACTATTTTAAGAAACAAAATCTGCTGAGTTTAAGGTAAATTCGTTTGTGATCAAATCGATTTTATTAAATCTAGGATGTATAAAATGACGAGATATTATTGTTTTTAGTAAACAATTTGAACATTTGAATAGGTTAAAAAGGTGGTTATACTTTGCATGTGGGTGAAGCTATTGTTGTAGGTGGAAAGTTGAAAAGGTAGTATACATAAGGGAATTTAATGTATATTTGTAAGCAATGATAATCTATTGCTCATAAAAAAAAACGATTCTGAGCAGAGTTCAGTTATAGTGATGCTTTGTCAACAATATAAACTATGTGATATTATGGTAAAATAATTAAATAGGCATTATATATTTTCTTTAATAATATTTGTTTAATATTAAACCGATTTTCCTACGTTTTTTCCGGTTTTCCCATGTTTTTTGCCGGTTTTTCACATTTTCTTGGAAAACTCTTTAGAAAATCGAAAAACAACATCCTTAAAATACCTCGTCAGTCAAATTTAGAAAAATCGCTATTATTGGAAATCGGAGCAAAATTTCTGGTACAAAAGTTGTCCACAGAAAAAAAAAATTACAATATTTTACTAAATTATTTCGTACATTTTCCCGTTTTTTTCTTTCCTTTTCCTTTTATTTTGGAAAACTTCCGGAGAATCAAAAAATTACATCTTTAAAATACCACCTCAAGAAAATTTCTTTTCAAAAAAGTCTATATCATATACATCAGAGTAAGCTTTCTGGTAAAAAAAAATGGTCACATAAAAAAAAAAAAAAATATCTTTGTAAAACCATAAGTTTCTTTGCTCCACTCAGAATCTAAAAATGTTTAAATGTTCAAATTGTGATTTAGGTAGGTACCTATTTGGTTGTTACTTGAATTAAAATTATATTTGAAAACATAAAAAATGGAAAACCGATAATGATTTATGTTTGAATGCCACTATATATTATATATTTATACTTATATACAAGAACTTAAGTTAAAAAAATATAAAAACAGTATAGATACAGAGAATTCTACACCCACATCTACTGTCTTGGTGCAATTGACGGATAGTAAAGCAAAATTACTTTATTTAAAATGTAAATTATGGTATTTAGATTAAAGTTAAGTTAAAGTTAGTTTAAATACAAGTATCAAAATAAAAAGATGAAAATCTTTGATGAAGAAAAAAATTCATTTTTCAAAATATCATATTATTTACGATTTGTTGAGTGTGTAAAATAAATACCAATTTCATAACTGTATTATTTTAATAGATTATTATAGGTAACGTAACCAAACTTATTGTGCAGTGAACCGGCTAATATAATAAATTATCCCTTTACGACCGGTGCATTTGTTCGGCATTTCATGCACCATGCTTTTATTTTAATAGTGCTTCGGATTAGATTTTTATATAGATTCCTAGTGGTAACCCCATCATTACCTTATCAAATTTTTTATAGTTTATAATATAGTTTTATAATTAGCATTTAAAGTTTACAATATAGATTTTGAAGTACTTATATACAGGGCGAGTATTTAAACGTCGCGTGTCGTGCCATGTCACAACACAAGCACATATTGTTCTACTAATTTCCCCCTACCTAAACTAAAAAGTGGAATATCTCGTCAACGGATTGACGTCTACTTATAGAATTAAGAATATAGATTCTCATTTGAATTTCAATAGCGGCCTCTTAAAACCCACTTAAAAAATATAATTCCAAAAAAAATATTATAGATTATGTTGGTTAAGTTACCTAACCTAACCCAACCTAACCTTTTAAATGTTTATAAATTGGAACTCTTTTGAATTATACATTTTTCTCTATTTTGAATATTTTCATGATAAATGGTTGTATTATAAATTTTGAATCATTTTATATGTATAGATACTGTATACTTAATTTAAGTAAATACAAAAAAAGTTATTCACCTAGACCACAGCACGTGTCTCATAAAAAATTGAAATAGCAATTAATTATAATAAACATTTGTTCAGTAACCGAAATTCTCAGTAAATTATTCATCAGTGAACATCATTGACAAATTAACTATAATTAAAAAGTAATAAAAATATATTACCATTTAAAATAATAACAAACTAAAATTTCATCATCAAGATAAAACGAACTTTTAAATTTTATTTAATTGTAAAAAATACTCATATGTATATGAACATGTTCTATATGAACAAATTAACCAGCAAGGTTAGATGACGAAATCATATATTAACTAGTAGATTATACTAAAATTCAAATTCAACTATTTTACTAGAAACCAAAACAATGATAATAGAAATAATTATTTTTCTGTTTATGAATTTCTGTGACCAGGTGGATATCGAAAATAATTTATTGTTTAAAAATATATCTCATCAGAAATCAGCTACAACTTGAGACGAAAAAAATTTATGGTCTCCGTCAATTCTATCTTTTCATAGCTCGAATTTATTTAAAAAATTAGTATACTAGTTACAGTCCAATTTTGGCGCCATTAAATGACTTAAGTACAGTTGAAATATTTTTCTTCATGTAGTAATTGTAGTTATTAATTATTTCATACTTATAATTATTATTTTATTGTTAATTATTTCTTTTCATTTTGTATTTACTTGGCTAAATATGTTACATAAAATATATGATCAAAAAAAAAAAAATATTACACAAATTTGCACATTGCTACGGTTCGTCTGTGAACAAAATATTTTTAAAATGTTGTTAACACGCTAACAGTTAACAATATTATATTAAATATAATGTATATCATTTAAAAATAATATGAGTACATAATATCAATAAAGCCATGGGTACTATAGATATATTTTTATAATGTATATGTATTTTTTTTAGACAAAAATATGGAGAATCTAACAAATTCTACTAAAGAAGACCCTATGATGAAGGTAATTATATGCTACAATCAAACATTTTCTTTAATCAATATAATAACGAAAATGATAATATTATTTCCTAATTTAAATTTGTGATAAGGATAATTTCAGGATTTTGATATCCTTTTGAAACACATATTTTTTTTCCTCTTTCTTCTCTCTTCTTTCTCTATTAACTATTTGGGGTCAGCCACCTAAGCTTTCATTTAACGCGATCTCTCACCTAGCACACACCGGTTGTTCTCATATCTTTCTCAATCGAATCCAACCACCTTTTTTTCGGCCTTTTTCCTCCTAAATTTATTTGCATTACAATTTATTTTGCTTCTGATTCCTCTCTCCTCGTTACACGCCTAAACCATTAAGGGCTATTTTCTCTCATTATGTCTACTATCGAAACTATGAATACGCTACTTCTTATTTACACTTTCCTTGTTTATCTACTTGCATCACTCCATTCATCCACACATTCTTATCGCAGCTTAACTCGTTCTCTGATGTATTTTCCTGTCTATCACCCAACACGCTTAGCAATATAACAGTCACTGCATTATCGTAAAACTTATCTTTAATTCTCATTGGAATTTTTCGTCACATAAAATATATTACGCTTCTCCTTTATCCAACCGCACATAATTCTATGTTTTACATCCTCATCAAAGGCATCGTTCTTTCATACAAAAGATTTTAGATATTTAAAACTCTCAATCTTATTTATTAGATCACCACTTATTATCATTTTAGCAGTCTTGTCCTGTTTTTCCAAACTCATACTCGATATACTCTGTTTTGCTTAAACTTATACTTATCCCTTTTCTTCAAGTGCTACTCTCCATCACTCAAGTCTATTTTTAATTTCTTCCAGATTTTCTCTTATCAAAGCTATAGCAACTACAAACATCATGCACCATCGTGGTACCTCTTCTCACCTGTTGTCGCCACACACTTCCGAGATAGGACAATTTGCCAAAGTCTCGTTTAAAACTTCACAGTCCCCATACTGTTTACCAGAAGTTTACACTGGCTGTGACCTGACTTAGCCGCATTTGTCACTTCTAAGTTCTTACGATAGTTAAAGGTACAGTGGGAGTATTTTAATCCCTTTCCACGTAGAGAATGGTATTATCAAATATAAGTTAAACTCCTCTACACTATAGAAACTGTACCTACTGGAATCACCCATTTTGGTTTTCCACCAGCTGGACTTTGGCATCCTATTTTCGATACACTCGTAGCAACTTGGTTAGGTCATCATGTGCCCCCGTGAAGTTTAAAAACATATTACACTGTTTACCTAAATACTTCAATTTATTTAATTTTAATTACACATTAAATATAAACAAAACAGCAAATCGTGAGAATTGTACGCATCGTTGGGTAATATAATTTATTTTATTTATAACGCGTCATGTATATTTTATTGTTTAGAACTCGTCGAATCGTATTTTGATAAAAAACGGAATTGTGGTCAACGCGGACAACATTATGAAGAATGACATTTACATTGAAGAAGGCATCATTAAGTGTGTACAATTTTTTATTCTTAAGAAAACATAAGTAATATCCATAATTATAGAGTGAATTGATCTATCATCCAACTTAAAGATAAAACTTAATTTATATGTGTTTGTACATCAGATACATTTCCGATATTTTAATTTTTAAGCGAAACATAAGTGTGTAAAGTATTATAATTTAAAAATGCTTAAATCTTATATAAAAATTCAACTATCGAACAAACCAACGATGTATAAACACAGATAATGTTCTTGCTTTTAAGTTTAATAATAAATAAATTCACTCGTAACATACTATCTAGAACTCTAGACGGACACCACACATGCGAATATTACGTCCTCCTCTAAGTAATACAAATATATTTTCAAATACTGGTAATTTTAAAAAACATAATATGGTCTTATTATAATAATATTATTTTAATGTTCTATTGTTTGAAAATCAAACAGCTGAATAAAAACTAAATATATTTTCTAATTTTTTCCCCTCGAGTAATTCAAACACTTAACTATAGTGTACCTATTTTTCCTTCAATACAATCTTTATTTCGTTTGTTATTATAAAAAAAATAATCTTAAATAAGGTTACGGACTTACGCGGTCATGTGAAAAATCTGAAAGTAGTGTCAAAAATCGTTTACATACATATGTATTCATAATTATGAACGAGTGTTAGTGATTTTTATCAGTTTTTGAATTTAGTTTTCTTTTAAATTGTTTCTATTTCGCTGAATTGCATTAGGTATAACATATAATAGGTATGCAAAACAAATAAATACACTCGTATATAGAAAAATAACAAAATAAAGTCTGGAGTATTATAAAAGTTATATGTAAATAGTTTCAATGTAAAAATCATCATCAAATAATAGAACAGCAAAGGCGAAAGAAATAATAACTACGTGTATTTGATATTCTATTACCTGATGATGACTTTTTTTTAAATCGGAGCCGGTCATATTTACACAAAAACTTATAAACTTATAAGTTATAAAAACCCAAGGTTTTTTTGTTTATATTTTCTTTATACATTTATTCATTTGTTTTCTATATATTTATATATAAATGTACGTGTGTGTGTGTGTGTATTTTTATATTTTATATTTTATTGTTTATTAGTCTAAACATTTTTTTTTTTTTTTGTATTATACAAATTAAACGCATACTCGTATTACTATATAAATTGATAATATACAGTCAAACGATTATACTAGCTATATAGTATAAACCTACTATTATACTGTATTATGCTGATGCAGTGATGCACATTCATAAAAATAAAAGTCTAAAACTATTACGTTTCGCATTTTTAATTCCGATGTATTATAGGAAACTTATTATGTATTGATTTTCTGTTGTTGCATCGCTGCTGCTGCGTTATACTTATATATTTTCAAGTTTCGCAAACACTATAATAGAATAACGTAAATCGTTTTAAAAGTTTCATAATAATATGCAATGTATATTATTATACCTAGGTCGGTCGACGATTGTAATGGAGTTCCGAAACAGACTCAAGAGCAGAATAACGTTTAAAAAATAACAATGCCATTTTTTTCACTAGATTTAAATACATTTAATACCGGTTAAATTGTTCGGCTGCATATGCTCGAAAAATCATCTATAAACGTGATAAATTTTTGATTTCTGATGTAAAACAATATTTAAAATTTCAACCGAAACCTAATTTTTTTTTTCGGCGATTTATCGAAATTCGCAATATCTATCTAGTCATATTCTATTATTTTTAGTTTATACTTGTTATTTAAGGATTTTTTTTTTTTTTGTTTACGAGTAAAATTTCATTAGAAATGCATAATCATACTCGAGATGTAAATATTTTATCTTAATAAGAAATCATTATTTGTATTGTACTCTTACTCTAATTACAGAATGGTCGGACTCAATCTTCCTGAACCGGAAGATACGAGAATTATTGATGCGACATCATTTTTGGTTATGCCGGGTAATTATGAATATAAATTATTTACTGGTTTGTAAATAATCACATTGTTATATCCTGTAAAATGCTTCATTATATATTTTTTTTTAATATCTAGGGGTAGCGTATAGGCAATTTTAACTACATTTTTGAAAAACAAAAATTTAAATTGTTAACTCAAAAATATTCGAATTTATTTTCAAATAAATTTATTTATAGTGTCGTTTTTCATTGTTTTAACTATGCCAACATGTTTTAGTAGCTTGTTTATTTAAACACAAACATATACTTGAAACCGTAATAAAAGTGTCTTGATACAAGATAAATTACAATATATTAAACTAAAAAAAATTACAAGATTCAATATGTATCTTTAATATATATTTTCAATACATGTATCTGTGATATTGTCTAACGCTATAATACATTAACAATATATATTATTTTCATTAAATATATTTTTCATTTTTAAACCAGTATTTGAAGTATAAATACTTACTATAATACACAAATACGCTTTAAAAAACAACCAAATATGCAAATATGCATATTAAGCAAAATAAAATTTAACATTCAGATTTTTTACATGACGAACATGTTCATCAAAATGTAAGCTTGACTGTACAATTTGTTTAATCTTTCAAAAATAATATGCAAAATATGCAAAATATACGCCGTATACTCTCAAGATTTTTTAAAAATATTATGAGTATAATGTGTATACTCTCAAGTCTAAAAAGATCCGGGAATTTAGCTCTCAAGATTATTATTGACTTATCATTCACTCCTCTGAACCATAAGTAAAATATTTGTATTATATTAAATGTTTACATTTTGGTATTATTTGACAACTTTGTATAGTCTCAAAAAAATTAATGGGAACACCACTGGTTGGAAGTCCCTAACCCTGTTTATAAATTTAAAAAAAAAACATTAAATATACATATAATACTAAAAATATTAACAGGTGGTATAGATCCTCATACTCATCTGGAATTGGAATTCATGGGAGCAGTGTCCGTGGACGACTTTTATCACGGAACTAAAGCTGCGGTAGCTGGCGGAACGACAATGATAAGTACGTATTATACGGTGACTACCTGTATTGTTTTTGGATTCATACGACATAACCCGATTTAAAATGTGACCACTTAAACTGTTTATAGTGGATTTCGCATTGCCCGACAAGGATGAATCGTTAATAGACGTCTATCATAAATGGAGGGCACGGGCGACGAATAAAGTGTGCTGTGATTATGCCTTACATATAGGTATCGCCAAATGGTCGGCTGAGGTAAATTTTAAAATTTTATATTTTCTCGCTATAAAACTCCTGTCTGAATCATTTATATTATAAAGGCGTTTTAAAACCAAACGATGCCGAAATGATTATGAATTGTAGCCTGTTTGTCATCTATACCAAACTTAATGCAAACATTTTTCTACGAATATGGTTTTTTGATATTTTTTGTCGGAATCGTTTTTTATTTCCAATGATATTTTGTCATTGCTTTCGTAATAATATTTGAACTAAATAATAATAAGCGCTGGTGTATATTTTATACCTCTTCCTGATTTATTCTCACATATATATGTATAATACAACAGAAGCCTACCCACTGTGCGAAGTGATAATAATATGTTTAATGTTAATAAATTATTCAGGTTAAAACCCAAATGGAAGAACTGTGTAAAGTGTATGGCGTAAACTCGTTCAAGATGTTCATGGCGTATAAAGGAGTTTACATGTTGAACGATACTGACCTATATAACAGTTTCGAGGCGTGCAAAAATCTCGGTGCGATTCCGATGGTGCACGCCGAAAACGGAGACATTATATTTGAAGTAAGTGTCATCGTTATAATGCAACACGTGACTTTCAAAAATATTTGACACAGTAAACAATAATAAGTAACAGTTATGAAATACTAATTTTTTAAATTTTGTTTTTTCACTCGAGAATACAAAGCGATTGCTGGACTCCGGTATAACAGGAGCTAACGGGCACGCCCTATCTCGTCCCGAAGAAGTTGAAGCTGAAGCCGTCAACAGAGCGTGTGTAATATCGAAACAGGTACCATTAATGTTTTGTTTTCATTTCGTTTAAAAAACTGTTTAATATGACAAAAAAAAAACACTACAGAACAGCAGGATCCCAATAGAGTTGAATTTTTCCTCACCTAATTTGTGTTACAGAAAAAATTAACTGCAAAACAACAAAATATAACTGAATACTGCAATACTACACTATACTTCTCATACTTTGATGATAAAAATGGTAGGATTAAAAGCCGAAATTCCCAAAAGGAACAATTTTGATACTACTTAACACCATGCATATACAAAATACCACCTCAATGGCTTTATTTGTAGCGACCTAGACAGTTAAAACAAAACAAAAAAAAAAAAAAGACCCTTCTACAGAATGGTTTAATTCATATTTAAATTCAACTTTTATCGCTTCATTTTGCGATTCTGTCCATAAAACAACTTTAATTCCCGTGTTTGAGCTGATTTCGTCCAGAGAGAGCCATTAAAAGTATCGAACCATAGCGGGGGGCAAAAACATACATTGTACACTCGTGTGTTATACCCTAACAAACACAATACCATCGGTACAATAGCATATATTTTCTGGGAAAATTCGACAAAGACGTTATTATTAGTCATAGTCGAAATATGATACTACGTTTTTCTTTGTAGGTCGGATCACCGTTGTATATTGTGCACGTAATGAGCAAATCGGCGGCTAATATTTTGGCAGAACACCGTACCGCTCAAATCAAAGAAGAAGGAAGAACTAAAATTTTCGGCGAAACGTTAGCCGCCGCTGTCGGAACGCATTGGGATGAAAATAAAATTAATTGTTGGCACGACGCTGCAGCGCACGTTTTAAGTCCGCCGTTAAGATCGGATCCAGACACTCCGCATTTTTTATTGAACTTATTGGCAAAGTAATTATTTCAGCAATTGGGTTTTTGATTTATTTTTTTTTTTTTTTTTTACTTATCATATTATGTTTAATAATAATATCAGCGTATGCTTGGCGAAGGAGGCCATATAGGAACCGAGTATCCCGACTTAATTTTGTATACATTTTTTAAGCGTTACGCATAGAACTGTAATCGTATTACTAGGTTCTACACATTTAAACTTTTTTGTATACATATAACATAAGAGTACTGAGTACCCTTCTATGTACTATATTTCCTCTTAAAATCAAGCGTTGATTTATATTGTATACTGAGGGAATTGCGTGTTTCTTAACCTCTTCCCGCATAGTAGCATACTCAACAGTATTCCAAACAGACTTAATTTTACCCATTAAGAAACACGACCAACAAAACAATTTTTGTATATAATGACTTCCACATAACCAAGAGTGTTGTTGTTATAAATTTGAATTAAATGAACTATAGAATACCTTACTTAGTTTTTTGTCATGAGTCAAAACTGACAACATCGAAATAGGCCTCTGGTCTACTTACTTTTAGAAAATCATTCTTACTACCAGAATTCCAACATCGAAATGGCGTTTTCAACAACATGACAATCTCGTCTGTCACTGGATTCATAATATAAATCTTGAATAAAAAGCACGACGACACGCGCAAACGAATTTAAACGAACCAACACGAGCAATGATTTGAACATGACAGAAATATAAACTAATATTAAAATCGGTTTTATTAGGCACTGACAGCATCTAATATCAGCCTAATGTCTACGTTTGTTTACGCAATAATTATTTCGTGCATTTCTTAACGGTTTATCGCTATTTTTGGTAATAAACACGGAATAATATTATACAATAATAAAATAAAATATAATTCATTTCCTCACCCTCAAAGCCACCACTATGATATAAAAGATTTTTATAGTGTAAAAAAAAAAGAAATAATCTCGTGAGAAATGGTTAAAAGGAGTGTTGGACTTGGATTTGAAAATTATATTTCCAAACACTTTAATTAGATATAATAAATAAATATATAAATACCAAATTTATATATAAAAATAAAATCTAATAAAAGAATGAATGCGTCGCCTGGAGTATTTATGATAAGTGTATTACACAAGACTATTAAATATTAACATTATTAACTTTAATTAGGGCTCGAATATGACCCATTTTTATTTTTATGGTTTTTGGTTATATTTATAGTCATAAATCAAGGTTCAATGTGTAAGAGGTTATTCTCTTTCAAAAATAAATATATACATGTATAATATATATAAAAATATATGTCCATATCCGTTCTAAGACAAAACAGTTACCGTTGTAAACCATGTTTTGAGCAAAAAAACATCTACGCAAGCACCTTAATACAAAAATTAAAAATAGTTGAGTTTTTAATTATAAATCGTTCCGACTTTTTAATTATAAATGTTAATAATTTTTTATTAGCAATTTTTAATAATACTTTAAAAACTACAAGCAAGACCCTTAATAATATTATGTTAAAATGTTTTAGCGATGCGTTACAGACAACTGGTAGTGATAACGCGACATTCAACGCCAATCAAAAAGCCTTGGGTGAAAATAATTTTAGTAAAATACCCAACGGCGTGAACGGAGTAGAAGATCGTATGTCCGTGATTTGGGAAAAAGGAGTAGAGTCAAACATGTTTGACCCATGTCGTTTTGTCGAAATAACCAGTACAAATGCTGCGAAAATTTTCAATATTTATCCAAGAAAAGTAAGATTATTTAATTGATACCCTATACAATAATATAAATTAAAAACGATATTCCTTGCAAATTGCATTTTTTTCTACCGTGTGACTAAGTAAACCTAGGAATATTTTCGTTTAAAGCTATCCGAGCTAGCGAGTTTCCCCGCCGGATCTCCAGGCACACCTAAAATACATTTGGTTTTCCCCTGTTACTTATCTGACGTGATTTTACAAAAAAAATCTAGGATTTTTTGATTTAAAACAGCTCTAGAGAGCGTTTATAATAAACTGTTAAAAATTATTTTTTTCATCTATTTTGAATTTTTAATGAAAAGTTATAATGAAGATAATGAATATATAATGACGGAGATCATAATTTATAAGATATCTAGTAATCGCAAACCACAATAACAGGATTGATATACTTTCGATACCTAGCTAAATTAATTAAAGGAAAGTATAATATAATATTATATTCATATTTTTCCAAATCGCGCAATATGTTTATCGTAGGTTTTCATAGAACTCTGTAGGTATTTTCTTTTAAAATAAGTTCTATGGAAATTTCAAGTATTTACTTCTAGTCCATTGGAAATCACTAGTTACCCTTAAATATTAACTCTCTTACCACTCCGTTAACCTTTCTCATGTTCAAAACTACTTTTAAATGAGTGGTAGTGCAGTATTGTCAGATTAGGGATTTCACTCCTAAATTTGGAGGTATTATTTCTTACTGTGGTAATTCTTAGGGAACCATAAATGTCGGGGTATTTTTTTTGAAGTTCTCCAGCAGTCAAAAATTTTCTCTGTTAGTGAGAGTTAGAATACACCCACAGTATTGCATGTCCGTCGCAAGAGGCAACCAAAATCGACCAATCAATAAGCAGCAGCATTGTTTTTTATCAAGTATAGAATTATATACACTTGAATAGCACCCCTTATAAATAAGAAGTACTACTGCAGCCATGAAAAAGGCTGCGGGAAACCACTGCATTAATTCTCCCAACAACAAAACAATGAAAGTTAAACATAAGAATGATAGAGTACAAGACAATGGGATTCTAAACCCGGAGTCCGGCAGGGGAAGACAGTGCATTACTTTCCAGGTCGTCATCGCGCAAAATCTAACTATAGCAAAACCAAAAACTAGATAATAATATTAAAAGTAAAATCATAAACAAAAATACACCATTTAAAATAAGAACATAGGACGAAAATTCGAAAAATTTGAAGAACCTAAACAACAAATCAAATCAACTGGTTATTTTAGGAGTTTGTGAAGCTAGAGTGATAATGAGGATTTCTGGAACAATGATTTCAAAGTAATACGTAGTTGAGACAAATAAGGGAAGAACGGAGCTAAAATCTTATTAAACAATGAACGGGGTCAACGAGTAGAAAACACCTATTCTGTGAATGACAGATTATTGCTAATAAAATTTAAAACACTCCCAGTAAACATGATAGTTATTCAGATATACTTATCTAATGAAGAAGACGACAAAATTGAACAAATGTATGACTCCATTGAAAGAACTACTAGGAATAACCAAAGACAACGCTAATGTAATTATTATGAGTGATTTCAATACAGTTGTAGAAAACAGCCATAAATTATGTATAATTCAGAAAACATCACTAAAATCGTTGCGGTTCTTGGATGCCTCCCACTTAAGTATTCTCCGTCAAAAATCTTAACTGCACTGCTATCATCCGCCTGTCATGTCATTGCCAGTCAATATTATCTTAGTTCATAATTCTAGATAACTACCACGCTTAAAAATATAATAGTTGCTCGACCAGCTGTCATAAGCAATATCACATAAAAATTGAAATTTCTCGCAGGAACAGCTGCTTAATTGACTGAATGCGCGCTCTATCTGTAAAAATAATGTTATATTAAAACAAATTTACATTAACAAACACATTTTGTGAATTTCAATAGCGTCATATTGATATAATATAGTACATAAATATTTCATTGCGATCTACGAGCGCTACAGAATTGTTTTACCATAGAAGTAATTAAGGAGACAACAATTTCATAGCTCATTAGGTAACCATTATATCTTTAATTGTGATAAATATTAAATTACTAAGCACATAGGTTATGCCACACACCCGGTATACGTAACGATTTACATTCACTCTTCGACTACCTATCCCGTTACTCTCATCGCCCCTTACCCGGTCCATTAACAGTATATCCAACTTATGTTTTATAACATTCATAGCTAAGGTGTTCATAAAAGTATTAATTAAACGCGAATAGTTTCTACAAGTTATAACTAGTACAGGGATATACATGCATTTTATTATCGGTTAAAAAATGTCATGCTGTAACACCATAATAAATAATAATTCAAAAAATTAGTAACTACTATAAGATGAAATTTTATAAAATATGTCTAAGGGTTGCATTGGTGTTGGTTCAGATGCGGATATTGTAATCTGGAATCCAAATAAGAAGCGCACTATTTCTGCAAAAACTCATCATCAGGCAGTTGATTATAACATTTTTGAGGTAAATTTATTATAATTCTATACATAATATTATATATTTATATGTATTGCATAGAAACAAAATAAAAACATATACAACTTTCTAAGTTAATTAATTCTATAAAATAATTTATAATTTTACTCATTTTAGGGAATGGAATGTCATGGTGTTCCTGAATATGTATTGGTGGGCGGTCGTGTTTGTGTAGATAATGGAGTTTTGAAAGTTTTTAAAGGACAAGGAAAGTACATTCCTACTCCTACGAATTCTCAATTTGTTTATAACAAGCCTAATACATTTTGTTAAATATATTATACTAGATACACAGATAAAACAATTATTCTAGATATACAGTGAATTTAGATTTAATAAATAAAATATAATCTTTATATATATATATAATTCTACTGTACGTGTGTATGTCACTGAACTCCTCCTAAACGGCTGGACCGATTTGAATGAACTTTTTTATATGCGTTTGGGTGACGCCTTGGATAGTTTAGATTCACAAATCAACCCGGAAAATGGCGCTGCAGTCGGTATCTAGGTTATTGATCTATACTGCATATTCCGTCGGAATATTTATCTATAATGCAACTAAACGGCTGGATCGACTTGAATGAATTTATCCTAATCGCTTGAAATATCATGCAGGACAACGTCTATCATTCATTCACTCATTCATTTTGTGTATGTCTTTATTCATATCGCATTTGCTTAAATATTGAACATTAAGTTACGTGCATAGGATTTCGTTTATTTTTCTACATTTTAATTTGAGTGTATTATATTAAGTGTGTTTCATTATTTTGACATTTTAATTTTGTTGTTTTTTGATATTTCAGTGAATATAAAGTGTATTATATTCACAATAGCGGACCCGACAGATGTTGTCCTGCATGATATTTCAAGCGATTAGGATATGAAATGAAAGACAAATAATATAATAATTTCATAATTCTTTATTTTGAAATAACATCAATTTTTCTAANACCGTCGGTTAAATAGATCGGCAGAAGATCAATTGACGGACAATGAAAATTTAAGAAACCAAGCTGCAATCACACGTACTAATGAAAGTCAAGAGCAACGCAATGAACGCCGTCGAGCTAATACATTGAGACAAAGACTGGCCCGTCAACGAGTCACCGACACATTCAGAACACGTGAATAACAGCGTTTGCATGTGTATCGCGCATTGACACGTGTATCACTTCTTCGCCTTGCGTTTGAATATGAGCCGGACATCGACTATTCGTCACAAATTGTAATCGGTGCTATGAACAAACAATGCCAACACTGTCATGCACTCAAATACAAAGGTGAATCGGCCGGTTTCTGCTGCGCGTCTGGAAAAGTTATATTGCCACCATTAAATTCGTCGCCAGAACCATTGAAAGCACTATTAACTGGAGCTACATCTCAATCTAAATGGTTTTTGCGTAAAATTCGCAAATTCAATTCGTGCTTTCAAATGACATCATTTGGAGCAACAAAAATCGTTCAAAATGAGGATGGTCACAATTTTCAATCAACGTTTAAGATTCAAGGTCAAGTGTATCATCAAATTGGTTCTTTAATACCGATGTCTGATAGCGATTCAAAATGTCTGCAAATCTACTTCATGGGTGATGAGGAGTAGCAAATAAACGCATGCTGCTAGTACAACCATATCGAGCAGATGGAGAAGCGAGAAATTGTGGGTATTTTAGAACCGTTTTTACAGAATCACAACCAGTTGGTCCAGTTGTTCAATACCGTTTCAAACAGACTGCAAAACGACAACTATACGATCGTCGTCAAAGCAGACAAAGTACCATCTGGGCAGCACGTGGATCGATATAATGCACAGACCATTAATGAAGTTGCAGTTGTTATAGTTGGCGACGCATTTGAACGTCGAGATATACGAATCAAACGCAGAGATAACACAGTGCATACGACTAAAGACAGTCATCGTTCTTACGACGCTTTGCAATATCCATTGATATTTTGGGAAGGAGAAGATAGATATCATTTAAATATCTAACAAAGAAATCCGGCAACAGGTGCAGAAACGAGCAAGAAAGTGAGCGCGATGAACTTCTACGCATATCGGTTGATGATTCGTGCTAATGAAGACAATAATATTCTCCGATGCTCCCAGCTGTTTCATCAAAATATCGTTGACATGTATGCGAAAATTAAAAGCGAGCGATTACGATACATTAGGTATAATCAAGCGAAACTTCGAGCTGAGGAATATATTCATCTGCGTGATGCTATTGTTGGTAACGTAGATGGAATAACTAATATGGTAGCCCACGTCATATGCAAGAATATATTCAAGACGCCATGACTTTTGTGCGCACGCACGGACAACCAGATTTATTCATTACATTCACGTGTAATCCAAAATGGGATTAAATTAAAATTGCGTTATTGCCAGGTCAAACTGCAATGGATCGGCACGATATAACTGCACGTGTCTTCAGACAAAAGTTAAAATTGTTGATGAACTTGATTATACATTCCTCTGTATTTGGCAAAACATGTTGCTGGCTGTATTCTGTTGAATGGCAAAAACGAGGTTTGCCTCAAACGCATATTTTGATTTGGTTGGTCGACAAAATATAGTCTGAAGAAATTGATAAAATTATCTCAGCAGAAATTCTGGATCGGAATATCGATCAAGAATTGTATGAGATTGTTACCGCTAACATGGTCCATGTGGTACTATAAACATGACGGCGCCGTCCATGGATAATGGGAAATGTACGAAAAGTTTTCCAAAAAATTGTATAAATGATACTAATATCGATGGTTATCCATTGTATCGTCGTAGAGACACTGACCATGACATAAATTACGCATGTCAAACGGTACAACAGTTGACATTAACAATCACTGGGTGGTTCCAAATTCACCATTGCTGTGTAAAATCTACAAAACACACACAAACATTGAGTTCTGCAGTTCGATGAAGTCCATAAAATATATATGCAAAAATGTCCATAAGGGCAGTGATATGGCTGTATTTGCTGTTCAAAATGTTAACGAAAACGATGAAATAACACGATACCAAATGGGCCGATACATCAGCAGCAATGAAGTAGTTTGGCGTTTTTTATGTTTTTAGATACACGAAAGAGACCCTGCTGTTATACATTTGGCCGTGTACCTTGAAAATGGACAGCGTGTTTATTTCACGGAAGACGCTGCTCTACAACGTGCATCAATTTCCCCAAAAACCACATTAACTGAGTTTTTCGAACTATGCAACCGACCAGGTATTCCCGATCAATTCGTAAAGACATTAATGTATACTGATGTGCCACGATATTTCACATGGAATAAACAGTCAAAAAAAAGTTAGGAACCACGAAAGCGAGTTGGTCCGGTTGAAGGATTTATAGGAAATACATTAGGCCGATTATATACAGTCCATCCAAAGCCACGCGAATGTTTCTTCTTGCGTTTATTGTTGGTTAATGTTCCTGGACCGATGTCCTTCCAATACTTGCGAACAGTCAATGGCATTTTGTACGACACATATCATGTTGCGTGTCGCGAATTACATTTACTGAAATATAACAATATTGGGTTTAAAATATTGGCTCACCTATCATTTTGCTTCGGAATTTAAATTCACCTAAGCTATGCAACGGTGCAAGATTATTAAAAAAAAATATTATGGGCAATGTTCTTGAAGCTACAATTTTGAACGGCAAAGGTGAAGTTGTTCTCCTGCCACGAATCCCAATGATCCCTTCCGACTCACCCATTCCTTTCAAACGTCTGTAATTTCCAATTCGCTTGGCATTTGCCATGACTATTAATAAGTCGCAAAGTCAAACAATGTCCATTTGTAGGTTGGATCTAGAAAATCCGGTCTTTTCATATGGCCAATTATGTAGCGTATTCCCACGTTGGAAAACCGTCAAGTTTATTTATTTATACTCCTCAGGAATTGACTAAAAATATTGTTCAGCAATTCGCATTAAGATAAAATTAAACAAACATTGTTGATTATAACGAATTGTTTTTAGAAAAATTAATGTAATTTCAAATAGTAAATAATATTCCAGAATAATGAAATTATTATATTATTTGTCTTTCATTTCATACTTTCTTTAATATCATAATCACTTGAAATATCATGCAGGACAACGTCTGTCGGGTCCACTAGTATATATATATATATATATATTAATTCAATGTTTACTTTATAATTGTTTTTCATTGCTAACACGTTGTCAGGGTTAAAACTAGTTCAATAAAACTAATGTTCAGAGTTAATTTTAATGAGTTTTAATAATAGTTTTAAAATGGGAATTTTCCAGATGGCTTAGATAATTTTATTGTTACATTGTTATTATTATAATATTTAAAAGTGACAATCGACTTAAAAATATCAGTTGATAGTATTAATTCATTTTTGAATACACTTATCTCCTAAAATTAAGACTTTATTTTATACAATTTGTAGGCTCTAAAAATGAAATATAAACATTGGAATAGAGTCAATTTTTGGATAATTAAAATAGGACCAATATTTTAATGAAGGGGAGGAGTAGAATGTAAAGTGGCATAGATAATTTCAAAAAGATTAAAAAAACTAATACTGCTAATAAAAGTTTTGGAATGCGCCTATATAACCTACATATAAATTATAACTTATAAAGTGTTAAGAACTTATAATCAATAATAAAATAATAAGGTAAAAACAAAAATTATCAAAATATTTAATACTCTTAAATAAATAAATATATAAATAAAAATGTATTTGTAAAAATAAAAAAAAATAAATAAATGAATGCGTCACCTGGAGTATTAGAATAAGTATTGCACGACCGGTTTCGAATTCAAAATTCATCGTCAGGTATGTCACAGTCAAAATGTAAAACGCGACTAAATATAAAAAAATTAAATGAAGGAATACATAAAAAAAAAAAAGACGTCCTAGAATAATGGGGTCGGTTACAGCCACTGTTATAGGTAATTTAAGGTATATCTGTAAGCAAAGATAAACCATTGCTAACGAAAAAACGATTCTGAGCGTAGTTAAGTTGACAGTGATACTTTGTCAACAATATATATGCCATATAATGGTAAAATAATTAAATAAGCATTATATATTTTCTTTAATCATATTTGTTTAATGTTGTACCAATTATCCCGTTTTTCACATTTGCTAGGAAAACTCCTTGGAAAATCAAAAAAGGATCTCCCAAAAGTACCCTCCCAGTCAGATTTCTGTTTAGAAAAAATGCTATCATTTTAAATCCAAGCGAAATTACTGGTAGAAAAGTTGTACACAGAAAAAAAAGGGTATAATATTTTTTTTAAATTAAAAACTAAAATTTCCTTTAAAAAAAAATTCATTAATCTCAATTTTGTTTTTATTACCACAAAGTTATAATCTTAATGAACCTCCAATTAAATTTTTCTAACAATTTTACTACAGCATACCTACCGAATAAATATTACATAAAAAACTCACAAATTAAAATGTCTATAAATACCTCAAAAATGGCTTAAATATTTTGAAAATTTTTCCACTCTTAGATAAGGAAAATATAAATTTTTGTCCAAATTTTAAGTCTCTAAGAATATTTTTAACTGAATTACAACAAGTAACAAAATTGAAAAATAATAAAAGCATTATTTTCGTAAATTTCCCGTTTTTCTTACGTTTTATCCTATTTTTCCCAGATATTATGAAAACCACTTGAAAATTAAAAAAATACTCCCCAAAAATAATATCAGGACAACATTCCCTTTCAGAAATGGTGCTAGACGTATATATCTGAGCAAGATGTAAGGTCGAAATTTTGTACACAGGAGTAAAATAAAAAAAAAAAAAAAATTAATCAACATCTTAGTAAAACCAATACATCTTCATTATATTCAGAATCTTAAATTTTACAAATTGGTTTTTTACATAGAAGATAAAAATAATTTACTTTATTAGGAAAGATTATTTAGAATTAGTTATTATTATTTATTATTATTATATATGTTAAGAAATATATTACTATTTGGTTATTATTTACTATCTGAAATGGATTGATACAAGATATTATTTTGAAAATAGGTTTGAACATTTAAAATATTATTAAAGTTATTTTTCTTTATTTCATTGTGTTTGTGTAATTCTTCTAAAATTGAATTAATGTAAATGCAAAATTTCTCTAGCTTATAACCTTGCTAAACATTTAGATTCTCTCGTAAAAAAAAAATTAAACATAAATACTAATATTTCTATAAAAAAACACTTATGATTTTATTGATAAAATTAATAAAATTAGTATTGTGCCAGGTTACAAAATGATTTCTCATGGCATTAAAAATATATGTACATTCCTAAATATTCCTTTATTCCTAAACACGAAATAGTATTTTTTTAAATAAATAAACTTATACATCGTAATAAATTTAATAAAAACGAAGTACAAGAAATTATTCAATTAATAAATGTAATTATTAATCAAAACTATTTCCAATAAAATAATAAATTGTATTCACAAAAAGATTGGTTAGTTATGAGTGGTCCTTTAAGTGCTCTTTCATTTGAAATTTACATTTAAAATAATGAAACCAATAATATTATTAACAACAAAATATACAGTCCATAAATAGAAGCATATTATAGATATGTTTATGACACGTTCGTTTTATATTTGGAGGTTCAAATAGATAAGAAGAAAAATTAGTAAACTACTTGAACAAAATAAATAAAAACATTCAATTTACACTTGAAATACAAATGAATAATAAATATAATTTCTGATATCTTATAGTTTCCATTATAAACAATAAATTTGATTTTAATATTTACAGGAAACCTACACAAACTGATGCTACAATACCATACTATGCTAATCACCCTTATTCTCAAAAAAGACCATTTTTTAAATTTAATATTCTACAGACTTGAACGTATTTCATTAAATATACATAATTATAAACACGAGCAAAATGTTATTTATAATATATTGTACAGAAATAATTTCAATTTAAATACTATTAAAAAAATTCATAAACATATTAAAGAAAAAATAAAACACAACTCACTAAATAATGTTGTAATATCAAAATAATAAGTTTAACGAATTCGCATGTACAAATAATGTGAAAATCTCAATTCCCGGACGCCCGAAATGTTGAATGGCCAGCCTAAACATAAAAAAAGCACATTACAAAATACACGAAAATAAATCAACACAAAAAAATAAGTAGATAGATAACTTGATCTGGTAACGTATGATAATTGAGTATAAAAAATCTGTAGTGATTCACGCCTACGATCCTTACAATATGATATTATAGAAAACAATGAATAGTCGATTCACGAGAGCCTATAATATTTGTTCCATCCACAAAATGTGTGGAAGAAGTATTTCGTGGAACAAATGATCATTAGAACAAAATATTTTGAAATAAATAATCATTATAATAAACCATTTTTGAAGAAGTGTTCAAAAATTTATTTATGTCACAAACCATACTAAACATAAACATTAAATCCGATAAACATTTCTTCCAAAACTATTTGTTCCATAAAATGTTTGTTCTAAATTATGTTTTGTGAAACAAAGTATCGCAGAACAAAAGTCCATTGAAAAAACATTTGCGGAACATAAGTGTGTTGAAATAAATGTTTTTGGAAGATACGATGTGTGGCTATTAAACAACGAGACTTATCGCCTAGAGGGCGCCCTAGATGGGTAGTGAAAAAAACGAGTAATGCGTTGGGTATCTAGATATCTTATCTATGCACGTATCAAAACACGTTTTCGTCACTATTATAGTATTTGTACAGTAGTGGTTTGAAACGAACGTGTTTTTTTCTCGTGACGAAAACCAGGAGCAACGTATCAATCTCAAATTTCTCGTTAAATTGAAAAAAACTCTGACCGAGTACTATAAATTGTTGCAAGAGGCCTATGGAGGCAATTCTCTATCTCGTGCACGTATTTTTGAGTGGTATATGCGCTTCAGTGAGGGCCGAGAGAGCACTGAAGATGACCAGCGCCTAAGTCGCCCTGTCACTGTTTCAACTCCGGAAACAGTGACCAAAATCAACCAAATTGTGCGTGCAGATCGTCGAATGAGCATCCGGATGATTTCCGAGACTGTAAACGCCGATAAAGAAACGGTTAAAAAAATTTTACATGAGGAATTACATTTGACAAGTCTGTGCGAAGTTGGTGCCAAAAAACCTGACTCCTGACCAAAAGTTCTTGCGTCAACAGGTCTGCTCAGATTTCCTTGAAAAGTTAAAAGAAGATCCCAAACTGATGAAAAACATTANAATTGTTGTAAGAGGCCTATGGAGGCAATTTTCTATCTCGTGCACGTGTTTTTGAGTTGTATAAGCGCTTCAGTGATGGCCGAGAGAGCACTGAAGATGACCAGCGCCCAGGTCGCCCTGTCACTGTTTCAACTCCGGAAAAAGTGATCAAAATCAACCAAATTGTACGTGCAGATCGTCGAATGAGCATCCGGATGATTACCGAGGCTGTAAACGCCGATAAGGAAACGGTTAGAAAAATTCTACATGAGGAATTACATATGACAAAAGTCTGTGCGAAGTTGGTGCCAAAAAACCTGACTCCTGACCAAAAGTTCTTGCGTCAACAGGTCTGCTCAGAAACCGTGAAAAGTTAAAAAAAGATGCCACACTGATGAAAAACATTATAACTTGCGACGAAACATGGATTTTTCAATACGATGTTGAAACAAAGCGACAATCGATGCATTGGAAGACACCTGAATCGCAAAAAAGCAAGGATGTCCAAATCAAAATTTAAGGCAATGTTGATCGTTTTTTTTGACATTAACGGTATCGTGATGACTGAATGGGTTCCAGAGGGTCAGACTGTCAACCAGATTTACTANGATCCCGGACTGATGAAAAACATTATAACTTGCGACGAAACATGGATTTTTCAATACGATGTTGAAACAAAGCGACAATCGATGCATTGGAAGACACCTGAATCGTAAAAAAGCAAGGATGTCCAAATCAAAATTTAAGGCAATGTTGATCGTTTTTTTTGACATTAACGGTATCGTGATGACTGAATGGGTTCCAGAGGGTCAGACTGTCAACCAGTTTTACTATTTATCAGTTTTGGCAACACTGCGAGAAAGAGTTCGTAAAAAACGGCTCGAGTTGTGCAAGAACGACTCGTGGATTTTGCACCAGGACAACGCACCTGCCCATAACGCGCTATCTGTGAAGCAGTACTTGGCCGGTAAGCGCACTCCAGTGCTCGAACACGCGCCGTACTCGCCAGATTTGGCACCGTGCGACTTTTTTTTGTTTCCAAAGATAAAATCTGCTTTGAAANCTCGTGGATTTTGCACCAGGACAACGCACCTGCCCATAACGCGCTATCTGTGAAGCAGTATTTGGCCGGTAAGCGCACTCTAGTGCTTGAACACGCGCCGTACTCGCCAGATTTGGCACCGTGCGACTTTTTTTTGTTTCCAAAGATAAAATCTGCTTTGAAAGGGACCCGATTTAAGTCGATGGAAGCGGTAAAGCAAAAAACGGCAAAGCTCCTAAAGGCCCTCACCATAGAAGACTTCCAGCACTGCTTTGATCAATGGAAAAAACGTATGGAAAGGTATGTGGCGAGGGGAGGAGAGTATATTGAAGGGGAGCATTTGAATGTAGAATAATTTTTATAATAAAACACTTTTTCGTAACCAGTCTCGTTCTTTAATAGCCATACCTCGTATATGCTCCCTAATCACAAAATATTTGTGAATCTGAAAATTGGGTTTACGGTGATGGTCAGGACGCCGACGGTAAAAACGCCAAATAGTATTTACGCCGATGCTATATTTTTTGAACGAGCGAGCCAATCGAGCGAATTCTCAGTTTCGGTACTATACTGGCGAAATTTGCAATTGTGTGTGTGTGCATGTTCTCCTCTAAGATCTGAAATGGGGAAAAACGGGAAGTTTGCTACAATATGACACTAATGATTATACTTCCAATTTCAAACTACTTAATAAAGAATTTAGGTTATTAAAAATACTCCGTCTAGATATTGCTCGAATTTCAAATAAATATATTGCTGGATTAGTCCCAGCACAAGGGTGGACGACAATATTGTCGTTTAACTCGAAACGAAAAATGCCCTTTTCAGGCAATCAAATATATACGAGTATATATACCCATAAGCCATCGATGTACTTATCGTCGCCGTATTTACCAACGACGTTTTTACCATCGGCATCTTTACCATCGGTGTAAATACATGATACCGAAAATTATCTTAATGCTTTTAAGTTCTCACAAGTCTTACTTTAATCTAAAAGCTCAACTTCATAATAATTTAATCGAGGTAATACGGTATTCATGTGTCATTATCCTCATTCAGGAGCGGAATGGGAACAAAATTCAGGTCAGAAGATTGAAATGGATCCAGGCCACTCAATAAAATGCGTACCAAATGACATTTTCTCATTACGCTCGATTTCAGTATTTTAATTTGAACTCACAATACTATATTTTCAATAATAATGTATTATGTGTATACAAAATAAAATTTAGTTAAATAATTGTATTAATACATTTAACTTTTAATACATAATTAAAAATAATTTCAAACTCTATTTTGTTTAACTAGATTATTTAACTTTAGTTGTAATAAGAAACTTGCCTTACTTTTCTTAATAATGTAGGAAAACCGAAAAAAGAACGTCAGCGTATAATTATTTTATAATACTAATTTATATTTCATAAACTACCCCGTTTTGAGTTAATTTTACAAAAGAATCAATTGATATAAACTTCTTCTATATAAATTGAATTATGATATTATGGTATAATATTTGAACAGTTTATCGAAATAACACAAAAAAATATGTATTACATTTTTAAATCATACGAGTAAGAATTACGTTACCCATATAAAATGATCAGGCCACTAGGCCATAATATAGTCCAGGCCATCTGGAAATGGGAATCTAACCGACCAATCTGCCCCTACAAGAAGACTCGATGATTGGTTGTTAAAAACCATATTTCAACACAATTAGATAAGAAATTCTGTGTTTTGCATAAATATGTTCCTCGTAAATTGTATGCATTTGATGATAATTTGATATAAAAATATCGAAGTCAAGAGCTAGTAGGTAGTTATTAGGTATTTTTCAGAATCGAAGTATAGGGAAGTATCAAATGGTTTCATTATGATGTAAGTTATTGAGATTATTGTTATTATAAGTTGTACAATTAAATAAATAATTGCTTAAAAAACAACACATAAAGTGTTAAAAACACTTTTCATCAGAAGTGTCATCTCAAGCCACAATAATTGTATAAGTTAATTTCATTGGTAATTTTAGGATATTATAACCATAATATAACCATGACCATGACATAACCATGATGACCTGATCATTAATCATAGCGTTATATTATAATCTGACTTGGACCAAATTAAAAATATACCACAAATAAATATTGCTTAAAAGTTTAAACCAATAAATATTTTATATTTTGAGTATATTATATTTTTTGTTATTAACAGCTTATTTTAATGAAGCCTTGATACGTATGTATATTTGACCAGCAAAGAAGGCAAACATTATAATTCTCTTCCATGATTCTTCTTATGCAACCATTACTAAATTGATGGCCACATAAGATTAATTTCAGTATGACTATTTCATTGAAACATATGATGCAGAATTCTAAAATCTTTAAAAAAAAAAATAACAACAATGTACTTTAGATTCTGAGTGAAGCAGAGAATGTATTGGTTTCACAATGATGGTCATTTCTTTTCTTTTTTTATTGGTCTGTAAACAACTTTTCTTCTAGAAATCTTACTTAAAAGTATCAAGTATAGCACTTTTTCTGAGAGAGAATTTACCTGGGAAGGTACTTTAAACAGGTCATTATTTGATTTTACTTTCCCTGTTGGTCGGGGTTAGAATAGGCCATCGGTTGTTCCTGCCTGTCGTAAAAAGCGACTAAAAGGGACTTGTAGTAGGGCAGCAGCTACTACAATATTGGGTGTAGGTGCAGATAACCACAATGGTAAAAACAGCTGCACACCAAACAATAGCCAGCAGATACGGGAACTGTATAACTGGTGGCTGCACTGCGATATGGAAGGCAAGGGGAGACCACCGTATAAATCATCCCAAGAAATAGCAATAACATGACATCTTCTAAAGTGAAATATTCCGGAGGTAAAATAGTCCCCCGTTCGGATCTCCGGGTGGGGACTACTGAAGAAGAAGGAAATGTTAAGAGTTGGAGAAGAATAGCTACTTGGAACGTTAGAACTATGTTGCAATGCGGGAAACTTGAAAACTTGAAAATAGAAATGGCAAGAATGAAGATGGATATCCTTGGCCTGTCAGAAATGAGATGGCCAAGAGCTGGAGATCTATGGAGTGGGGAATATAGGTTGATACATACAGGAACAGCGGAGAATAACCCAGGAATTGGAGGGGTAGGCATAATAATGAGTAAGGCTATTGGGAAAAAAGTTAAAGGATTTGTACAGTACAACGAAAGAATAATATTAGTCAAAATCGAAACGAAACTTAAGGATACAATCATAGTCCAAGTCTACATGCCTACTTCTAATAGCAGCGAGAGGGAATTGGAAGAAGTCTATGAAGGAATAGAGAAAGTTATTGAAAAAGTTAAAGGAGATGAAAATCTTATCATTATGGGTGATTGGAACGCTGTTGTAGGAGAAGAAAGCCTAGGGCGCATAATAGGAAATTATGGCCTAGGAAACCGAAATGAAAGAGGAGACAGATTAATAGATTTCTTTTCAAACCACGAGTTATTAATAACGAATACCTACTTCAAACACCATCCAAGAAGAAGGTATACATGGAAAATGCCGGGAGACATAAATAGATATCAAATTGATTATATTATGGTCAAGAAGAGATTTAGAAACCAAGTAAAAGACTGCAGAAGCTACCCAGGAGCAGACATAGATAGTGACCATAACTTGTTAATGATGAAAAGTAACCTAAAGTTCAAGAAAATAGTATCAAGGAAAAACAATGATCGATGGCATATAAATAAATTAAAAGAAGAAAAGGCAAATGATAAGTTTAAAGAACTTACAAACGACATAAGTATAAATGAGAGAACCGATATAAACAATAGGTGGGGTATCATAAAGAGCACAGTGACAGAAGCAGCATCAAAGACTCTGAAAGAAAATAAAACGACAGTACCTAGGAAAAAATGGATAACAACAGAGATAGCAAGTATGAAAGAAGAAAGAAGAAAGCTTAAGAATGGAACTACTTTTGAAAGTCAGCGCAAATATAGAGAACTAAGAAATCTTGTAATACGAAAATCAAAAGAAGCAAAGGAAACATTTTTAAAAGAAAAATGCAAAAAAATAGAGGTACAAATGAGGAATGGTAGCAGAGATGCAGCGTATAAATCAGTTAAAAATTTCTTCAACGATTATAAACCAAATAGGGGGGCAATAGAGGATAATAACGGAGTAATTATTTACGAAGACATACAGAGAGGGGACGTATGGAAGAAGTATCTTGAACAGCTATATGAGGGGCCAGAACTCACAGGACAAGAAATAGAGCATGAAGAAGTAATGGACAATAGCTCAAATTATAGAGTTTTGTGAGAAGAATTTGAAAAGCACTTAAAGATTTAAAAAAGAAGAAGGCAGCAGGAATTGACGAAATCCAAGCAGAACTTTGGAAAGAATCTGGCGAAAGCATGCGTAGTGAGCTTTTTAAACTCTTAAAGGAAATATTCAACTCAGGAGAACTTCCTCTAAACTTTACTAAGTGTAAGATTATTCCTATTCCGAAAAAAGCAACCGCAAACAAATGTGATCAGTACCGTACAATTAGCTTGCTGACACACGTGTCAAAAATACTGACAATAATCATATTAAGAAGAATGGAATATACGATTGAAGCCATATTGTCAGAAGACCAGTTTGGGTTCAGAAAAAATATGGGTACAAGGGAAGCAATATTGGCTTTAAGAATAATTATTGAGAAAAGAATTAGAAAAGATAAGCCTACATACATAGCTTTTGTTGATATAGAAAAAGCGTTCGACAATGTCAACTGGGCAATAATGTTCAAGATACTCAAAAGAGCGGGTATAGAATACACTGAAAGGAGACTACTCTTTAAACTATACCAGAAGGAAACAGCTGTTATACGATTTGGTGAAACTGAGGAGAAGCACGCATAAGAAAAGGAGTAAGACAGGATTGTAATCTCTCACCTAGCATATTCAACGCATACATCCAAGAGGCAATTGACATAATAAGAGAGAAAATACAAGTGGGTATAAAGATAAATGACAGGAAAATTGATATGCTACGGTTCGCAGATGATATAGCAGTCATAGCGGAAAATAAAGAAGAATTACAAAGGATGCTGAGATGTATGGAAGAAACTCTGCTCAATGAACTGAGCATGAAAATAAATACGCAAAAGACCAAAGTTCTCGTGTGCAGCAGAAACAATAATATTACGACAAGAATACATCTGCAAAATAACCAAAAAATTAAGAAAGTAGAAGAGTTCGCATACTTGGGAAGCATAATAAGTAAAGATGGTAGAAGTAAAAAAGAAATAGTTAAGCGAATATGCCAAGCTAAGATAGCATTTAACAAAAAAAGTGGACTTTTTACTTCAAAAAGTATTAGCGTACGCACCAGAATAAATCTTCTGATGACATACGTATGGAGTATAATGCTGTATGACAGCGAAACGTGAACGATTGCCAAAGCAGAGCGGAGAAGGATAGAAGCTTTCGAGATGTGGTGTTTCAGAAAAATGCTTAAAATAAGTTGGACGGACATGGTATCAAACAAGGAAGTATTAGAAAGAATGTCTGTAAGAAGAACTTTATGGAGTAGTATCAAGAAAAGGAGAAATGAATGGATTGGACATGTATTGAGACATTGTGGGTTGCTAGGATTAATCATAGAAGGTTGCGTGGAAGGAAAAAATGCTAGGGGAAGACCACGAATGGAATATATGCAACAAATANATAAAGAGACAAAGAGGAAGGCAAGTAACAGGGAAGAGTGGAGAATTGCTACAAACCAATCTCAGGATTGAATACTGAAGAAAAAGATTTGATTTTACTTTCAAAGCGGTATTTGAAATAAAAGTGATTAAACGGGAAAAATGTACGACTTTACGATATTATTATTTTAAATAAATACGGACGACGTTTTCTACCAGAAATATAGCTTCAGTTGAGAAATAACAAGAAACTTTTTTTGTTGCATTTTAAATTGAGTTTCTTTCGGAATAAGTTCCGAAACATTTAAAATATGTTTGAGCTGTTTATAACAATTTTTATTTTGGGAGTATTTTTGTTGCAATTCGGTTAAAAATAGTCGTAAAGACTTGAAATTTGGAATGTAAACTTATATTGGCTTTTTCTAAACGTGATGAAATGTTCAAAACATTTGACATTTTTTTATATTTTGTAGTTACTCGTGCGTACAATTGTTTAACTAAAAAGAATGTATCACTGAACTTCGCTCAGAATCGTTTTTCGTTAGCAATAATTTATTCAGAGGCTACGCACACAATATATATAAAATGTGTGCCCATGCATATGAAATACTGACGAATTGAATTAGAATGTAGTAGGTGCCGAACACAATTACTAGTGCCGGGAAAATATTTTTGCGATATTTTGAGATTCAGTGTGTGACGACATCCACTCTTAACAATAGGGTCGTAGTCATCGGTATGATTGGCAAGCATCCTTTCTATCTTACCTGTTTTCTATAAGTTTATCGTTTCGTAGAGATATAAATTGCAGGTACCATATAACGTCTTCTTAAGAGTACATATATACATACATACATACATAGTGTTACATACAATTATCTTCTGATCCCCTACGCAATTTTTCCGGACAGATATGTGTTCATCTAACCACATATTTTTAAAGCATACACTTTTGGAAATTCGCCTGTGAAGAAATTTGTTGTCCATTTAATTTTCTTCTATATTTTAATCGAATTTTAAATTCGGCCACACGCTATAATATTCAAATTATTCCTGTTCGCGGGTTGATTACATTTCTTGTTTTTGCGTATATTCGTTATTTGTACAATATATAATGGGCGAAAATACTTATATTAGTCAAATATTTTGAAGGAATGATTGGGGAATTTAAGTATGTCGGAAGAAATCAGGAATGCCATTTTAATTATTTTTTGGTACGCATACATATTAAACAGGCTACTCCTTTTTTCGAAATATTTTACATTATAAATGGCTTATTGACACAATTAATAGGAGGTTAAACGATAAAATACTTAGATTCGAGTTACCATTGATAAGGAGATGGAGAAGTTTTAATAATTTTAATTACTCAAAAAGCTATCCTCGCATTCACAGCTTAATGTACTTCATTTATTTAACCATACATCATTTTAATATTCTGAAGAGCAGTAAAGGCCATATCTTAATCGTAATCGGTTTTTGTCTCATCATCAGCAAATATTTTAAGAAGTTCTATACAATTAGTTTTATTAGTTGAACTTTGAGACTCGTTTTAATAATACAATGGGCCGCCCAGTAGCGACGGCGAATTTGTGATTAGAATAATGAATATTACATAACATTAAAAACAATAATCTTAAAACTACAATAATCATTCGTAAAAACTAATTAAATTAAATCTAATAGTGTGTGTACGTGTGTGGGCATATTATATGCCCCCCCGTTACCGTTAATTACCGTCTCAATATCTGGATAATTTAGGCCGCAAGCGCCAACAATATTACTGTATAAAATATAAAACATATTCATGAAAAAAAAAAATAAACATTTTTACTTATTACTTAACTTAAAATATAACTTGCGAGTTGTGAGTAATATTATTAGTGCTTCGGTGCATTAAGATATTGTATATAGTTAATATGTATTATGTCTATGATACAAAATGTGTGGTGTCCAAGATGCACCTTTCCTCTCAGACAATTTTTACTCGATTTCAAATTTTAGTCATGAAAAAAAAAAGAAATGTTACATTTTTTCTTCCTCAACATTCTTTTTTGATTATCACATGTTCGAAAAAAAATTTGTTTTAGACTTAGCCAAAAAAATTGATAATAGTCCATAGCATGTACTAGGACAACATATCAAATGTGCTTCATATTTTTGTCAAGGAATTACAGTGGTATGATGATGGGAATAATAAATACAATAAATCGTTTGGTCGCTAATTCCAATACCTTAATAACTGACGTTAACAATAATATATGCGAGCAATTCAACAGTGTCATAAATAAATATATTGGAGGAAAACGAATCAATATGTGACAAAGAAACGCATATAACGCTAGGGTTGAAGCTGCTATTATATCGTTTAATTCGAAAGAATATTCATGTTCCATACATAAAAATATAATGAGAAAAAGTCCAGGTAATATAATTATTTGATAAATAGATATATAATATACAATATGAATAATATAATGATATATATATACGATGTTCGATAAAATCAAACATTGTATTTATTAGCAAATATTATACCAGGTGATTCATTTAAGTGGGTACACATTATTTTGGAAAGTATAAACTTTTTCCAGAATTTATTTTCTAGAACATTTCAGAAACAACCTGCTCTACAATTTTATATTTATTTTATTTTTCGTCATCCTTATTTTTGGAGGTAAAACCACTACCTACTTTTGATTTTTAAATGGCAACCTATATTAAAAATTCCATAAATAAATTGAGTATTAGTTAAAACAAATTTGAGTGTTAAAATTTTTGATTTCCGTTGATCCGTTGACGAGATATTTCACTTTTAAGTTTGGGTTGGAGGAAAGTAGTGAAGTGTCATTTGTGTGGCGGTACGGTACGTAATGTGTTATTATTATACCACTATTCTTCTCCAAACTAAAATTAAAGTAGAATATCTCGTCAACGGCTCGACAGAAATAAACAATTTTAACACTCAAATTTACTTTAACTAATACTTTATCTATTTATGGAATTTTTAATATAGATTGCCATTTGAAAATCAAAAGTAGGTAGTGATGTTACACCCAAAAATAAAGGTTACATAAAATAACATAAAAATAAAATTGTAGAGTTGGTTATTTCTTAAATGTTCTAGAAAACAAATTCCGAAAAAAGTTAATACTTTCCGAGATAATGAGTGTACCCACTTAAATAAATCACCCGGTATGTATTATCAAAGAATCTATTTTTATAATTAATATTATTACAGGTATGTTTTGTAAAACTTTTTTAAAAAACGCCCATCGACAAAAACTGAATAACCAAAGAAGGCGAGCATTATTCATCAGAAAGAAAAGTAATAAAAAATTGAAAACATCACGTCCTGATGAATACTATTGTCTTGCAGAAGAATATTTTTCTTTATGATTAGGTTATGAAATGTAATTATTTTTAGACATTTTGATGTTAAAAATAATTTGTTTTAGATATTGTACTATTGACAAAGAAACAAACAAAATAAAATTTAAAAAATACAGTGACTATTATTATTAAGTGCAAGGACAATTGCATATAACAGGCAAAACAGCATGTTACTTTTTTTTATTTACAGAAAATTGGAATCATATTATAAATATTAATTATAATGGTAAATTTTGGTCAGCTAAAATAATCAAACAGTTAAATCAGTAAATATGGATTTCTAATCGTAATATAATAGGTAGCAACTTGATACAATTTTTTTTTTTTAGATTTTATACCGAATGTATACTTCCAGTATTGGTATTACCACAATATGGAAAACGATTATTGATAAGTGATATTCGTAAACCAGATCACATAAGAAATAAATAAAAACAAAATATTTGTTACCAATATTACAATACTGAGTTTTAGGAGCCCTAACTCTAAATATATATATTCTATAATATTATATCATGTATTTTTTTTATTGTGTATTTTTTTGTAACAGTTCCAATATTCCAACATTTATTATATTTATATGAACAAAATGCATGTCAAAAACGTAAATAAATTCAATTATTTCAAATTCATTTCTCGTAAAGTATTCTTAACTTGAGAAGTAAAAATGTTATTAAAACGATTCAAACTATTATATGAAACGTACTTTATAATTAATTTATTGATACGTATGTAAAAATAAACAGTAGTTAATTAGGTACTCGCGCCCATTATAAAACTTTCGTCAAGGTGCGACGCTGCGCAGCGATAGCATATACAGGAATAAAATTAATTTTAAGTTGACGTGTCATGCATAACACGAAATTCAAATGATAATAAGACGCCACGCTTTCGGTGCTGTTTAAAAACGAAAACATGGCGGACCGGTCGCTGAGACAGCGAGTAATGGGCGTGACTACGGCCGATTGCCTCGACGGCGATACGGTGCGCACCGCTATCTATTAAGCGTTATATACGTTCTACTTTTACGCTGACATCCTCTTAATATATTGTAATTTGTTATCATATTTTCTGTTATAAATTTTTTTTTTACTTTAAAACATTACAAACTATTAAATTTTAAAAATTAATTAAAATCCCCCCATCATATTATATTATGTATTGTTATTCGCGTGCTACATGCTATGTGAAATTCTTAAGTATCACAAAAACCTCCTGTGATAATCTCCTTATCCTCGTACAAAAGGTTACAAAGTGACTCATAGTTCTCTGGTTTCTTAAATAGTCAATCATATTTTCATACATTAATTGTAACTCTCGTCCAGGATATGGATCCCCCATATCTAAATTTATTTCTATCACGTGTCTCCCCAAACATCCCAATGTAATATTGTATGCTAAAATTGTGACTTCGTGTCTCCTTCTTAGTAGTTCTATCAGTTTTGATAGAAATTCACAAGCCCTTTTGGAGTTGTACTCCCTAAAACATATCATTCCTTGTCTTCTGCTAATTATTTTATTCTAATTTAGTTAATTCCCACTTCCAATACATATTTTTTTTTACAAATTATGTACGTATATGACCCTATATAACCTATCTATACATATTTATTTTTTTAAATTATTTTCATCGTTTTTTTTATAGCCTATTTACGCGTTTTTATGCATAGTCTAGTGCTATGTCTGATAAGTCTGTGACCTTTAAGCACGGTGTATCATTAGGTAGCAAGTCCAAATTGTCTATAATAAATATTTCTATTCAGTTGTATGTATATAAATATATATATAGTAAATTCGATATATTGTACGGTTTCACCAATTAGGTGTTTGCGTACATAAAATGTCTCGCGAAACAGTCTATTTCTATACCACCTTTTATTAATATCTTATCATGTCTCGATTCCCGCAATATTACAACAAATTTCCTTAAGAATTCGAGCCTCCTTAAAGTAGAACGTCTAAAACATATATTGTTTTCTAATTTATATTTTTAATTCCCGTCATCATACACATTTATTTATTTTTATCATTTTAATATTTATTCTTTTTTTTTCTAGCTTAATACTAATTATTCGTTATATCATATATATATATATATATATTTATTTTGCCCTTTATATTATTTATCTATGAACAAAAAAAAAATTATAAGCCAACGATATCAATAATTCGATACGATATCGATACTGTGCCAACGGAACTATTTCTGTAATTAGAACTGAGTTATTAAGTTACGTAAGTTACTTGACAAATTTGTTCGGGTCCTTATAAGCCCTAATCATCATACAGTTACGAATTTTGAAATGCGGTTAAACTAAATGAATAGTTAGGCTTTAAAAAAGGTTCATATTAATTCTCTTTGAATATAGGTATAATTCAGTCGTATGGTAATTAAATCAAAAAAAAAGCTGGGGGTGAGAACGAACACTATTATTGGTGAGAAGTTGGGAAGGAAGGATACATAAGGTTATTTCATTTATATCTGTAAGCAACAATAAATCATTGCTTGATAAAAGACGATTCCGAGCACAGTTCGGTAACACATAATTTGAAGTGCCGTAATTTTCTTTTAATAATTTTCATTTATATTCGATTCCAAAATGCTTATTAAAAAAAAAAGTCGTCTGATGATTTTTAAAATTTTAACATGTCTGGATAAGTTCAATTTGAGTATTATTACCCAGTTTCAAGTCTCTACGTGTATTTATAACCGAATTACAGCAAAAAACTCCCAAAAATTAAAATTCCTTAAAAGCTCAAAAGTGGCTTAAAGATTTGGCGATAATACCGTAATTAAGTAAATAAAAAAAGTATCATACGATTTTTCGAGTGAATTATTTTTCTGGTAGAAAACGCCGTCCGTGTTTTTATAAAATAATGAAATTTCGAAATTGTACGTTTTCCCACATTTTTCCCCACTTAAGTACTTTTATTTAAAAAAAGGCGTCAAAACTCAAAAAATAACATGTATAGTGTACAATCTACACAACTTGGACTTTCAGAAAAGTTGTTACAGGTAAAAATCGAAACAAGTTTACTGGGAAAAATGTGTTCACAAACTAGAACAAAGAAAGAAAGAAAATATATCTTAATAAAATCAATAGCTCCCTCGCTACGCTCGGAATCTAAAACGACTTGCGCCATAAGAATCAAGATGTATAATGATACAAAAAAGTTTCTCGTCATTTTTCGATTAAAGCACTTTTCCTAATAATAAATGGTTTTCGCATTACTGTAAAATAATGATATCGTGAAATTGTACATTTTTCTTATGTTTTTACTCAATTATTATGAAAACTAATTCGAAAATTAAAAACACGAACTGCACCATTAAAAACAAGATTAATAATATTCAACGAAAAATGTCTCTTGTCGTTTTTCAATTGGAGCTATATTTGTGATAGAAAACGTGGTAGATACTTATTTAAAATAAGGATATCGTGAAAAAATCCTATTTTTTCCCCGGTAAATCGTTTTTATTTTTAAATACCGGTTCCAAAATCAAAAATAACCTTTTTAATATACAATCTAGACAACTTAGAATTTCATAAAAGTTGTTACAGGTAAAAATCGAAACAAGTTTACTGGGAAAAATGTGTTCACAAACTAGAACAAAGAAAGAAAGAAAAAACATCTTAGTTAAACCAATAGCCCCTCGCTACGCTCGGAATCTAAAATTACCTTTAGATTATTGGTATAACCAGGGAAATTTAAATGAGAGAAGACAAGCACTTGCAGAAATATAAACCGGGGGGGGGGGGGAAGTAGTCAAAAGTATAATGCTTTTTTTACAACTTAATCATGACCTAAATATTTAAGCCATACAAAAAATAAAACAGTTAATATTTAATACCAACTAAAATAGCGGGGGAGTGGGCCATAACCACTCCCCTGCGAGCGCCATTGGGAGGGGATGTAACAAATAAAAATCGTGAAAAAAGAGTAAAATCGTCTTCTCTACCCAATTTGATTATGGAAATTGGTAATTTAAAAGCCAGATCCTAAAAAAAAGCCAATTTCTAATCAATACATCAAGCTTTTGCTCGGAAATCGGCCGAAATTTATAAGTTTCGATATTAGATGACTCAAATTTTGTTGTATTTTTAAGCCAATGGGGGGGATATAACTCCTCCAATGCCCCCCTCCTGGGCACGCTACAACCCTAGAGTTTTAAGTCGATCAAATTTCGTTTCAAAGAAGGAGCTACGTTTGAAAATCGATGCAAGATTTATGGTAGCTAAATTGTTCACAGATATAAAAAAACAAAAAATAAACATCTTTGTTAAACCGATACATTCCACCCATCACTCAGAATCAAACATTTTAAAAATGTAATTAAAACAATAAGTATTATTAAAAATGAAAATTATATTACAGGATATTTTGTTTTTAAAAAGTATAATTTTTAATAAGTATAACTAAAAGGTAAACTTTTTTTATTATTATTATTTTTTTGATATTCTCAATGGAAAATACTGGTAAACTAAAGTCAGTATAGTATTGTAATACAATTAGTTTACAATTCAACATGCTGTGTTGTGTTCCTAATTGCAATTTATCAATTGGTAGTACTTTTGGCATACCTAAAAATACATTTAATTTGTTGCAAAATGCTCTTGCTGAAACCCAATTATAGAATATGTGAGTTACATTTTAAAACTGATGGCATTTTAAAGACATGGGTTTCAGGCCAAAGTTAATTTTCGATTAGTGAGTATCAGTCTAATACTTAATAATTTAGATAGGCTCAACCATATTATAATGTATAATATTTGTCCATTTGTTCATCCTAATGTTAATTTTAGTAGTTTTAAATATTATCTCTTAGATATGTGTTACAAAAAAACTAAATTATGAGAAGAAGCCATACTAATTAACCGACATTTATTAAATAATATATTTACTTCAAATATTATGGTATGCAGTATTTTGATTTTACTTAAAAAAAAAAAAATAATAACAATGAAAATATGTTTTGTTACAATGAATAAACAGCAAGATAGTAGAGCTTTGGATATTACGTATAATAGAGAAAATAATTAATTTCTATCAGTCAATATGAGTACATATAGTGATTGTGATACCAGTATAAATTCATCATCTGATTGTACTATTATATCAAAAAAAAAAAGATTTTATCAAAATGCCGCTTAATAGCGCCAGTCTGTAATTCCACAGCTGTTTTGAGGATTCAGTTTTACGGTCTTAAAAAATACAAAAAATCATAGGTCGATGTTTAATCTGTATATCTTAAATCGTGGCCATCGCGTAAGCATTCAGATTGCCGAAGAAAATAAGAAATGTCCATAGATAGTCGTCTCTCTATGACTGAGGATATTTTATAGTTATGCTCAAACTAAGATTGTTTTTTATTGTAATTTATATTGTTTTGTAAGTTTTAAACCAATAATTTAATACAAAACTTCAAATTGTCTTAATTATTATGACATGATAATAAACAATACAAATTATAAAATAACTGTTAAACCTGTAAACTACACGAATTAACATTCAATTATAGGGTCAGTTGTACATTTTTATGGTTAACCTAACCTAAACAGTGATTAATAAATCAATGATTAAATCGCTGTGTGTTGTAAGGTTAGCGATTTGATTTTGATTAGTTAATCAATTGTTAAATTGTGATGCGGTTGTTTTTATACAATATTTTCGTTATTTTTTTATTACAATCGGTACCAACAGGGCAGTGTAAAATCAAAGAAACGGGTCTTCCAAGGTCTTTCGTCCAAGGGGGTGGGGAGAATGTAGTGACGCCCATAACGGTATACGCCACCACCTCCAGTATTCTTCTCGTAGGGTCCCCGGCACATATTCGACAACAGTCGCCTCGTTATCTCTTACCTTGTTTCGTCATGCAAATATTCACCGACTGCTCCTAACCGAATTATTTGTTGTGCTGTTATTTGTCATTTTATTTACTGGTAAATTAAATATTGAATTATTATATTAATCACATTGTGTATCTTAAATTAGTTGACGCAGTCAACTAATTTATATATTTATCAGGTCGTATTCTATTGTTACCGAACATATAACCTTCAAACTAATCATGAATTATATTATATTATACCCTGTCCAATTTAAAAGTATACCCGTTTGTGCATAATTCTGTACGCCGCGCGCTGTCATCGTCAATACCGCCGTCGTGTATTTAGCGAGTTTTAATATCTATAATACCTATTGTCAAATAAATCTTAATATACACGCATATCTATACTGTTTCAATCAAATTAACAGGCAGCATAGAAAAATTGCATTACTTAAAACGTAAATTGTAGCGTTTATTTAAATTAAAACAGAGCATTTGTGCGAAAAAATACGTGTACGCGGTAAGGTCGTTAAAACAAAATGTTATCGATATTTTGTTCTCTACATAAGTTGTATACCACGTGTATCGACGGGGACGAAATTGATAGGCGGATGAGTGGATGAAGCGGTACAGGTAATCGAAAGAACACATGCGCGAAAATGGCGGTGTCTTCATCCGCCGCCGAGTATACTCTTAAGTTGAACAAGGTAGCTACATGCCATTATGTTATTAATGCAGTTTAGTGTGTACTAGAACACGTACTCTAATCTAACCTGTGAATAAAGCACATAGGATCTGACATCACCTAACTTAACCAAACCTAACGAAAACACGAATACGTCGACAACTACGTACAAGTCTTTCTAGTTAGTTCCTACTTTTGTCGTTTGACATTGTCCGGGATGCGCAACTACACGTGCGTGATAACAGAACCTGTGACAGCTGAGTCATAGCAGAATATTATCAAAACCGGCGCCATAATTACTACATTTACTATTATATTACAATTTATTTTATTTCATTTACTCATTTTTATTGTTAGAGTTTTTAATAATTAGTATCAATTAATATGGTATAAATTCTTGGACCTAACCTAATCTACTAGAACGACGGAAATCATTAGTAAAATTGTAGATGTTATTTTGTTTTTTTTTATAACAGGTATACCTACGACTTAAACACTAAGAAATTCAATTGATCATGTCATATCAAAATATGGAGATTATATACCAAGGGTGGCTAATAAAATCACCACCTGAAAAAAAATTATTAAAAACAATGGGTTTTAAATTGGTAAGTCAAAATGATTTTAATTATTTTTAATTTATTTAATCTATTAATTTATTTCGAACAATTTAGTTATAATTTTTAAGGAAAAGTATTCTGTACATTTAATTTTAATTATATTTTGTTTTTTTCATTTGGTATAATATCTGACATATTCTCCAATAAAAATTATAGTATTACATTTAAGTTAAATGTCGATCTTGTAGAAAAAAAACCAACTAATTTCTTACTAATGTCTTTTCCCAACTATTTGAGGTCAGCCACCATAGTCCTGAATTTTTATCAGACAAGGTTTCGCATGTCACTCTTAATATTATCTAACAATCTGCTTTTCATTATTTCTCTTTTCCTCTTTCTCATAGGGCAACCTGAGAATTAGAAGGTTATAAGTAAACTGTTTTTTTTTTTTTTTTTTTTTTTTTATAAGAATACAAATATTTTTTTTTTTTTTTTTTTTTTTTTTTTTTGTAATATTTGTATGTATTAAACCTATCTATTATCTATAATTAAGTTTGAATGTTTTGTTTTGTTTTTTTTTTTTTTTTTATAAGAATATAAATATTTTTTTTCTTACTTTAGAAATGGCGCAAACGATGGTTTGTTTTACACAACTCTAATTCTCATTTTACCCTTAGTTATTATCGAGATAACTATTGTAGTAAACTTAAGGGCCAAATTAATTTAAATCAATGTGAACAAGTAAGATTCATTACTAAAGTTATATATTATTATTATTATTTTAATAGGTACCAATTTTAATTCAAAATGATTTCTAAATACAATATTTCTCATTTATGCAAAACATTTTCTAAAATCATGATTTTTGAAATTATAAATATTTCCAATTATAATTTAAAAAGAAAACTTATAACAAAATATTATAACTTTACATAAATTATTAATTGCTCTTAACTTTTTTTGCTTCAAAAATAATTTTACACAGATTTTTAATTTAAATTTGTAATTATAATTAAAAACTAATAAATATTTGGTATAATTATATATAATATTAGTAATAAAATAAAACTACCTGTTATATAAAAGGTGTAAGACGAATATCTGCCACTTGAAATAACATTTTTTCTATTCAATATTTTGTATGCATTTTTTAAAAATAATTAGTATACCTGTGTACTACAGTTAATTTATGAATATTTTTTTGTTAGGGGGGGGGGGCTAAAATACAAAATTTTAAATTTTAATTTAATTTTTTTTAAACAAATTCAAAATAGCCATTTTTGAAAATGGATTTATAAAAAATGTTTGGTAGTTGAAACTTCTGTTTAGATATGGTCTTTTATTTTTCACAGTTTATTAGTTTGTTTATAGTTATTTTACCTGAAATTTTAGCAAATTTTGATATTATTGTGGTTTATAATCTGTTACAATATTTAATCAGCAATTGGAGCACATCAAATGACAAGAATTTTCTTTTCCCCTGAGTTAATAATAGATAATAATAAACAATAATAACATTTAAATTTAAAAAAGGTTCAAAACATTTTACAAAATAACAGACCATTACCAAACCAAAGTTTCAACCACCTAAAATTTCTTATACATTTATTTTACAAAATGGCTATTTTAATTTTTTTTAAAAATTTTAATTTAATTTCATTTAAATTTTGTATTTGAAGTTAACTCTTCCTAAAAAAAAAAATGTTCATGTATAAACTAAAGCGCAAAAGCATACTAATTATTTAAAAAAATATTGAATACAGCAAAAGTTACTACAAGTGGCAGGTCTTCATATTACACTTTGTATATCACAGTATTGTTAATCATCATTTATAATTAGGGTCCTGAATAATATTAGATCTTTATATAAATAGTATATTATATTATAAAATGAAAACTTGATTTTTGGACTTTATGTATATTTAGTAAATGAGAAATAATGTAAAAAAAGTACAATTATTTTCAAGTTGCACTTATACAAGACAATGATTCATTTTCTTATAAGGTATACAGAGTAATTTTTTTTGATCATTAACCAGCAATTTTTTTTGGAGAATTTTAAGTGAATTTGATTTGTTTTTTTTTTTTTTTTTTTAATAATTGTGTCATCATTTAAAAGCTTTTCTTCAACAAATAACAATTTTAATCTTTTACCGGTGCCTACTCCATATACCTTAAATAAGTACATACTTTTATTTCTCAAAAAATTTAATGTTTATGAGTTGTAAACGTTTAAAGTTTAGACCTGACAGAAGTTATAAATTTATCATTCAAAAATAGATATGCAATTTATTACCTTTCCCTGCTCCTTCAATCTAAACTTTAAATGATTATAACTCATAAACGATAAATCTGATATTAGTGTTATGCATACCAAAAATTCCAGAAAAATATTTTCTATTTGAATCTATGTTTAAAAAGGGTATTTTTTATTTGAAAAATAAAAGTTCATGATAAAAAAAAATCACTCTGAATAATAAATCTGAAATTGACAAATTTTTTATTAGGTTGATTGTGAATTAAAATGTGATAGTTGTAAATACCAATACATATTTGATATAAAAACACCAGAAAGAACTTACTATTTGGCAGCAGAATCAGAAGAAGAAATGAAAAAATGGATACATTTTGTGCATAATATTTGTGGTCTAAAACTATTTACTGGTGGTGAGAATGCATGTATATACTTAATTTATATTAATTTTTTTAATGGCTTATCCTTGGTTATATTTTATTTTAGATTCTGAATGCATGTGTTTTATGTGTCATAACAGGCCCATTCCTGTTAGTTCTACTATAAATAAATATGAATTACCACAATCTATTCAACCATCCCCAAGTTTTAGTACAAAATCAAATTTTGATGATGTCGAATCTATAAATGATATTTTACCACCTGTCATCAATTGGTTAACACACCCAAAATTTTCTCAAAACCCATCAAATTTATCTAAAAGTCCTAGTTTTAATAACATATTATCAACAGAATATACTTTAATTCCCCCACCAAGACCACCAAAACCTGCACACCTTAAAGAAACATTAGGACAAAAAGTCAAATTAGATGAACCTGTAAATGATAATATTTACGATTTTCCAAGATCCCACCAAATAACACCACCTTTATGGTCAGCCAAGGCACATTATAATCATTATTATAAAAATGCACCACCCGGTAAAATTAATTTAGAAAATATAAATACATTTCATTCTAAAACTGGAGAAGATAATACTGTGAGATTAGAAAATAGAAGTTTCACAAATTCACCTTTTGCCGTTTCCAATACAAACTTATTTTTAATAGAACACACTCCTCCTCCTGTGAATCGTCTATTAAAGCCAAAGCCTAGTGAAAATTTTTGTTGCAATCCTAACAAATGTTTCCCATTAGCTCCGTTCACTAATCCACCTGTTGTAGAAGGTGTTAGGAATTTTCAATGTAAACAAAACCAAGAATCCTTTAGTGGTAAATTTTTATATTTGTTTATCTTATTACCTATAAATTATGTTAATATTTGTTTATTTTAATTATTTGAAGGTATGAGTAATACTCTTTTAACTGATACTCGTTCACAATATCATCCACTAATAAGAAGTTTGAGTCATGAAAATTCAAGTATAGAATCTAATACTGTACCTACATATTTTGAATCTTTAAGAAGCAATTCAAAATCTAGACATAACAAATCTTCAGACAAGGTAATATTTTAATTTTATTAACAGTTTAATATATGTGTATTAACATTTAACTCTCATTATGCCGAATCTTAAGAGAAACATAAATTAATTAGAGATATTAAATTTATTAAAAATTTTAAAATGTAAAAAAAAACATCATGTCTTTTCTTCCAATATGTAAGCCAACCATTACTACTAGTTTTAAAAATAGTGAGACCTAAATTAACATATATTTTATTTTTAAAATGAAAAAAAAGATTTTACAAGAAAAAAAATGAAATCAGTATCACTGTACGTACAGTAAATATTTGCTGTTATACCTACAATTTGTTTACTATTTAATTATTATGAAAACCCTTTAGAAAATCAAAAAATTATCATCTCAAAACACAAATTACATAAAATTTCCTTTCAAAATAGGTGCTACACTTGATATATTAGAACAAGATATCTGGTAGAAAAATTACTCACATATAAAAAAAACCTCGCATCATAGTAAATTTACTCCACTCCTTACATAAAAGATTGATATTACTGATGGGTGAGCCGCTGTTTTAGGAGGGAAGTTTTCAGAAATATATATAGAGAAATTAAATTTATATCTGTATGCAACTATAAATCATTGCTAACGAAAAATTATTCTAAGCATTTTTTTGGCAAGGTACTTAACCCAGGAATCAATAAAAATAATACAACAAATTGACAGTTTTTCCCATTAATTAAGAGAACAACGAGAAAAATCAAAAAATTATCTTCTCAGTGTACCAACTAGATTAAAAATTCTACAAAAAAACTCCTAGACAATCTTTTATTGGAACAAAATTTCTGATAAGAAAAAAGTAAAACCAAAACATTGCTCAGAATATAAAAAAGCCCCTTTAATAAAGTATGTATTTTATTGTATTCAAATATTCGTTAATTGATTAAATATTTATAATACTTCCAATTAAATAATTTAGATAATAGGTATCTCTACCTAAACAATTTTTTTATATTCTAAGCAAAGAAAGGAATTTATTAACTAGTTTATTGAGCAATGTACCTGGATACCTTTTATACCTTGGCGTTTACGCTTATCTGTCAGATACTGGTAGCCGATTGCTCTGAAGTATATAAATTCCTAACAACATGTTTGCCAAGCTAAACCAACCAACCAAGTGCTAGGGTGCCGTGTATTTATCAAATGTCGGTGTGAACGCAGTGTGTGTGTATGTGGATGTGTGGCTTAAATACTAAGAGGAAGGGTAACTAAATAAATGGTAACTCAAAAAATGCTTTAATTACTGTGTGTATTGCTGGTACAAATTTTAAAAATGTAAAAATGACCCTCTGGATCCAACAACAAAAAAAGGTAAACAGTAGAAATAAATCACAGCAAGCACATAGTACAAACAACAAATAGGTAGGTATATAAAAATTATCGATAGTTATCCGAGTAATTATCCCATTCCAGCTCAACAAGAAATCATATTAACAACAATAGAAAACAATTTACTCACAATATTCAAATGGAGCGTAGACTGGCCAACCGCTATAGGTACCTATAATCTAAAATACAAAAATCCTCGACGAAAATACACAATACGATAACAATAAAACGGGAACAGTTAATTTACGATCGGTAACAGTGGCTGGCACAATAAAATAATCATACAAATAGGCGATTTAGATATTATGCCAAAAATTTTGTTCCAAATACACTATTTTCGACTGGACCATTTTGAACGGATGAACAATAATAATAAAAAAAAAAAGTCCGACGCGTATCGCGTCCGCGTATTACATAATAGGTACCTAACCTAATTGATAATAATGATTGTTTAAATTATCTTAATCTAATGAATGCGCAAGTGATTGTGTGAGTGCGTCCATCAGTCCCGTAGCCGTGACCGTGAAATATACGATATCGCATAGACGGAGGCACGCGAGGGAGCTTTAAATAAAACCGCGATTAAGAGGACGCCACACAGACATCTACTGTCACCAAGATCAAGTAAATTTGCGTTCAGTAGGGCACATTTTATGCTGTTAGTTTTAATATTAAAACAAATAGACCTATGTATCACCAAAATTCAAGGTAGGACGATTATAATATGTGCTCTGGCGTTGATGGTTTTTCGATATTTTTATTTTTAAATGAGATATGAGCATAAGCACAACTAGGGAGATGCTAAAGTGTCTTTAGCACCCCCAAAAATACCCAATAAGCTGTTTTATAGTAAAGACTAAATAATGTATCCATGTATTTTATAATTAATAAGCACAACAAAATACACAAATTACCTACTGACAATGCATGTGTTAATAAAGTTGAAAAATGTATGATACATTTTTACATAAAAATTGTAAATAAAATGTGTAGTTGCTTATTAGAAGTATTGTGTAAAGAGGATTTTGGGAGTATCACCTCTATGGGTCTATGGTGTGTATAATTTTAGCAACCCAAAGGTTGGTGGTCTAGTTGCGCCTTTGAATATGAGTATGTTAAATATCACAATATAAAAATGATTATATCTTGCTTAAAAATTTAAATATCAAAAAAATACCAACACTAAGGCCATGTAAAATCTTCTTACCTTTAAGTTTGGTAATAAGTTAATTTGCTTTAATACTGAGAGCAAATTTGCATTTGCAACAACTCAAAAATAATCAAAAATTAGTTGACTACAAAGTTTTTTTCTTCTCTTTTTCAAAACTATTTCAATTCAAAAACGCAATACAAATTAGTCATATTATTGAGTACTAAAGAGCTCTTATTTCGTTTTAGAGTAACAAATTTGGATTAAGATATTATCGGTGATGGATCTAACACCCAGACAACCTGGGCATATCTGACCAAGCCTCAGCCATGTGGGTCCCCTTAGCGAAAATGTAAGGGTAAATAAGTATAAAAATAGTTATGCTACAACACATCATATTATTAGAAGTTATTATACAATACAGAATGAATATCATAACATTTTTAATTTGATTCAGTAATAATTTTATGTAGAATTAAATTCATTAGAATCTAAATTAAATTATATTTAAAATTTGAATGCATGCCTAATTTCATTTTAGATTCTTAGTGGAGCAAAGTAGCTTATGGTTTTACAAAGATATTAATTTTTTTTTCTGTGAAAAGATTTTATACCAGAAATCTTGCTCTGATTTTTAAGTGTAGCATCTTTTCTTTGTGTAAAATAAAATATTTAGCATATTTGTTATTGTTTTTACAAGTGTTTTAAGTTCAAATTTATAACACAATATAGTAAAATACAAACAATATTGTAATTTTTTTTTGTAGTTATAAATTAGTACAAGTTTTTTGTTATAAAGCACCATTGAATCACAATAATCTTAAAGTTGAAAAAAATATAGACTACCTTTTTACCTATCTTTCTAGATAGACTACCTTTTTTCCAATGTACCCTTGATATGTTCTATGACTAAAAATATAATTTTACATTAATTTTACTTATATTCAATATTTAATTTTTGAATTTATTTATAAAACATAATATCTTGAAAAATTTCTATCAGATAACTTTTAAGTTTATTTAAGTAGTTTTATCCTCATTTAATATATGAATTAGGAACAATAAACAAATAGTAAATATTGTAATAATAAATGAACTGCTCACATGTTTGTCATGTTTATGATTAAAATGTGCCTAAGTTATTAATTGTATCTATATACCTATTAGAGGAAATGTTTATAATATATTATTTTTAATTCTAGGTATTATCATATACAAGTAATAGGATTTCTTCAAGTTCAACTTGTTCTAATGAAGCTATTCTAAATGAACTTGGCTCAATAAAAGTAAGTTATCAAATTACTGCAAAAATAATAACAATAATAAATTAAACATAATATATAAATGTACATGCTTAGGTCTCTGAAAAAAACAATTTCATGGGTAATGAAGACTATACATTTACAACAATAGATTTTTTTAAAACATCTGCTTTAAGGATCACTAGACAAATGGCTGAGCAAGATCGAAAAATGGGACGAACACGTAATCACAATAATTAAGACATGTAGATACTTCATAGTTTTTAAATGCAATTTTTATACAATCCTGCAGGGATTTAATTATTCATTATTCATTATTTAAAAATTAATTAATATGAAAGATCTACATTTGGTTGTTTTGATAACACAGTTATGTATTAATATTTTTCAGCTATTATTATTATTATGTATTACTTATAATTGATTTATTGATATTTTACTTATTCATTACAATTATTTATACCTAATTTTTTATTTATGAACTATTTTTTTTCAATTATTGACTTTTTAATTATTAATTATTTAAATATATCTGAATGTTTTTTTTTATTTTGCAATTATTATTGGTTAGGTACCAATTGGTAATTGTAATAATTACTAATTTTTTTTTTTTTTTTTAATTTACTGAAATTGTATAAATTAATTTTTTTTGGTTACCTAAATGGTTTTTTTCCTAAGTGTGTATCTGTTAAATCACTTTTTAATATTGACTTATTTTTTAAATTTGTTTTTTTTTTTTTTTTATTAAACAACTTAAGTTTTGTACCTACATAATAAACAACATATAATAAAATACATCTGCTATCTTATATTTTTATCTATTAGCTAATTTACTTGATTGTGATGATGATAAATTGTAATAAATAGGTACTTATTTAAAACCAAATATAATACCTATAATAAATAAAAACTAAAGATATTATCCTAATATTGCATACATGTATTGGTAGATGACTACTAGTTTCAGATTTATTCCATCATCCAGTTACTTAAAGTTAACCATGTTAAATGATTTACAATAAAAATAAATTTTAAATGACAAAAATGATATTAAATCGTTTTTTTTGGTTAAAAAAAAAATAGAAGAACATACCTGTAAGTTTTGATACATGATTTAAATTTATTGAAATAAATTAAATTGTCTCTTCAATTACTGATTTTACAACTCTGAAAGTCTGGACTAGGTCAAGAAGGGCTTAGCTCAATATAATTCAAAAAATTGTTTGGTTGGTAATATTTGATAAGAAATCTCATTGGTTCCCAAAACTAGTTAAACATTGATATTTAGACGGTTGGTAGACAATAAATTACTATGTTTACATGTACAATTAGAGGCGGTTTAAAAATTAAAGTGGTTTAATCAAGCATCATGTAAACACTTTAAAGCGACCCTAATAAAATAAACTGGTTTTAATGTAAGGACGCTCGGATATGTATTTAACGAAATTAAATCGGTTTTATAAATAAAATCGGTTGTATTTTTGTACATGTAAATGAAAAAATTATTTTTATTTTGATAAGTAATAACATAAATCATAATACAAATTATTCAGACTCATGAGTTAATAAGCTCATAAATTAAGAACGACTTAACTCTTATCATGTAAACGTAGTAAATAAGCACAAAATATGGACTACGTGAAAACAACTATAAAAACAAAAAAAAAGGGCGTTAAACAATAAATGGTTGATAGCATGGTTTGTCGCCGACCGAGGTTGTTGACTTTGGGCCCTGATTGAAAATGGAAGGAAATCCGATAAAGAACGTTTTATTTCACAGAAACATAGCTAAATAATTTTTCTTTAAGACAATTTAGTCAGATAAGTGCTTCTCTGCCAGAACAAATCTTAAAGAGCATGGCAAGTTTACTTATTTTACATATCGCCTGATATATCCTTTTAAGGTTTTTGATCCCTATAGAAGGAGATCAGAATGCTATCACGGTAGGTACCTATACCTGTGGTGAGAGATGGCAAAGGGGGATACGTCAGGTTGACAGCTGGTATAAAAATGTTAAATATTCTGAGAATTCCTAAACAAGGAATTATTATCGAATGAACAGCAAATTGTCCCATTTCGGATGTACGTAAGAACATTAAAAAAATAAGAGGATATATAATAAAGTGTGATTGGATAAAATGGAAAAAAGCGTCAAATTTTTAAGGGTCAAGCGAATTCCGATGAGACTTTTAAATGTAAATTCTACACAAGTTTCACCACATTCGTGTAGAAAATGACTTACTTAAGTTTACTAGGAAAAAACGTGTCCACAGACTAGAAGAAGAAAAAAAAAATCATCTTAGTAAAACCAATAGCTACGCTTGGAATCTAAAATTATAGTTTTTGGCATAGGTACCTACATATTTATGACAAAGGGGGAGCTGTTTGAAATCAAACACCCTCGCTACGCCCTTGGATACCTACTTCTTAATACATAAAATATGATTATTATTATATTAGTTTTAATAATTATTATTATAATAATGACTAGAGGGTAGCGTACCATTGACAAAAATTAACGAAAATGAAGTTGCGATTCTAAATTTTGTTTTGAGTGAGGACGATGATGCCATTGAGTTAATTTATAATAGCCTATTACTTTAAATTAAGTAATCCAAAGATAAATACTTAATTACATGGGTAACAGATAACGTGGTATACGTGGTGTTCTGATATACATATGTTACCTTGTTCATGAATAACTGTATTAATAATTATGTGTATTGTTATTTAAGCTTCTAGTTTAAAAATCATTTATTATTGCCAAAAGAGAGATTTTTTTTGTTTTACACTTACTTATTTAATGTTCTAAAATTCTCAGCAATGGTTTTTTTCTCAATACTTATAGATTATAGATAAATAGATCGATAATACTGCACTAATAGCATAGACTATATAATACCATGAATCATAATTATCTATACTGCACACGTCGATGATTCCAAGTCCCAACCAACATCACACAATAATAATGTTGTTGTTCTATACATTATAATATTATTAACATTATGTTCCTGCTATTTTCCGTCGCAACGACAATCATTTATATAAATAAAAAATATTAATATTACAGCGACTATACTATTATAATAAATAACAACGGCATGCCGATAACGAGAAAACCAATACACACGCTCAGCAAATAAAGTACGTACCTAGGCAGGGGCGGACCTAGAGGAGTGTTCGGGAGGTTAGCTGACCCACAGTTTTTTTTTCTCAGTAAAATTTGACCCCCTCTAAATGACAAACTAAGAAAAAAAAATATAATTAAAATTTGGCAAAAATATGTATAATACTACAATAGTTTATAATAAAATAATATTAAATAACGGTAATTTATAAAATGTACACAGGCCCATGAATGTCTGTTCAAATATAACTATAGCATTGTAGTATAAATGGCGCATCGGAATATTCGTGTGGCCAGCGCGTATCAACTATACAAATATGTATATGGACAAACACCGAATAATACGCCGCGGCTGTGAAGCGGGTTCTATTATTATTTATAGATTTCCTTATCGTACTATTAGGACAAATACTGCGATTATTTATTATTTTATAATATTATCTATAATAAATGTCATAGTTGTTATGAACGTACCATGCGTATTATGTGACCATTCATTCTTATTTATTATTCCGTAAACGAGTGTCTGCCGCTGTCGTGTTGCCGTGTTGTGTCGTGTTTGTGTCAACTATTAATAACGGAAGCTCTTATTGAAAAATTTGACTGCCCGGTGGACCGAGACGATTAACTAATTAAACACCCATCAAGAAACATCTTTGGAACATACCTGTAACGAAGAGGAAGATAATCCACTCAATTTATCTTCTCTTGGTAAGTATTTTAATTTTAATAAGGAATTATCTATTGATAAACACAGTGGCGTGTAACATCAAAATTTGGCCCCCGGGGCGAAAATATTTTCAAATATACATATCTAATATTAGATGGGGAAATTTTAAATATTAGATTCAATACGAGATTTCTTACAAGTCGTACTTTGTGAAAAAAAAACCGAGTTTTATTTAGTACCTATTTTTTTCAAAACATTCTAGCTTTTTCAGGGGTATTTATGTTGTATATTATATTATAATATTACACGTCCCCCTCCCTGGCTACAACACTGGCTATAGCAGTATTGCATGTGGATTATGCAAGTTTACATGCAAGTTATATTTCTGGATAAACACACTACCTACTACACTATAATAGTACACTATCAGTTTTGAGTACCTAATCCAAATCCAAGCATAGATCTTATCTAAGGTAAAACAATAGGTACCTACTTAAATATTTTTACCTGTGTAGCAGTTATTGAATATAGGTTTTTTGTCTTGTTATGATGATCTACTAAGTTTTCTAATGTCTGGATTCGTTTTTTTATGTGTGATTATGTAAGTACCTACTCAATTCATTTTGGGTTTCAATATCATTAGGGAATTAAAAATCTTCCATAAAATATTTTCCTTTTTTTGGACCTTATCATAAAATTAACAATAGTTCAAGTTTGACAGTTTTGAAAATTGTTCTTTCTTGTTTGGAAATTAAAGTAAACAGTACTTATATTCAAATCAGTCATTTTAAAATAATTATTACGGTTATTTTGATTTATTGCTATATAAGTATAAAATGTCATTACTAAAAGTGCGACTTTATTTAATACATTTATTTAATCATATTACTCACATTTTAAGGAAAAGATAAATTTGATAAACTTACATGACACAGGAGTCAATAATAGCAGATTGCACATTGTCAGATGACAATGTAATAGTTTTTAATTTTTTATTATAATTAGAAATAATTTAAGTAGACACCTATTCATTAAATAATTTCCTACTAGCAGTTAAAGCAACTAATTAATTCTATTTTAATAGTTAATATAATATGTGAAAATAAGTTACATTAATATTTTAACTTACTTGGATTGCCTAAGTATTAAGTATAATTAACTATAGTTAGATTAATTTTACTAGGTATTTGATTTTTTTTTTTTTTAAACCCTTGTTTTATGAACAGTGGTCCTTAAAATTTCATAATCCAAATCTGGATCAAAATAAAGACCACAAACATTTAAGCTAATTTTCTTTTCAAATTATGAATTAAACTGTCTTAGATATTATGTAAATTACTTTTAACCAATATCTCCATTGAGAAATCTGAAAAAAAGTAAGGAATTTATTCATGTTTATTTTTCATTTGTTTAACATGTAGTAGACGCCATACCTTTATCTACTGTCCCTGTCTTACAAACACAGGACATAACAAATTTGCGTTTAGTATGATACATTTTGTGCCGTTATTTTAAACGAATTGACCTTTAATGGTTTTAATAAACTAAAAATCACAAAATTTGACCTATGCTAATTTTCTATGTCATATGTACCTATGTCAAATGAAGGCAGTAAATGCGAGTGTAGCATTCTCTTAAAACAAATACAACTATAGCAATTTTATAACAATGCATTTAATAAATTATTTGTATTATTATTATTAATAAAATCTACTTACAATATGTATAAGTGCAAAAATAAATTTTCTCTTAATAATATACAATTAGCGCGGTTTAGCAAATTATATACCTAATTATAAGTTATATTATCTATGCAAGGGGAAAAGTTGTATGGAAAACTGACAGTTTGCTTTTTGTTCAAAGTGTTTACTGCTTTTTGTTCAAAGTGTTTACTGTGCTTTTAATTTAATATTTAGTTTTGATTTTACAACTGAAATAAGTATTAAATATAATATGTAATGATAGACATTCAATTCAGTTTTACAGGCATCAGTTATAGAGATTAAATACAATAATATTTATTCAACTTGTCTATTAATTGCCTATTTTTAACTATACTAAACAATACAATGCATCCACAGTCTGTTTAAAGTGAGATAGATATTATGTTTTAAATTATCAATACTTAGTTTAAACAGTATTGAGTAATACTACACAATAATGATAAACCATTGAATTTGGTATTGCCCAGTTTAACTATATAATATATTATATAGACTACATTAAGGTATAATATACACATATTCAGTTTGAGTGTAAAATAACTTTTGTCCTATTCAATATTTTTAATTTTAATTTGTATAATGATTAGTGCAACTACGCGCTATTAAAATATTATTGCTGTTTTTTTTTTTTTAAGTGGGGACTGGGGACTTTGGGAACATTAAATAAAAAATTTAAAATGTTAATTAATTTTTTTTAAAAAGTTCAAAATAGAGATAGATACCTACTATTAACTAGACTCTGCTTACAATTATTTTTCCTTAGCAATGGTTACTCTTTGAGTACAGATATATATATATATATATATGTATATATATATATATGTATATATATTGAATCCCCCTCTACCTTCCCAACTTCTCATTTACAACAGTGACCCACCTAGAAGTATGTCCATCTTTTTTTAAGTTAATTTTTTTAAAAACTTGTGTACCTACTCAATTAGCATAATTATAGTCTATGGTAATTGGTTTGAAATGTATGGGAGCTTTGGTATTGTGAAAATTATGGAATTTAATATTAATTTACTGGTTTGTAAAAATTTTACAAATACTAGATTATAGATTATAATAATCAAGTCTAGGTATTTTATATTTTTATGAAAAATTATTATTCTTAGTTTATTCAACATACATATTATACATTTTGCACAGACTTCGGACTGTCAGATTAACATTAACATAAATCTTTGAAAGTAATGGAATGGTATATTTGGTATGGTTAAAAATTTTGTTTCTAGCTAACAAACATGTAATGACTAACTGAATCTTATTTTGATTTTTACAAATATACAAATTGATGAATGTAATTATCCAATGATATTTATTAATTAGCCATACTGTTCTTCTTAAAAGTAATTGGTTTGTTAAATCGTTTTTCGATCTTTGTTTTATCCATCAAGAAATGCACTGTATTAACTGTTAAAATATGTGTTGTGTCTATTATACCAAACTATCTAGCATACAGATATTGATAACAAAGTTGCACAGCCAATGGTTGTCTGGTAATGTGTCAAAACCTACAATGGCCAAGTCTACCAAGATATTGTGAGTTTAGCTTAGTCCTTATGTATATATCCCAACTAAATCATACTTATTAATATTTTTCCTTGGCCATTTTTGAAGTTTATAGTATGTTAAATCTTTAAGAAGGTCATTCTTATAATGATTTCTGACCTGTCAGTTTAATTGAATGGAGATTAAAACTACCAATTGTTGAAGTTGATTTCTTTGTGCCACTGTCTCTATGAGACACACTTGAGTCCATTTAAATATTTATGATTCAATTATCTTTGCTATAGTTTAATGAATTTGTACATTCTGGCAAAATATTTTTTTGATCCACCCCATTGCCAATAGATTTTTGGGATTTAATTGGTTGATACTTAGACAGTTATGCATGGTTTATGTGGTTCCCCCCCTCCAGTTTTTTCTATGGTATTTGGATGATTTAGAATATTGTTGCTTGTATTTTTTTGAACAACTTTTGGTTTACCTAGATTCTGGATCTTAGGTACCTTTGGTTGATTTTCAAAATTAAGCACTTATGTACACTTAGTTACCCGACTTTTATACCAGAAATCTTGATCAGATTTACAATTATAGCAGTTTTTCTGAAAACTTATCTAACTTGGGGAGGTACTTTAAGGAAGTAATTTTTTGATTTTCCTTTGGTGTTTATATCTGAGAAAACCAAGAAAATAGTTAATAGTTGATTTGATTTCTGTTTTTTCTTATCATAATGAAATCGGTTAAACTTTATTTTAAAACTATTTTAAATTTTTTATCTCTACTTCATATACCTTAAATAAGTACTTACTTTTAATTTTCAAATAGGAATCCCCCTTGAATACAAATTTGAATAGAGACTATTTTTCTATACATTTTGATATGTATAACACTAATATCAGATTTACCATTTATGAGTTATAATAGTTTAAAATTTAGACTGGAGGAGTAAGGAAGGGTTATAGATAGGCAATTTATTAGCTCTAGCCCTTAGCTGTAACCCAGATATATGAAGTCGGCATAAAAATCAGAATTAGTTTTAAAATAAAGTTTAATGATTTCATGATGATTATAAAAAATAGAAATTAAATTCACTGGAAATCCTTGGAGATAATTGTTGGTTCATATAAAAAAAAAAAATCACCTTATACATGAAAATTTATATTATACATTGTTAATTAAATTAATATACCATAATATATCAATAAAAATGTAATGTAAAATTGTAATTAACTAATAAAAAAATTGACTTGGGCAACAAGGTTCACTTGCAGGTTGCTTCCCTCCCAAATATGGGCTGCTACATATTAATTTTCCTAGGCTGGTGTAAAGTTCCAATCCATCCCTGAACTTTTGTAAATATGATTCTTCAATATAATCATTATGATTACTATCACTACCCTTGCTCTTTTGTCTGACATAATTTTCAATTTTTTCTTTTATTGACTGAAATTTGCAAAACAAACATATCTAACTAAACAACATACATATCCAATTGATAATTTGATTTTTTTTTAAATTTTTCTCGTCTTGCCACTGCTCGACCCTGGTTGATAATATTTATAAATATGATTCACTATTATTTTTGTATAATGATTGATGCAGACATTTATTACTATAAGATTTGAACCATAAATGTTTTCAACTAATACTTTTTAACACCAGTTCAAGTTGTCAAATATTGATGGAAAGCCATTCCAACCAATCCTAAAAGCATTAATTTGTGCTTAATTGAAATTAGTAACTAACTGAAAATACTGGCCAATTCAGTTTGTTTTAAAACAAAAAATTTAAAACCTTTGAGCCACATTATGGCAGTAAAATTATCAAAGCTGGTAATAATTCAAAGGAGTTATGGAATTGTATTAAAGAAGCATCTAATACTAAAACTAATAAACTAACAGATATAAATCAAATTTTTAATGAACATGAGAGTAGTTTCTGACAAAAAAGAAATAGCTAGCTAATATTTTTAACACAATATTTTTTAACATAGAGAGTGGTATTTCTAATAATATCAAAAAATATAAATATACAATTCGTGACTGGAAAGAACTCAATAAAAACTGTTATATTGATAATTCTATATTTTTTTTCCAGACCAATTGAAGCTGATGAGCTGACAAACTATACCAATAAAATTAAAGATCATTCTTCATTTTATAAACGTTCTTTATTAAAATGAAATATTTTGTTTTGCTGATGACACTGCTATTATTTTTAGTAATAACTCTCGTAGTTATATTGAAAGCATCATAAACTCTGGTCTTGATAAAATTAAAACCTGGTTTAATAATCATTCACTACAAATTAATTATAATAAATCAAAATTTTTTCAATTTTATATCAAAAATAATAATACACATTCTGAAATTAAAAAATGTATTTTATATAATAAATCCAGTAAACTCGATAATAAAAATTGTGGGAGGGATTGCCCAGCTATTTTTAAGACAAATACAATCAAATATTTAGGTATTTATATTGGTGATTTTTCTAAAGTGGAATGTACATATTGATATGTTAATGATTAATTTAAGAAAATTGTTTTATTTATTAAAAAAATCTAAAAAATATATTGAATAAAAAAACTATAATATATAGTATACTATGCTCTAGTACAATCTATACTTACATATGGAATTGCTTTTTGGGGTTCAGCATATCAAACACATGTCAATAAACTAGAGACCACATTAAACTCTTTACTTAAATATATATTCAATTAATTAAGAATTTTTACTATAAATGCCTTATATGGTGAATTAAACATATTTAACATTAATTTTCTTCATTTCATGAAGCAGATGTTTGATGTCAGTGGTCTTGTATGTTGTGTTGTTTGATTTTACATAAGACTTCACTATTTCAATCGCATTTAATTCGTAATGGTAGGGGGGCAGTCTCAAAACCATATTTCCAGCATCTTTGGCCATTTCGTCAATTATGTATGCATTGTATCTAAAAAAAAAAAAATTAATAGTAGTATATAATATGAATAGTTTATATTTTAATTATTACTTTGGTTTTTAATGTTGGACGATTTCTAGATCATTTTTGATCAATTGTGTAGGATCGATTTCTTCACCTTTAGAAACCAGCCATTCCAATATGTCTGCCTTTTTCCAACTCATTGTTGGAATTTTTTCTTTTTTGACAGAGTGATATGGTGCATTATCCAATACAATCACGGCATTATCTTCTAAAAGAGGCAATATTTCCTTCAACCATTCTTGAAATGTTTGACAATTAATTTCGTCATGGTAATCTGATATGTTTTTTGGATTCAAAACACAAAAGACCACCTGACACGAAACCAGCTGCAGACCCAATGTGTAATACAATTAACCTCGTACCTTTGCCAGTTGGGTTCTGGGGGCCAGAAGATAGATCTTCCAGGAATGCCATTTTACTCAACCTAATGGTTGTGTCAATCCTAACCTTATTCACATAATCGCCGGTATTAAGCCATGTTTCATCTAAGCAATAAATGGGTCTACCTTCTTCTCGAAAACGACAAATTGAAATTAAATATTGTCTTCTCCAACTGACAAGATCTCTTCTTTCTGTTAATATACTATTTCTTTGGCGTTTTATAAATTAAAAATTTAAGCTCTTCAGAGCTTTCCTTCAAATTTGGCAATGTATTGTCTTCGTTAATACCTTCACAATGGTTGGCAGTTCTTTATTTAGCCAAAATTAATGCACCTTTCTATGGATAGCGGTCTTATCAAAATCATCAATTGTATCCACAACACCAGGTTTTTTTCTTCTTCTGTTGATTGAAGTCACAGTTCTCGATTGCTTGTACTCAGAGACGGTTGTTTGCACCTTATTTAATCCAACTCCAAGTGTATCGGCAATATGCTTCGTTAAATCACGATATTTAATTGTCTCATTTTCAAATATTAATTGTTTATAATAATTAACAATCATTTGTTTCTATAAACTGCTAACAGGCTGACAATATAAAAATATTGACTATAATTAATGTATTTTATAATAAACAATTAATTACGGTTAAAATATAATCTATTTCCATTTACTTTACCACAAGGATTTTTCTTCATTGGGGAAATAAATGTTGCATTCTCCTCGTCAGACATAAATCAAGAAGCACGATTAAATAAGCGTGTACAGAGCACAAACAAATAAGAACGTACGGGAAAAAATCAAACGGTAGCGTACTGAGCAAAATAATACGAGCGCATATACTGTTCAGAACAATACTTAACGGGCGCATTACTACAGCACACTGTATGCAGTTCACATTTGAAATAGCGCTGTATAACTGTGAACTGTTGTGTTGTGAACCAATAAGAAACCAGCTGCGCAAAACTGACGCTAACCGGTCCGCCGCCTGTTCATCCTCTTATTGTGCGCGGAGTATAGTTACTAACACTAGTATTATTGTCTTAAAATGTACCGTAAATACTTGATAGTAAATTCAAAACTGTTTCACTTTGAAAAATCAGTAATTCGGAATGTGAAATATTGATTGTTTTGAACCAGAAAATCTTATTACAGTATGATAACATAATCATTACGTCACACCACCATATTATATTATGGTATCGTGTGATAAAATAACGATACGATATACTCGAATGTAAGGACGTGGTTCAGCCAATCGGAAAAAATTATTTTATACGAAATTATAATATGACTGAGTATATTTTAATTTTCTATTGTTTAGACATGGAAAATAAAGTGTGTAACGTTCGTAATTCTAAAAGAAATCACAGCGATGATGAACTATTAACATTAAAAACTGGAGATGCTTATATTTCTCCGACAAAATTAAGAATATTGCCAGAAAGTATCACCAAGTCGAGGTACTAGTTATTTACAGTTATTTAATTTGAATTTAAAAAGAAATAAATTTCTCTTATTAACCGCTAATCAGTGGTGACATGAATTTGTATTCTGTAAAGTAGCTGTTTCACAGCCAAATTAGGTGGGTGGGTACTATATATAGGGCACTTCATCATAACAAACATTAACAAAAATGTGAAGTCTAAGACCACCTAGACCAGTGGTCGCCAACCGGTGCTCCGTAGNTCTCTTATTAACCGCTAATCAGTGGTGACATGAATGTGTATTCTGTAAAGTAGCTGTTTCACAGCCAAATTAGGTGGGTGGGTATATATAGGGCACTTCATCATAACAAACATTAACAAAAATGTGAAGTCTAAGACCACCTAGACCAGTGGTCGCCAACCGGTGCTCCGTAGAAAAAATTGAACTTTATTTACAATATTAGGTATTCTATTAACTTTCAAGCGAGCGCGTGTCGTCACGCTAATTACATTGTTCAAGATTTAAAAAAAAACTCAATATCATGATTACAATAGGTTCTAAACCCAAAGTAGTGATAAGTAGGGCTCAGATTTTAAAGCAAATGCTTCTTTTTATATATATATATATAAAATAGAAATGTTATTTTTATACATAAATTCGTTTCACGTCATTCTGATTCTAAATAAACGAATTTTTTTTGTGTAAATGCTTTTTTTGCTTTTTTCAGTCATTCTAGTTATTATGTTACAGTAATAAAAAAAAAAAAATTATTTAATTAATAATAAATGTGAAAACCCGGATTACGGACTAAATGGTTATATTGTATTATTATAGTTTTTGTTATCGGCTTGATTGTATATCTATGTGACTATGTATAATATAAATTTAGATATTATATTTTACCCATCGACGTTAGATTATCGAACTACAGGCAGGTCGATAGCTTATCGTCTATCGGCTATTGCATATTGCTATTGCAGAACGTACGCTCAGTACTCGTATAACATCGATATCGACCAGTTCAAAATTTAAGTTTTATAGTTTTTTATAGTGTTGTAATTTATAAAAATGACAAAAGTTAAAACAAATCCATTTTTAAAAAAAATAATGTTAGAATTCGGTGAAGAATTTTTTTCTAACAGATGGATCGATTTTATATTGCAAACTTTGTGAAATAAAAGTGTCATGTGAAAAAAAATATAATGTACAACAGCATGTACTGAGAGAAAAACATGTGCAAGCTGTTAAAAGACATGAAAATGAAAAGTCTGCTTTACTTCAAGCGTTTTTGAAACAGTTTAGTAGTCAGTTAGATTTTAATGCCGATTTATGTTCAACATTGATAGCTGCAAATATTCCAATAAATAAACTAAATTTTAAACATTTTTGGATTAGAATTATTAATGTAATTTTTCATAATACCCATGGAAGAATCATTTGAACTAGTAATAGTACTTTTAAAAGAATGCGGTCAAAAATTGATTCAAGTCAATAAAGCAATAGATGTTATTTTTGATATGTTACAAAATATTCTACAGTTGGACAAGTTAATAAAAGAGTAAATATACAATAATTATAAATATTAAAATACTAATTTTCTATCAAAAAATAAATATTAACTTCTAAAATTTACTTATGAAATTTCTCAATAAAATATTTAAAAATTTGTATATATAATTGATTTTAATTGATTAAATATTTATTAAATAATATATTTCTTGACATTTTTAAAAAACTATTACATTAATTATATAACTATTACTTCATTTCTATTTATGTATATTGGTAATTCTTTAGGTACAATATACGATAGATGTGATATTTCAAATTCATAAGGATAGATTTAAAGATCATCCTGCTATAATTGAACAACTTGATTTAGTTGAAGAGGATTTACAATTTACTCATTTATTAACTTTAGATTCTGCTAAAGACCCACAAAATATTTTAAGTAATAATTACTAATTGTTTGTATACTGTTTTTACCTATGCATGAACCTTACAGTTGATTAACTACAAATACTAAACTTGATTTCGAGATGTTTATAAATATGATCGGGACTTTGAATCAAATGAAGACCGTTATAAATCATTACGAAGAGAAATGTTAGGGTCAGACAATGAAGACAGATCAAATGAGGATGAATAAGGAAAAGGTATAAAAAAAATTAGTTTAAAATTATTTAAATTTTTTTGGTAGTATAAATATTTTTGGCCTTATGAAAAATCATGTATCTAACAATACATTCTTCCCTTGATTATGAAGAATGTGCCAATAAATTAATGAAAATGCAATTTAAACCAGGGTGAGAAATAGAGATGTATATGTAATATGTTTTTGGATTGTTGTGTTGAACAACAAATATATACAAAGTTTTAAAGGCTTTTAGTACAAGTAAAATTTATTTCCAAAATTATTAATGGTCTTCAACATATTTCTGTTTACTGGTAATAATATTTTACCATAAGATACCATAATCTGTAATAACAATAAACATCCTCTTTAGGGATGTTATCTTTATTACTAATGCTAAGATTGTTTAAATTTTTAAAAGTGCAGGTTATGATTTTAAACATTGAATGGCACACATTAGCAATTACATGTAACAATATTGAATTGAACATTTTATATTTTATTTGTTTTGGACAAATTAAAAAAAAAAAAACATATTTAAATTTAAAATTGTATTTATATATCTATATATATAATTGCAATTCTAAATTAATTTTATAACATAAACTGTAGTATTTGAGTTTTGAAATACAATCTATGCTATTTTCATATTATTATGTATCATCAAAAAGAAAAAAATGTTGAAAACCTATAAAATATAAATGTTTGAATATTTATTTTTATATTTTTTTCAGAGATTTTGACAAATAAATAAAGTGTTTATTGAACCACTGCAAAGAATTTTCATTGTTAGTGATTCTACTGTTAACCATTTAGAAACAAACAAAATTACGCAATGTCCCCAAATTTTTGCACATTTATTATTTACCGATTCAATTTCTTGGACAGTATTATCCAAAGTTCATCTAAATGAAGAAGAAACCACTTCTTCTTCATCTAAATAAAGAAGAAATCACTTCTTCTAAAAGAATGTGTATTAAGATTATTTTTCAAGAATTGGTTGAACAAATGGAAATTAAAAAATTAAATGCTAGAATTCAAGACATTTTAATTATTATTATTTGAAGGAACATTAATATTATATGGATTGTTTCAGGGAATTGAGACAAGCATTTGAAGGAATATTTCCTAAAGATAATCCAAAAGTTAGATTTTTCATTAATTATTTTATCTCTGTTGGTTTGGGTAGTTTAATGTAAGGGTCATATTTATTCAATTTTCAAATAAAGTTTATTTACTTATTGCTAAATTATAAATCATTTAATTTTTAGTGATGAATTACATGACTTCCTCAGAATACAACCTAATCAAGTTTCTGCTGTTGCTAAAAACATTGACCAACTGTCTGAATCGTCAGATAGTAATGATGATAGCAATTCGAGTACTAGCAATATAAATTGACAAAAAATTAAAAAAAAAGGTAAGTATACTGAAGTATACTTAAAATTTGCTAGTTTTTTAGATTCTGAGTGTAACAAAGAATGTATTGTTTTTACAAAGATGTTTATTTTCTTTTCTTTATCCTGTATGTAAAAATTCTACCAGAAATCTTGCTCTAATATATATACAGACACCATTTATGAAAGGGAATATTGTACTTTTAGGAGGTTATTTTTTGATTTTCTAAGCGGTTTTCATAAAATCTGAGAAAAACCAGGATAAGAAATATTAGAAAACTGGAAATTTACGATAATATTGCTTTTATTATTATTTTAATATTGTTATTTGTTGTAAGTCAGTTAAAAATATTCATAGTGACCTGAAATTTGAGCAGAAAAATTATATTTGCTTTTCTTAGGCACAATAAAATATTTTGGCCATTTCTAGGCTTTTTATACAAATTTTAACTTTGTGAGTTTTATACTTAATTTTTATTGGGTTGATACTATATGGTAAAATTGTTAGACTACCAAAAATGCTTGAAAATTTAACAGGAGGTACATTAAAAGTCATACTTTGTTCTCCAAAAAATAAAAACTGAGTTTAACGAAATATTTTATTTTTTTTTAACATGTTTATTGCTGATTTAAGAACAATGGGATCATTTTGTCAAAGGACAAAATCAATTTTCTCTTTTTATCAATTTAATAATATTATTATCATAGTCCTTCTTTTAATTTTACAACAATGACAATCAACCTATCAAACATGCCAAAAACTGATAAATACACTTAAATTGTGTAATTATAATTTTAGTAAAGCTGCTGTTCACATTTGCATTTATGTAATACATAACTGCATTATCTATAGAAGGTTATCTTTTTTTATTACTAAATGCTCATTATCTAGGATAGATATTTAATTTATTCATATACTTTATATATTCATAATTTGTGTAATTTTTTTTTGGGGAAATTTAATATACACATAATTCTCAAACGTTATATTCACCCGTATATTAGATACCTAAACCATCACCATTAACGAGTTTTAACTTTTAAATTGGTGATATCTATACTTATATATTTAAAATCAATAATTTTTAAAATGTAATTGTTTTATTTAGCATTTACAATATTTACATGTTTTGAATATAATATAATTGGAAATTTGAATCCATTTTCTTCACATATAAAATAATCTAAAGAGACCATTTGAAAATTTCATTATTTAAGATTCTTTGATTAATGATGAAGAATTATGTTAAAAATTCACTCATTCATGTGTGAGTAAATTATTGAATTTTCTGTTTTTTGTGATACATTATTGTTTAAAGTATTCTTGTCTGAAATATTAACCAATTAGTCACAATTATTATTTCAGTACCTATTTGGCTATTTCCTTTGATTATCCATCAGTATCATGTCAATTAAAACACTCTAACAATTTAATCTACTTATTAAATACAATTATAATATATTATGATATAATGGTTTTTTCTTTTCTATTTGTTAATGTTTATATACCTGTTGAAATTTTATATTTCCCTGGTAATCATATTGTTGAGACAAAGTGTCAACCTTCTGTTAATAGCGAATCCAGAAGTTGTTGATGTTAAAAATAACTATATTTTTTCATAGCTAAATAGTTATACATACCTCTTGTCATCCTATACATCGTGAATGAATTCAAACCTGGTTTTCAAACAAATTTCTTTTTTCTCTTTTTACCTAAACAAGGAAAAAACAAATGTATTTTAGGTGTACTTAGAAAAAAAAAGCCATTACTCTATTTTAATCTCAAAATACCCTTCGATTGAGGCGGTACTTTAGAGAGATCTGTTTTTGATTTTTCCAAAAACGGAAACATCGGTACAATATTAAACAAATATTAATTAGTTTACTATAAAATGACTTTATATTGTTGACAAAGTATCACTATCAATTGAACTACGCTTAGAATCGTTTTTTCGTTAGCAATGGTTTATCCTTGCTTACAAATATACATCAATTTATCTATAACAGTGACTGCACCCACTCCATGTCCCTAGGACGTATTTTTTTTATTTATATGAATTCCATTAATGAAGTCAAATAAAAATACTCAACAATTAGATAAAAGGTTTATAATAAGTTATTGTTAGTGACAAAACAATAAATCGAGAGGAATGACATCATTTATTTAGATATGATTTTTTAGTTTTAATTAATAAAAAAAGAAAATATTCACCTAATTGTTTACAATGATTAACTGATGCTTACCGTGTAATACATTAGTAAAATAAATTACTCTATACATCTTACCTTACCAACCAAATTCTCATCTACAAAAGTGATCTTCCTAAGAGCAGTATCTTTATTTAATTTTTAATTCAGGTACATACATGGTTCAATGTATCCCAATGGGAGGAAGGACACAATTGTACCCCCTCAAATGTGAGTGTACCCGTAATCAACTTAACCTAGGCTTGCTTGGCTGCTGTAAATCTAGGACAGTGAACTGGACCTTATGGGCCAAATTTATACTGGGTATATGAGTATTTAATAAGTCAACAAAAACCAGTCGTCTATACACTCATACTCAACTCAACTATCACAAATAAACCACCAAGCAATCCTATGGACTCTAGAATGACTAAAACTTAGAATAATTTTATAAATTAACAATTTGAAAACATTTTTAAATATATTTAGTAAAAAAAATGCACAATTACATTCAACATTTAAAATTTAAATGTACTCTTTCCAATTCTAAACTATGTTTATGATTATCATACATAGATGATTAATTTTAAACGCTACAATTACTCTTTTTAAATTGTTATATAAAAGTTATCTGTGTTTGAATCAGTGCCATTGTACCTATAAAAAATTTTTTTTTAAAGGGCTCAGTGCCAATGATCAAAAATTTAATCACCATTTCTACTAATTTATTGAAAGACATCCAAATAGTAGGAAAGGATATGGCTTTTTTTAGAGGTAAAATGACTGAAAGAATAGAAATAAATAATTATTAACATGTTTTTTAATTAATAAATATAATTCTATAAAAAATTGGTAATTTTTTTTACTTTTTTAACATTTACAGCACGAGGAAAAATATTCTAATGTATTTAACTAGTGGTATTGATTATTTTGCTCCACCTCAATTTATTTATTTAAGACATCAACTATGATACCTGAGATTAAGAAAAATTCAATGATACATTATTTATTAAAATATTCCAATTATATAAATAAATACACACAAAACACACATTTTTCTTACCATAATAGAAAAAATAATAACAATAATAATTTCTTTATTTGATAAGTAACTATGTTTAATTTTAAAAAAAAAATATTACAATTATTTGTACAAGTTCAGATATTTAAATAATTATGAAAAATTATTACATGTTTCATAAAACATACTATTCAATATTCTCTAGGATATTTCTCTAGGATAAAATAAATACATATTTACAATTACTAATTTACTATTTGAATAAATTCAAATTGTATGGTTTAGTAATTAAAAAAATAGTTTTGTTCATAGAGAATTGTTAGACTGTATGTAGAGCAATTTTTTTTCATTATAAGATTGTATTTTAAATCTTAAACCAAAAATAACAATATCACTATTTATCATTCCCACACTGTATCAACTCATGATTAAAATAATTTTTTTCAAATATGCCAGTAAAGATTTTCTAGTTGATACAATAGGATTTACAGTCAAACAGTACACTTGTTGTAAACAAATATTTCATACTCGAGATCTTTTGTAAAATAGCCCACATCAACTAAAATAAGAATTCCATCTGCATTTATGTTTTTGGCTGCATCAATTGAACAGGGGTTGAAAATATTAATAAAACAATCGGACCCAAACAAATTATTTAACCTAAACAAACAAATATTTTGATAATAAATAATTATAAATTAAGACAAGTTAATAATAATGTAAAAAAAAATTGCGGATTATGTATTTTATTACTAATTTATTTTAGTTTTTGAGCAGAGGGAATTCAATGTTTAATTTTTTTACTGTGAGAAACTTTTCTACCAAAAATTTTGCTCAAATTTTCATTTGTAGCAACTTTTCTAAAAGGAAATTTGACTGGGGTGGTAAATTAATATTTAGCTGGCCAAAAGTCCCATTTTTAAAATACAAAAGTCATACATTTGATTGAAAATTATTTTTTATGGGAATATTTTGTGGATAAATGTAAAATGGGATCAATTAGTTAATTATCAAGTGAGGTAGAGCCAAAGGTTAGAAATGTTAACTCCTTTTTATTGAAGAATTCCAATTTTTACCCTAAAAATGTTAGTTAATATTTTTAAGTCAAAATAGTTAATTTACTCTTATTAGACCAATAAAACTAGAAAAATTGATTGCAGTATTGGTAATAAAAAATTAAGCTAACAGTTAAAATAGTTAGCTTAATTTTTTCGGCATATTTACAAAATTCCCAGGGTAAAAAAAAAAATTTACCTCCTTTAAATATCACTACGCCAATCAAATTTTCTTTTTACTTTTAAAAAGTGTTACACTTGAAAATTAAAGCAAAACAGCTGTTTAAGATCCATAAATATCACAGTAAAAATGTCTACTAGTCATAATGTTAAAGTTACTGTAAATTTATAAATATGCCGTTGACATTGAATTAAGAAGCAGTATGCATCATACTTTTTTTAATTTTAAAACTTAATTAAAATTATCAAAAAATAGAAATATATATGTTTTCTTTGATATTTTCACTTTGTGATTTTAAAAAAAGTTCATGCATTAAGTATCATCACAAAGCATCACAAAGGATGATATTATATTTATCTCAATATTATATACAATTATTTACCTCAATAAAGCTCTATGGTCAAGCTTCGACATATAGAACGTAAGTCTCAATTTCCAATGGGAATAATAATTTTCAGAAAACAAGTTGCTAGTACAACGTAATGCACTAATCTCACCAATACAATTATTTTTAAACATGTGTATTTCAGCACAATTTATAGCTGTTTTAAAAACTAAGTCTTCTTTATCTAGTTGTTGATATGCAGAAGTAAGAGATTTATAATATTAAGCGTTTCTTTTACCTAAGTCAATATACAATTTAAAACATGGTGCAGCAGCATTATGAAAGTGATTTAAATATATTAAACCCATATCATGCAATACAACTGGATTATTGGATTGACTTATTTTCAAATACAAAGAGTAAGTTTTCACAGCAGACAAAATATTTCCATTATAAAAATATGCGTGACCCAATATAGGTAAAATATCAAAATTTATTTTTGGATACATCTGAATAGCAGTTTTCAAATAAAAGATTGATTTTTCAAATTGTTTTATTTGATAATACATAAATCCTATATTTATATGAGGATTTATAGAATATTTATTCAGTTCTAGTGCTTTTTCGTAACATATAATTGCACTATTAAATTTTTTATTAAATGCAAAGCTATCTCCCAAGCCTGTCCAAGATGCATCTGATTTAGGTTCTAATTGTATAGCCCATTGAAAATAGTCACCTGCATCTTCAAACCTATTTAATTTTATCAGTAATCGACCAAATAAAATATATGCTTTTAGTAAATTGGGCTTATAATGAATTATCATGTTAAGGGCCTGAATAGCCTTTTCATAATTTTCCATTTTGATTAATGTTATAATATAACTTAACCAACATTCAATGAAATCTGGTTTTATGCATACTGTTAAATGATAATTATTACTGGCTTCTGAATAATGATTTTTTTGAAAATAATTTGCTCCAAAATTATTTATTACTTCTGCATATCCACGATATTTATCTGGAACTTCATGTAAAATTTCTAAAGATTTATCATATTTCCTCTGCATATAATAGGATGCTGATAATAAAAGTAAAACATTTACTTTGTTGGGTTGTAATTTTTTAAGAATTTCACACGCTTTTTGGGAACTTACATAATTCCCTCTATCAAATAAAGATTTTGCAGATTTAAATCTTTCAGCTGAAAATAAAAAAAGTTTTGATTACCAACAATAAATGATATTTATCTATTTATATTAACTGAAACATTTGATATATATATTATTTAAAAATGTGTACAGTATAGAAAAAATAAATGATAAACCATTGCTAATGAAAAAAGGATTCTGAACAGACTGCAATTAATAGTGATGCTTTGTCAACAATATATATGTCATATTATAGTAAAATAATTACATAAGCATTATTGTATAAATTTTTTAGTAATATTTGGTTAATATATTGATTTTCCAGTTTTTCACATTTGATGAGAAAGCTCCTGAGAAAAGTTGTGCACAGAATAAAAATAAACATCTTTATATAACCATAAGTTTCTTTTCTTCGCTCAGAATCTAAAACTGGATATCTTCAGATGGGTTATCAGCAATGGAAGCTTCATGGTTAATAATGGGTTCAAAGAAATTGAAAAAATGTATCCAATAAGGTACCACAGGTTTATTGGAGATGAAGACTGCCATGTATATAAATGTATTTTAGAAGAACGTCCATAGAAAAATCTTACAATTCAAAAAATTGGATGGAAAATTAGAACAGAAAAAACTACTATCAATATTATATGGCCTAGGAGAGGAATCATTTCGGCAATCCAATATAGAAGACAAAATAAAAATACTTACAAAATTATATTTTATATTTTTGGTCAACATAACAAATGTATATCATATTTTTGTGATAAAGCTAATGATGTTAATTATCTTGAAAAATTAAATTAACAGATTTTAATTTGCATTCAAATGCAATGCAACCAGTTTGATATTTGGCTAAAAAAAAGCCGTTTATTACAAGATGTTAACAGTAATATTGTTAAATCATTGAATGGAACAATAGCAATACTAATTAATGATCAAAATAGTCATCATCAAAGTTCAAAATTTAACGTCAAAATGAAATGAGAAATAAAAAGTATAGAACAAAATTGAAGTTTCGAAGTGACTATATTGGTATCGTTAAATGGTAAAAAAAACAAAATACCTGATCTGACTACCGAATAATTTGGTGAAGAGAAAAAATATATTTTAGGCCTTCGTCATACTAGAGGGATACTTTGCAAATTACAAAAATTGTTGCCAAGTAAATTAAATTCTACTTTCAGTCTGTAAGGGACATCTTACGTGTTAAGACGTATTACCACGTTAAGAATTAATTTTTTCTATGCATACATATGTTTGTTTTTTTTTCAACATGGACCATTGGTTGAAAAGTGGGTCTATTAATAAGACGCCTGCTACAAAGTCATCTTGTTCTATAAAGGAAGGAAGCATAATTGACGAAGATGGAGTTCATAATAATAGCCCTCCCTACTTCTACACTACTGCCAAGTATGGGTGACTTCATAAACTCGAAAAAACGTAAATACGATGAAAGTTATTTGAAGATGGGGTTCATAGAAACAAATGAAAGTTAGCCCCAGTGCGTAATTTGTTCAAAAATTGTATGACTTAAGTCTATCTTTACAAGGAAGAACTTGACCATTTTTGATGCGAGTTCCAAAGTATGTACATTGAAAAGAAAACTTGACTATTGGGCAGAGTGCATTTTTAAAAGGGAGTGTGAGTGTTTTCTAATAATGCAGGCCTTTTTGGAAGAAAACGAAGTGCCGGTTCTCATTAGCATCATCAACGAGATTTCTGAACACCTCAAACAGCTGAAAATTTCATTTAATAAATTTCTCTACAGATCGAGAGATGTTGTTAAAAGACCATGAATGGGTAGTGTGTCGATCTTCAGATTTAACATTGAAATCCACCTTCAGTAGCAATACTTACATTGAATTTTGGCTAAATTTAAAAAATAGAAGTTTTTAAGATTTGAGCCAAAAAGCAATAACAATACTCCTACCCTTTGCTACCACTTATCTATGTGAGACAGAATTTTCAGCCTTTACAGCTAGTAAAACAAAATACCGAAACCCTCTTAATGTAGAAGCGGACCTCCGTATCCAGTTATCACAAATTAAACCAGATATTGCTACACTTTCTAAAAATAAGTAGTCACAAAAATTTCATTAGTTTTTCACGTTCATTTTTAATTTTTAAAGCAGTTTTTTTATTTTGTAATATTTGTTCTCACTTACAATTAGTTGCTTTTGTGTCACGTCCCATAGTGAGATATTGAGAAGGTCTCCAATATATTATTAACCTGTGTTTTATAAAACAAAAGATTATAATGCAATATTTAGTTAAAATCTCATCACCCTAGTGTGAAAATTATTAGAGAAAGTTTCACTTAATGGTAATTATGATGTAATCAAAAAATTAATATTAATTAAATAATAAAACAATATTTATCAAATAAATGGTTAGAATACAGAAAGAATTTATTTACAGTTTAACATTTTGAACCCATTATTTGTTTACCATTTGATATAAGATGTGAAAGTATAATAAAAACTTATTTATACATTAGATGTTGACTTTAAAGCAATGGAATATGGACAGGTGACAGGAAATGAACAAGTGGCAAGATTACAATTGGAAAAAGTTTTAAGAGATACACCTGATGGAGTTATAGGTACGGGTACATTAGTATCAAAGTAATTTATATATTACATAGGTACAGATACATTGGTCGAAATTAAATGTCCTTTTCTGCAGTAAATATAACTCCTGAGGAAGACATAGGCCAAAAAAATAACATGGAGAATAAATACTATTACCAAGTTCAAGGACAATTGCATGTGACAGGACGAAAATTCAGTAAAATAATCTATTGGATAAAAAAGGGTATAGTATATGAAACAATTGAAAAAGATAAAAACCATAAGTTATTAAAAAATTAATAAGTAAAAAAGTATAATTTTATGTGTATTGTCTATTGTATGATTAGTTTAAAATAATATGTAACCATATTACAATAATATAAAATTGTTATAATGGTTTTTTACTATATATATATATATATAGTAAGTAAACTGAATAATAATATAAAACTTAATAGGTGTATTGATGTGTAACAAAGAAGATTGGGCCAACAATTTTTTTTTTATCAAACAGTGGTAAGTAATTGTGTTTAATTTGTAATTTGCAACATTACAAAAATGAGCACAAAGCAACATATTTGATAACAACCTGCAAATTAAGAAAAAAATAAAATATAAAACATTTTTTTAAATTCTCAGTAACAAACAAAATATTTTCAAATCTTAAAATGTGCATAATAAGTAGTTCTACATGAACAAGTATATAGTTTTTGAAATATTAGCAAAAAGCAATCACTCATTCACTGACACTTGGGTTTTTTAAAAAAATACATTAGGTTGCCATTTATGTCCAAGTTATAAAATTTAAGTAGTGCCAGCCGAAAATTTGTTTCAATACACCTAAAAATATGCTCGTTGCTTATATTTTTTTGAAAATTATCTTTTTAAATTATAAAGATACCAAAACTAGTACACGACTATTATTGTAGTACTATGTATTTCTTTAAAATATTTACTTTTTATTTGTTTTCAAAATATTAATCCTTGTAGAATTAATAAAAAATTAATTTTCAAATTTGTAAAATACAAAATGTATATAAAATATATTTCGTCTGCCCCAATGAAAAAGTAAAATATAACCTTATTTGTGAGCAAACATTTATTCTAATGAAATTTCAAAAAAGCAAATATAATTCACAATTAACCAGTATTCACTTAAATCCTGTACAGAGAATTTCTTCATTGAATATCAAAACCCACAACTAATAAACTGGTTGATGCTATTCAAACTTAAAAATTACATAAACTTTTACTTTTATTATTATGATATGTTATTATCATGATTATAAGTTAGTTAACCTTTGCTAAATTAATATATCAATGATATAACCATAAACTTTTGTTTGACCTTCTGGTGGGCATGAAAACAGTATATTAAAATATACATAATTAAGAAAAAATTAATAAATAAATCTATGCAGATTATCAGCACTTCTAGGTATTCTCTAGCAATTAAGTCGAGCAGTATTTATTTATGCACTAAAATTGCACCTACCTAAAATTTAAATAAAATAAAGTGTATTCTAATTGTGGTGTGTGAAAAAACTATTTTTACCTTATAGCTCTAGACACCAAAATTGATGTTGCTTACTCTTTTATTTAATAATTGCCTTTGTGTTAATCAAAAAAAAAAAAAAAAAAAAGACCTGGCAATAAATTAATATAATATTTACTTGATTGAGTGATTTTTTTGATTATATTTTCAATCACTGATGATATCTTGGATTATCACTGGATCGTTAGGTTTGAATGTTTTTAACAAAAAGCATCCTGTAAAAATAATGAATAATGAAATTATAATATTATAATAATATCAGAATAATATATCTGTAATAGATATAATATATAACAGTATATTATACATACCAATGCATTTGGCAGTCTTTTGTCACATAAGATTTTAAATCTGTTATTCTATGCGGGAAATGGGAAAATTTAATCACAAAACATTGACAAGGCGAGAGACAGAAAATATTTTTATTTAGCGTTTTTCGATAATTTGACTTCTTTTTTTCCTCCAAGAGCCAGACTTCAACTGAAATAGGGTAGGTACCTACACAGGAGATTTAATGTATTATTCTTGAAAATGTTACTTACTGGTTAGAGGAAAACAGCTAGGCGATTTGAATTCATACAAATATTTATTAATATATATGAATAACTCAAGAAAATAAAGCGAAGATGTCGGTCATAGAGAAAATCAGAGCATAACAAACGGTACAAAATAAACACAATGAAAATACGTCTGTCGAATTTAAACAAAAATGCAGAGTGTCATGAGTACATAAGCGGCTGACGTGGGATGCCATTTAACAATTTTGTTATTGTGTAATGTTACCGTAATTAAAGTAGGGATACACCAGTGTAACCAACTTATTTAACTATTTTATAAATTTGTTATCATTTGTTAATAGCTAATCATTGGTTTATGGTATACTGATTGGATAGTTTCCTGGTTTGCCGTTCATTTTGTTACTAATCAACAAGTCTTGTTGATGTCGTTCAATTCATAATTTGAAATTTGTAATTGGTATTATCAACAACCACATTCATATCCCATGAATAGTTTCTTCGAAAAAAACGGTGAAACCAATTAATATTCAATAATCTCAATCACCCCAAGGAAATTGCTTATCGCAACAGTGATTTATTGAATATTAATTATATTCAAATTTATTTTCTAGAAATTAAAACTGCTATTATTAAGAAACTATTCATCTGATATAAATGTGTGATACATTAAAATGTTTTGAATAATAAATTTATGTTTTGGTCATGTTTAAAGGATGAAAATAAAAATTAAATATTAATAACTCTAGAAAAATCTGTTAAACATGGTGGGATACACAGTATTCAGTTCATAAACATTTAAATAAATATAAGTAATAATATAGGTATGTATTATGGCGGTAACTAGTCAAGATTATAAAATTAAAAACTCAACTTATAATATAATTAATTTAATTAGTTTAATGCTTCCTTTAATGGTTCTATTATCTAAATGGTACCTATAGGTGAATAGGTTCTGCTTCTACCTTGTATTTTCAAAAAATTACGCCTATTTTCACCTTCCTTGTGGTCTGTGGAATGTTTACATAACCATTTTAGTAGAGTATTCAAATATTAAAAAAAAAAAAAAAATTAAAATGGAATGAAGCAAAAAAAAATAGGACAAACTCGTACCTATCATAGAAAAATGTCAACAAAATTTATATATACAATTACAAGCAAGCAAAATCGGTGTAAATAAAATAATATACTTACATTTTATTATTATAATAATTATAGACTATTGTATTTATTATTTTATTTTTTGATTTAATTATTAAATTTAAACTCAATAGACTTTTTCCTAGTGTTCAGGGACCTTTTTTAACATCCAGAAGTTGTAACATAAGAAAAAGGTATAATTAAAACATACAGTAAATTGTATTATTATAATAACTATATACTACCTACTTACTATATTTTATTGATATTAATTAATTAACTTTTTCTTAGTGTGTGCAGACCTTTTTTTCCTAGTGTAGAACCTTTTTTACTCAGACTTCTTTTTCCACGATTTGTGGATAGGCAATTCAAATTAAGATGAACTTTATTAAACATAATAGTGTCTGGCCTATAAAACATGCATATCAAACATAGGAACAAAAAATTAACTGAATGGCAACACTACTATTTTATATCCATCAAAAATTAAGTGATAGAAATTAAAAAATAGGAAAACATCTTTAATTTTTTTTTTTTTTTACAGCAGTTCATGTTATATTGTTTGTTAGTTATTTTATTTTTAATTCTGACATTTTATGTTACTCACAAAAATAAATTTTTAAAATAGTTACTATGATGGCATATATTATAAATATTAAATATTCTGGATTAATGGTGTCACAGGTTAAGATTGTCATCATTAAAATCTCTATAAAATGGGACGGAATTTAGTGTTTAAAAATTGTATTTATTTATTTTAGCAGAATAATTTACTAACATTTATTTTGTGTTTATCCTTCAATTTGATTTGTTAAAAATATATAATATTAAGAATTTATAATACAAGACTAATGGACAATATAATTCATCCCTTTTTTATAATTAGCTAAATGTAAATCAGCATAAGTATAAATGGATAAATAAATCAAACATAATTTATTATAAATAGAAATATATATGAGTAATCATGAACTGCACATATTTACAACAGATAGATATAAGGGTTAAAAAAAAAAAAAATATATAACATGATTTGTAGTTTCCTTGTTTTCATTTTTATATCAATATAGTTGGAACGTAAATTCCATTAAATAATCAGTAATATGAATAATTAAAACAATCATTAAATAACTAAAAACATTCTGAATCAACCAATGTTTGTACAATAATACGATAATTTTACAACAATATTTTGAGATGAGTTATGTAGGAATGAGTAGTATAAATATGGGGGTTCTAGGACAGTTTGATATTTTCACTTTAAAAAATGAAATTGAATAATATTTAAAAAAATTAAATTTAATAATATTAAAAAAAATTAAATGTTTATAAAGTCCAAAAGGTGTCCACCTAGTATTCTTATATCAAAACAAGAGGAATATGCATTTATTATTTTTAATGTAAATAATATTTTAAAAAAACTATTTTCAAATAAATATTGCGCTAGGAACAGTTCTCTTATAAAAAATAAATAATATAATATATTGCGCATATATGATCAATAGATTATTTTTCAAAAATAACTTATATTTAAAATTATCATTCTTTTTTTATTAATTGTTAAGGTATTCTTTTTAATTTTCTTTTTCTATTTTTGTTGAATAATGTCCCCAAGCTACAGTATCAATACCATTTTCTAGAATATATCTTATTGTCATATGCACTAAGAGCTTTTTTTGTTTTATTTTACATATTTTGGATTTTTATTTTTTAAACAATTTTAAAACATAATTAATTTTTAACTATGGGTTTTTTCACACCTTTCGCTATTTTTAATTTCATTTTCAAATACATTAAATCTATATAGTTTAGATCTTAATCCAAAAATCCCGTCATTATTTGACCATTAAGTTCATCTATGAATTTACCTGGAACTTTTTTATTTATTCGAGGTATTCCGAGTTATTTTCCAGATAAACTGAAAAATCAAATTCATTTAAAAGTTGTTTATTTTTTTTTATATCTATATAAAAATCATCAGTTGTAATTTCAACTATTAAAGAATCTGTATCTGTGTTTAATAATCTGATATTTTTTCAATACGTTATAATAAAAATCATACATTCGAGTTTTAGATAAATCTAAAATACACATTTCTAAATAAATTGAATGTTTTAATTCAACCATAATTATTTTCATTTTTACAGCTACTAAGTGTTTTATAAAAATGGTCACTCAATCAAAATTTGATTTAGTAATCCACTTTTTTAATTTTTCCTCCGCATTAGTTAATTTTATAGGTTTATGGTTTCTTGTGTTCATCATAGTCCTACCAAATAAACTGTAGTTCATTAACTTATAATAATCTTTTTCAAATTCATTGTCTGTTTTAGCAGGAAGATTTGTGTTAAATTCTATATATGGTTTCAACCAATATTTTTGATCAAATTTTATTAATTTATGTATTTCATATAATTGTAAATCTAAACTTAAATAAAGCCCAAGATGATATAATGTAAAATATATTTTTTTTTATCATATAGGGTCATTGTTAATTTTAGTAATTTTGTATTATCAAATACATTTTCAGGAGTCAATGAATAATCTGAATGAAGATCGTGAAGTTCTTCAGGATATTTCATATCTTCTTCAAAAATATAGCTCTTTTCCTGGTCGTCTTTCATTTTAAAAAAATTTTCTGTATTAAACAAATCAGGATTACACCATTTAAATCCTTTTGTATGGTAAATATTTACACATCTCCCATCCATAGAGATTATTTGCATCCAAATCTGAGAGATATTTCGTTGATGTTTTTTCTTTTCTCTTTCTCCAATATATTTATTATTCGCTTTAGAATATATAATACTAGATTGAGATAAACCTTCTCTTATTCCCTGTTCAAACATTAAATACATATCAGTATCTTTTAGCAGTTCTAATTTTACACCTGTTTTTCTAAGCATAGCATTCCAAGCAAAGCCTGGTGTTGTATAATAATAAACAGGATCCAGCTTAAAATCTCTTAATGAAACAGCTCCATAATTTTCCATTACATCTGTAAGTAATAATACATCTATTTTATTATAAAGTATGGTAAAGTCTCTCATATTTTTTATTTCAAATGTTTCCCTTATTTTTTTAGCATTTTCATATACATTTTGTGTTACATGTTCACCTGTAAGAGAACTGTACATTTTATCTATATTAGGTAGAGAGTCTATCATATTTTTCTGGAGAATCCATACATTCATAAAAAAACGCTAATTTTCCTTTTACTAAATCTAATTGTTCAGGATAATGTTTAGATGGTTCTTTAAACTAGTATAATTTTAAAGTTTTAACTAATTTTTTTAAAGAACTTGAAAGAATCAAGAAATCTTATTTTAGTTGTTTTAAAAATAGGTTTTCCTTTATCATGTAAAACAGAGTCTTCAGTTTCTGGATCTAATATCTCATATATTATGGATCTATAAATATTTTTCATTATTTAAATTTGGTATTTTTACAGCAGTTGTAGTAAAAAATGTTTTTCTTGTCTCTATATCTTCTTTAGAAGGCCATCTATAGCCGAATAATTTTGAATATTTTTCACCATTCGGTTTTGCAACGAATATAATCCAACTGCTAAGGTATTCGTTGGTATATGTCCATTTCGCCCCAATAATAAATTTACATTTTTAAATAATTGGTATAATCTCATCTTCAGGATTAGGTAATAAAAATTTTAATTGAAAATATCCAACTATAGTACTTTTCCTTGTGTTAAAATACTTATCTTTTTCATGATCAAAACCTAAATATTTATTTGACTTTTCGTCTAATTTAAAAAAAAAAAACATAAGATTTGATCTTAATTTTATCTCTTTCTATAGAAATTATTAAAGGTTTAACAATTTTATTTAGTTCATCTATAATATATTTTCTATATTTATATTACCTATTATATTATTATATTACATTTAACTTTTAATAAACTATCTGTTTCAATGTTTATTAAATTTGAAGTAATACTTAAATCTAAAACACCACAAATAAATTATCTCCAAATATAGGATTTTTTAACCTTATATATCCGTTTTTTATTTTTATTATTCTCATTTATTATAAATAATATTTTTGAATTTTGAAATAAATTAAAAAATTTGTATAATTCTCTCTATTCAAATTCAATCAAATAAAATATTTTATGTTATTAAGTTGTTTTACACCTTTACAANCCAAAAAGATTTGCTCTTGTGTGTTTTTATTGATTGTTTCAATTTCTTTATGAGAAAAATTATTTAAAAATCTATCAGGTAAAAATAATTTAAATTTATAATCTAAAATAACACTTAATTTGTCACCATATCTTGTTTTATCAATACTAAAATATTTTTATAAATATTTCTGATCTATTTAGTTTCTAAATCATTTAATTTAATGAATTTATAATTAAAGGTGACGCTATTCAATTTAATTTTAAAGTTTTCCATTTATTATAGAAAATATTTCTTTTAACTAAGGTTCAAAAAATTAAAAAATATGGAAAAAATTTGTAATAGTTTTCCCAATCCAATCACATACATGGTTGCCACCGATTTTTTGTTTTTTTCTCACACTTTTTTCATATATTATTTTTTATACGTGATTGAATTGGGTTAACTATTGTTCTAATTTTCTGATCTATTTATCTATCATATGATTACACTAATTTATAATTCCAGTTGCTCATGAGTTTATTACCACAGATAAGCTACTAACTTATCAAATTGTCCAACAAACAACATGTACAAGTGTCACAATCATATAAATATAATATATATAATATAATAGTGACTGAATTATTTTTAGCAAATTTGTATAGCTTTTATTGTGGTTCAAACCTGGTATCTATTGAATTATAATTAAAATATTTACCACTAGACCAGAACACTAGGATATTAAAGTACAATGAAATTAGTCCATTTAAGTTTTATAAATTTAATATTATTTCAATATAATGATAGATTTTATAAATAATATATACTTAGGATGGAGAAATATTTGAAATGCTCCAACCTATTCAATAATAATCAGAAAAATGTAAAACAAAGACCCATGTTATTTTTGAACTTATTAACACTACATACTAAAAATCAATTTTTAGGTAGTCCAATTTTAGAAATTTTTGAGTTAGAATATCTCAACGAGAAATTATAGTAACTCAATTCTGTTTTCACACCTTAAATAATATTTTAGAATATGTTATCAAATTTTGTCTAAAGTGATTATTAAGAGATTTTGGATTCTACTGGATATATTGACTTCAAATTGTATATACCTTTAAAATAAAATCTTTGTTAACATATAGAAATTTGGTAAAATTCTAAAAGATAGAAATAAACTTATTAACAATACAAATTGTAATGTTATATTATTGGTAGATATATAATATTTTAATATCACAAAAAAATATTATTAGGTATATACAATTTGACCTAATTAATCATTATCAATTTGTATGGAACATTTATCTATTTCAGTGCGATTGCATAATATATTATATTATTTATTTTTGTTAAAGAGAACTGTTCCTAGTGCAATGTTTATGTAACATTTGTTTTTATTATTATTTTTAAATATTTTTTTTATTTATTTTTTGAAATATTATTAAATTTCATTTTTTAAAGTGAAAATATCAAACTATCCTAGAACCCCCATATTTATACTACTGGTATGCACTTGACAAAGAACAAATAATTTATAAATTGTTATTAGTCATATTTATTTAATTCATTTAATTGAAGATATATTATATCAAAGATAAATTAAGAAGGCGCCAAATATACATATACTAGTTAAAAAGAGTTTTCTCAGTTTAATTAACCGATGACCTAAAAAAATAATGTTATTTAGAACATAGATTGGTTAGTTTGAATACAAACAAAAAAATTTTAAGACAACACATTTTTGAGGGTTTTACATAACTTTTTTGTAAAAAAACTTTTAACTATTTAAAGAAAAAAAAATAATGAGAGTATAACCTTTTTTTAAAAATAAAAGCAATGTGAAGCTCTCAAATGTATTCTTCTAGTTAAATTTTGTTATTTGTGTTTAAATATTCAACAATAATAATAAAATTATAATAATATATATTTATATAAATTCTAGTTTGTTAAACTGAAATAGAAGATAAAAATAAAAATACATACTATATGAATCTAAACTCTCCACTGGCTACTTTTAATATAATATTCAAACTGATATTGTAATTTTCAGTTTGAGGATCTTCTTCCATCATAGAATCAATGGTTTGAGTAACTTCTTGAATTTTAGGGACAGATCCACTTCACTTTTGGTGACATAGCACCAATGTTTAGTACTTCTAGAGCACTTCTGAACATTTCACACCTTTAACAAAAATGTTTTTTATGTAAGCATTTTAGGGAAATAACTAAATAATATACTAATACGTTCTGGCAATTCCTTTTATATAATTTACAATAGTATAATATTATGTAAAACATCCAATTTAAACACAATTGTCTTAGTGTTAGCCTTTTCTTGAAATAAAACTTTATAACTAAAACATTTTTTAATAATAAAATACATAAGTACTAATAGTTAATATAAAAAAAAAAATTACAAAACTTTAATAAGCTCATTTGTACCTAGTATTATATTCATATTTTTAATTTGTTAAACATTTAGTTAATCACATATTAAGTTAGCTAAGAGCCAATATAAAAATAATAATTTATAAATAATTTTCATTTGACTAACTTTAAAATAATTTTTTTGTAGAATTTGTACATATTTTTGTTTTAAAAATATAGAGTAATTGTATTTTTTACAATTCTTTATGTTGTTATAGAAACAATTATCAGTGTACAGCAGCAATTTTGTTCTACTTTAGAAATGGTAATTTATAATAAGGTTGTGGTTTCGATGATACTTTAAATAATGATCATATATTAGGTAGAGTAATTTTATTATAACTTATCTTTTTGTTGTACACTTTTAAAATTCCTAAATACAAATATGTGCTGTTTAACAACATTGATAATTGGTAGTTATTTGTTTTTGTATTGGAAAGAGTAAAAGGTTTTAATTTACAAATAATGATTAAGATATGAAATATATTAATGTATTAATAAGCACTTTTTCAATTTGTAAAACAATTTGTTGTAGTATGTGAGAATCAAATTTTGTACCTGATCTTCTATAGTTTCTTAAAATCTGATCCAATCTTCCCATTGGTGCAAGGTCAAAAATAAGTGGTAATGGTTTTGTACAAACACTGATTAGAGGAACATTATTTTGATGTTTCAACTTTAGCATTATTTTTAATTCTTGTCTAGCACTACAATACGATTTGCAAGTATATTGGAGTATTCCATTTTGTTTGTGCTCCCTGTAAAAATTCCAAAATATGATAATTATCAACAACAAAAATAATTTAAAAAAACTTACTTTAAAAGCTATAACAGCAGATTAACTAGCATTAAGTCCTAGAGGTATAGGTTGGAACATTAAAATAGCAATTTACATAGTATGATTGGAATTTATTCCTTTATATACTTCTTTGAAAACAAACCTAAATGCCCCACAACCTAATAATTTTCCTCCAATAATATCTTCATCGTTTATGACTAGTTCCTTCCCTAAATTTAAAAACACCTAGACAATGTGTATGTATGTTTAAAAAAATATATTTCATCTATCAGTACCAGTCCGTACATCATACCGTATCAGGAGCCACTTGTGCCAAAGATAAGTCTCCATGCTTGGGACATACAACACAGAGTTTATTTACCGAATATACTGCTAGAATATATTCTTCCACTATCCAACCACAATGTATATAGCCATTAACTTGATCTTCTGAGATTAAAGAGTGACCATTAACAGATACTGTTCTACTTGATTGTGGACTGACATCATAGCCAACCACAATAGACAATTAGCTTTCTATCTTATAAATAAATATTGCAATCTAATGGTTATCAGAAAGAAATAATAATATGAATAATATAAATTATAAAATATAGTGTATCAGTATATGAGGGGCACTCATGGAAATTCTGAATTTTTTTTCATATATAATATATAAATGGAATATCATATTTAAGGTACTTACTATGAACCCATATTTTTACAACCACAATAGAACATTAGAGCATTGCACGGTTAAAACAACTATACAATACAATAAATAATTAAAATATAATAATTTATTATTTTATGTTAATTTAAAAAGGTTAGGTCTGACCACCCAACCCACGTATGTACGCCACTAATATCGAATGTTTTTTAACACAAAATTATTAATTAATACTTTAAGTTTAAACTAATAAACTTACCTCAAAAAACTATAAAGAATTTATAAGACGGCATTTATCTCGGAAATAATTTTGTAAGCCAATAATACACTTGTATGTTCGGATATTTTGTAAATTGAAAAACAGTAAAACACAAACGAGTACCAAGTACCACGACAAAATACATATTTATTTTGTAATGCGAATGCTAATTTTTTTTTGATGGCATCCGCGGTTTTATAGATATAAATAACGAAAATACAATGTAAATTATTTACCAAACTACAATATGCGATAATTGATAACACTAACGATAAATGATAAATAGTTCAACAATTGACCATTGTAATTTTTCAGTTTAACTGTTACAAATAGAATGATAAAATTATTTAGCTACACCTAGCGTTAAATTTATAATTATTGAATATTCTCGCTTTGTACAACAGTACTCCTTTAATTTCTATGTTAGAGGGAACTCAAACTACACAATAGCCGACGATATTTCTTATCAAAAACGGCACCTAGCTGTAGACCCCCATCTTCACGCATGTAAGTTTCCATTTAAATTTTATTCTACTATTTTTTATTAAGGGGCCTGCACGTAGCTATTTATTAAAGAGTAATATGTATACAATTTCCATTCAAGTCAACAGTGGCCGGGATCATTGTGTTAATCGTAAACGATTATTAGTGTGAGTAAGCTTATATACGTGTACTGCCACAGCGACTCCACCACCTTCCCTGTGAATGTAAACAGGTTTACTGTTTATTTTTGCACAAAATAGATTAAAATATACTGCCGCCTTTCCTGTCGTAGATCTATCGCCGCATGCCTCATCGTAATCGTACATTTATTTATAGCGAGATTATAATATAATATAATTATAGTTATCCGTTCATTCCTCGAACGAGATGACGACATTTGGATTGCTAAAATGGAAATTCAGTTGATTCATCTTTACAAAAATTATTTACCAACTGAAATAGTGCAATCCAAAATAATAACATAAAATATACCAATTATTTCTAATATAAATTATTTTACTTGTTTTCACTCATTATTATTGATTTATATTTTTGGTAGATACGATTATTTCATTTTTTTAGATTTGGTACTAATAAAGAACCTATTGGTTTTACTATGATGTGTGTATCCATATTAAACTATAGGTATTTAACTATATAAACTATAGGTAAAACGATAAATATTTACAATGCGCCGCGGCGTTACCGTTTTTTTGTTTTCATTATATGAACACGATGTTTTCTATCAGGAAAATTGATATAATCCAAAAATAACTAGAGATCGTTTTTTTTTTCTTATATTTCACCTCTAACAGAGTAAGTTGTTTTTTCATGTCATAGTATTATTTATAATAATTAGGAAAACCAAAACGGACGAAATATACGATTTTTTTCAAATTATCTACGGCACAACGATTTTATTATTTAAAATTTGTACGGCTCATGTTTTCTACCGTAAATATTGCTCAAATAGATTACTACAAGCGACCTTTTTTATTGCATTTTTAATCTTGTTCATAAGTAAATTTTTGTTTTTTTTTTTATTTTATCTATAGTTTTTTAAATAATCGAACATAATAAAAAAAAAAAAACGTAGTTATAACAGAAAAATTTACGAAAATTTAATATTTCGTAAATGTAAATCAGTTTAAAATATTCGTAGAGACTTAAAATGTTGACAGAAAACTTATATTTACTTTTTCTAGATTTAATAAAACTTTTAGAAAATTTGAGCAATTTTTGGGCTATTTAAAGATATTTTTTTTAAAATTTTGGCTAATTTTTTAGGTAAATTTTATTTGATAGGTACTCTGTAGATAAATTGTCAGATTTAACAAAAAGGCTTGACAATTTTGATAGAAGGTTCATTATAATTCGTACTTGGAGATTAAAAAAAATAATTAAGTGTAGATAGGTACTGTTTTTTTTTTTTTTGTACGAATTAAAATCAAATTTTGTCGAAAATTGTAAATATTACGACCTTTTAAAACATGTATAACTGAACTTCGCTCCACTCCTAATTAATTAGAAAAAAACAAAAATCGATCACTTGTCATTTTTTTGATTGAAGTAATATTTCTATTGAACATATTAAAAAAATTAGACAATGATGTTTTGGTTGCCGATATTAATCAATTTTTTTGGGTTTTCCCAATAATTTGGAAAACTTCTTTGGATATCGAAAAACGTTGTAAATGCTGTATTCTATTTATTTTATTACTTTATTAGTATTAGTATTTATAGATTGCTAGAACGGCGCGATGTGCGATAACAGTAAGTAACGCGGCGTAGGTTGCGGGACTATCTGCGTACGCGCATTCACAGATCAATGATACAGCAAGACGGAAAAATTACAACCGTGATTTTTTTGCCAAAAACACAGTTTACAGGAACAACTCTCATGCCTCGTAGATTTATCTGATTTCATAAATTTGTTTTTGTCAGAATGAGGACGATTTTTTACAGGGCGCAATAAACTTCGATTTTTGATTAAATTGTTAAAAACAAAAATATTACACAATTCATAACCTTGTAAAAATTTGTAAAATTCAAACTCTGATTATAGGGATTATAAATATAATTTTTAAAATTGAAGTCCAATGCACCCTGTAAGAAGTATTCCTTTTTACAACAAAAAATAATTATTGAAATCTGATCACTCTATGAGGCGTGAAAGTTTTTCCCGTAAGGCATGTTTTTGAGCAAAAAACAGGTCGCGCGCAGGCCCCTTAATAACAGATTACAACTTTACTCAATTAAGTATTGTAAAAAAAAAGAAAGTAGTGTACATTATTCTTGTAAAATAAGAAATAAAATAATAACAATTACAATATTATTATTATTATTTGGTTTATCACGCCAACTGTCATTTTTTAAGTGGTACAAATAAGAAATGTCAAACAATGCTAAAACTACTAAAACTAAATGTGATTTACACTATAAGAAGGACATTCATAATTAGAATACAAGAAATACATAATACATAATATATAAAACCTCTATTTTTAAATTTTCATATTTAGTCTCAAATGGTTTATAAATAAAACATACTTTTACTATGCTTAAAAAAGTCGTCATCCACATTAGCAACATGCCATTCTCGTTAACACATGCTTTGTTTTTGCTCATGAGATAATATTCATCCCTCTCTTGATGGCTTAAAAAGTTTTATTGTTATAAATCAAAATTTATGTTACTTTCTACTATATTTAAAATAGTTTGAAAAAAAAAATTGAATTAGAAAATGCAATTTTTAATAGTAAATTGTTTAATACAAATATATTGATATATTGTATAAAAGTTATAAAAAATCACTGTACAGTTTTCGGAACTCAAATTAGTTTCTCTTATTTCTCCTATTTCCCACTTATCATACCTATATATATAAAAAAAAGTTATTAAAGTGACTATATATAAGACCCCACATTGTTACTATAGTTTATATTTTTTTTCAATCATTGTTTGTATTTACTACCTAGTAGTAAATACAATGTGAAGTACACAAATAAAATAAAAACAAATATATTAACCTAGAATCATTTTATTATTTAATAAAATACTTACAAATGACCTGATGCTGCATTTAAAACAATATTGTGAAGAAACAATATTTCTGGGAATCTTGAGTAGATTCACTGAACATGTAAATTAAAATTTTAATATTATACTACAACAAAGTTACCTATTATAAATAATTTATTTGTTTTTAATATTTTTAGTTTTTACTGACCAGATTGTTGTATTTGATGAAGACAAACACAATATGCCATTTTTTTTTTAGTCTCAAGTTTTTTTTTTCACGCCCAGGAAAATTTTTAAATTAGTGGAGCTTCAAAATGTTTGCCACACACTTAATCAGTAATTTTAAAAAATTATAGTATATTTATTATGAAAATGGTCTTTTTATATATTCAAAAATTATTTAAAGTTTTAAAATATGTAAATTGTTAATATGAAATAAAATAATATGATTTAATTTCAACATACTTTTTTTTTGCTCTAGTAATCTATATCCATTTTTCTTTTGTTTATTCTTCTATTTTTTTAGACATAATGGAAATTTAACAAAAAGGTTCACCTAATGTGTACAAATCATTACTGGTACATACTACATTAAAAAGTATCATTTAAAGTTTAAACTATTCGATATCATGAGTTTTTGTAAATTCAAAACCATTTAATAAAATTTAATAACATTTTTCTTATGACACTAACTAATTCCTAAATTTATAAAAAAATGCTAATAACCATATTATATAGTAGAGCACTAATTAAATGTCAAGCTACCACACAAATGATACTTCACTAATCTTTCCCTACCTAAACTTTAAAGATAAAATACTGTTTTTTTTTTATGTTTATATATATTGTAATGATATATACAATATGGTATATATTATAATATAATATTATTTAATATTAATATTATCTACACTACATTTTATTATAGTGGATACCACTTCATTTTATTAGTTTATAATTCAATTTAGATTAATACTAATAGTCTGTATTATAGTTAAATATCTCATATAATAATAAAACATGATAATAAGAACCAGACAACACCACTCCACTATTTTCCCCTTTCGTTTTCTCATAAGCGACTCCTCCACCATTCGGCCACCGGATCCAGCCTTGGCGAAGGTCATCTTTTTCGTCTTCCTGCGAGTGCGTGTTGTTCCAGCTTCCAACATATAGACATATCAATATATAAAACCCAATATCCTTAAAAAAAACTTGGTTTAACAACTTATATTTACTTGGACCATATATGTTGTTCAATTCAACCGATTACTCATGGAACATAATTAATTACTCAGTCATTCATTTAAACTAGGATAAAATGATTCCCAATTGTATATACTCCATCTGAATGAATGTATCTGCCATCTCTCAAATATTTTNTAGCTTTTTAAAGTTCTGATATTATATGTTATGTTAAATAATTATATTGTCCTAAAAACATATTTGTTATGATCTAATGGTTATTTATGCCTATTATCATCCTAAGGTTACCGAGTTCAAACCAGTGTGTCCAAAAAGAAAATTGGTTCCAAGAAAGTTGAAGTTGAAGAAGAAAATTGAATCCAAGATAGAACAAACATTGACGGAGGACCAATTCGGTTTCAGAAAAAATATGGGAACGAGAGAAGCAATACTGGCATTGAGAATAATTATTCAGAAAAGGATTAGAAAGGATAAGCAAACATTTATAGCTTTTATGGACATCGAAAAAGCATTTGATAATGTGAACTGGAAGTTAATGTTTAATATGATGGCAAGAGTGGGGATAAAACAGGAAGACAGGAAACTGCTGTATAAATTATACAAAGATGAGCTGGCTGTTATAAAAATCCAAGATAACGTAGAAGAAGCGAAAATAAATAAAGGAGTTAGACAAGGATGCACTCTATCACCAATTATATTCAAGAAGCAATAGAAAAGATAAAAGAGGATACCAATCTAGGGATAAAAATTAATGGTCAGAAAATAAGTATGCTGCGCTTCGCTGATGACATAGCTTTAATTGCTGAAACAGAGGAAGATTTACAACAGCTAATCAGAACTATGGATGAAATATTAATCAGAGATTTGCATATGAAAATAAATGTACAAAAACAAAAGTACTCGTTTGTGGAAGGGAGAATGTAACCAGAATACAGATAAAGCTATAAGGAAACCAGACAGTAAAACAAGTAGATGAATTTGCATACCTAGGGAGTACCATCAGTAATGATGGAAGAAATAAGAGTGAAATAATAAAACGCATCTGCCAAGCGAAAATAGCATTTAACAGCAAGAAAACTCTTCTTGCATCAAGAGCCAAACATTAGCCTAAAAATAAGGAAAAATCTAATGAAGACATATGTATGGAGTATAGCCCTTTATGAGTGTGAAACCTGGACAATAGCAATAGAAGAACGAAGAAGGCTAGAATCGTTTGAAATGTGGTGCTACAGAAGAATGTTAAGACTTAGCTGGATGAACAGAGTAACCAATGAAGAGGTGCTGGAAAAGATAACAGAAGAAAAATGAATATGGAAAAATATAGTTAGAAGACGAAACGAATGGATAGGCCATATAATGCAACACGGGGGACTGCTAAAATTGATCATAGAAGGAAGCATAAAGGGTAAGAACCATAGGGGAAGACCAAGATTAGTGTATATTCAACAAATAATTAAAGATCAAGGATGCAATTCATACATAGAAATGAAAAGGAAAGCGGATGATAGAGATGAAAAAAATAAGTGTATTAGAGGAGCGAAATGAAAAATAGCTGTATAAATTGAAAATCTACAGGCTGTAAATTATAAATGAAATGAGTTAATAAAGAAAGAACATATGAAGATTATTTTAAGACGTTTTTTACTCAGGGTCAAGTGAGTCATTCTTAATGAGGATCTCAAACAAATTCATTGGACTTCAGATGATATTTCTTCTGGTATGTTGATCCATTGTATAAACCCAAGAGCTTAAAAATTTTTGAAAGAAAAATTAAAATATCCATTACCATGTGTGTCAATTTTAAGATGGGCAAATACTTTAAAAGTTGGTGTAAGGCTTTTGAATAATGTATTGGAAATTATGAAAATCAAAAGGTTTTCAATTGAAGATATTGTCAAATTACACAAGACCCTTCAACCTTTTCAGTATAGAATACAAACACTTCTATTCAAGCAATTTTTCATACTTTCAAATAAATTGTAATGATATTAATTATGTTATTATTAAAAGTTTTAATCAAGACATACTTGAAACATTTTTTTATTATATAAGAGGTTTGGGACATATCATGATAATCCTCCCTCTTGGAGTTTAGAAACCAATTAAGGAAGTATATTTTAAGTAAACTCTCCAGTATGGTATTTACATACAAATTGTGAAGATAGGACAAACAAAAGAAATATTGTAAAACCAATGTCAACATGTACAACAATGGTTGAACCAGTTGAACAATCAATAGTTTTGACACAGACAATTTTTGATTCCATAATAGATGATGTACCATTACATTTTGACCTAAAACAAGATTAAATAATACAAAATAATCAATATGACATAGAAAATCAAATATCAAAAGCTGGTCTATTATATTTAACTGATTATACAGCTCATAAATAAAAGTGAGTATATGTGTCAAGAAATTATAAATAAAGTATGTTTATGTAATATAGGTATTATATTAAATATTATATTTATGCAATGGTATTATTAATCAATTGGATACCAACATTTTGTAAAATATATTTTATTAAATTAATACCTACTATTTATTTTGATATTTAATTTTTACAATGACTAAAAATACAACTAAATTAAAAATGGAATATTTTTTGGGTTTGAAAATGATATTAATTAGAATTGTAGGTGATTTAAATTTATCAAATGTATTGCATATTTTGTAAATAAAACTTAGAGATAAATATCCTAATTTGGCTGATCAAAACAAAATATATAAATCAAAATGATGTACTTGATAGGCATTTATACACTTTAAAAGGAAGTTTGTTATAACTGCACGAAGTGTTTATAGAAATGATTTTTGAAAAGGAAAAATGTTTTCAAATTGAACATGAACTCACATTTTTTAATAAACCAAATGTCATTGATCCAATTGTTGCTCAGGTAACCTAAAACATACATATATTGATTTAATAAAATAAATTATAATATAGCATTATTTCAATCATTATATAGATACAATCAAAAGTTAAATGGCTTAATATGGTAAAACTTTATCATTTCTTTATAGGTTACAAATAATTGCAAATATTGTGATAAACCTACTGAATTTATATCAAGTTTAATACACACCAGGAATTTTTTTCTCATACACCATATAAATCAAGGCATTAAAAGTAAAAACTTTAAAACAAAAGTAAAAAAAAAAATGGACAAATGTATTAATTCTGTTGGTAGAAATTAAAAACTATGTATAGTGTAAATAAGTAAAATAAAGAATTTGTCTCAAAATGTCTGCGTTTTCACTCCTGAATATTGAGACTTACCATATTTTTCTTACTTCATCTGCAATGACATTAGTTTTAGTTATACAAGTCTGCAATATAATATTTAATTTTTACTGTATACCAACCAGTTGCACTGTTTTATAGATAAAGGATAAAACTAATGAATAATGATTAATTTATACTAATATATCAAAAATCGTGATTTAAACAATGATTTTAGAAAAAAATTAGTAAAAGATTAAAAAAATCTTTAATCATTAACATATAAATGTTAATGATAATGATAATGCATTACGCTTAATGATTTACAAAAACCATTCTGATTGTTTCCACATTATGAGTTGAATTTCTTTACTCATAAGCAATCGCATTTTGATAAGAAAGTTGTTCAACTATGTATTATAATTACCTTGGGTATACTTAACCTAACTTAAGGTTAAAAATTTAAAACGGTTTATCACATGAACATACAAACGCGTTTTTGTTGAAACTAAATTAAACCTTATCATTTTATCAAATTTGTTTGCATTGAATATTTAAATGTCTAATATTATTACCTATATATTATACATTATTACTTATTACTTATTACAATTAATAATTAAATTTAAATAAAAAACTACATTATTCTGATATTTCGCACTTATTCGTTACTCTAATAACCTTAACCATAATTTAAGTAATATTACATTTTCAATAATATAACATAATAAAATACTATTAGTATTAACACATTTAACACATGTTCGGCATTTTAAAAAATAATTATTACTTTTTAAATTTATTTTCGTTCTTCCGTGAAATTGTCCAATTTGTGAATTTTTGTTGCACCTATTTATATTCGTTCATTTTGTGTGGTTAGTTTTTGCATTAGGGTGTATTTGCTAATTATCAAACCTAAAGCTAAGAATATTGTCTATTTTCGTTCATTAGTTTTTTTTTATATTTACATTTTTAAGCATGATAGGATGATTAAAACTGACATACATATGGTTAGTGCTCTTGCCTTAGATTTGATAATAGGCAAGTACACCCTATTATGTTAAAACTAATAGCACAAAATAAACGAAAATTATAAATACAGCATCATTTCATTTATTGGACAATTTCATCAATGGGCATATCAAATAAATATATTTACGTATATTTAATATATAAGTAAATATATTTATTATTGTAGAGTAAGTTTTTTTAAATTTAAATAGGTTAAGTATAATAATATTTGTAATTAATACCTATTATAGTATTATTTTATACAGTACATATTCACACATTCTGTATTTTAAAGAGTAATTATTATTACTTTTTAAATTTGTTTTCCTTAATTTCTTTTTGTATAATGAGTACCTAACCTACGAGTCATGAAACATTTTGTATACACATATATAATAATAATAAATTATTACTTTTATAACACAAATAATTTCTAATAATACTGTCTTTTTTTCCCAGATTCTTATTAAAATGTTGGTGCATTCCAAAACTTTGTACACTATGGGCATATACAGCAAATGAATCACATTATCGGTAATTATATACTTATTATTTGTTTAATCTTTGTTTAAAAGTCAACTACTTTAGTATATGTACAGTATTTTGTCTTTTTTCTAATTATTCAATTTACTTGTATATATAATGTAGTATAATAATTGGACATTTTTAAAAATATTTTTACTTATCAATACTGCAATTAGGTATCTGGTTCATTATCTGATTTTATTAAATTAATTTTTTCTCATTTCTTTTTATTATATTACAGGGTCTGTGTATATAAAGTAGGGATAACAAATTAAAAATAGTATTAAAATAAAACTTAACCAATAATGATTAAAAAAACAGATATCAAATTTACTTAAAATTCTCCCAGAAAATTGTTGTTTCATGATAAAATAAACACCTTCTAACTAGTAGGCAAATAGGCAAGTCCTTATTATGTATAAGAGTAACTTTCTTACATGACTAATGATTAGATAAAAGACAAAATATTGTATGTATATTAAAGTATTTAATTGACTACAGAACAATAGTCAAAGAAATAAAAGGTACAATAACATTTTTATTAAATTTGTTAGTAAATAGTTAAGTAAATTTCTTATTATAAGACTTGTATAATAAGACATTTGTACACTAAAATAATAAAATGCATAATTTACACTCTTATCATAATTATTCATAGTGTTATTTCATTTTAACTATTATTATTATTATTATGTTCATCAATAATAAGACAATTATTACTTATGTGCAAATGTATATATTAATTATATTTTACCTAATATATTAATTTATAAATTGTTTAACTTGATTAATGGCGCTTTAAGTGTATACATATTTTAATTTTAAATTAAGATTTGGTTTTTCTTTAGAATCAAGAACAAAAATAGAATTAGGACACATTATGTAAATATTGTTCATGATTATTGATTATCAAGTTCTTCATTATTGTAGTTAATTATTAGTGAATTGTTAAATTTATAAATTAGTTTATCTACTATCAAATTTTTGTCACAATTTCATTATTTTAAATTTTTATTCATTCCATTTTCTATTAAAAATATTGCTCCAATATAAAACAACATAAGATCTTTTTTATTGAATTTTTAATCCCTTTGGTAACTAAGGAAGTCTTTTTTTTATTTTCTTCATAGTTTTTTAATAATTGAGCAAAACTGAAAAATACATAAAAAGTACAGCAAAATTCACAGACATAGGTAATTCTTTTATTATTTTAGATTTTGTTTTTTGTTGTTATTCAGCTAAAAATATTCACATAGACTTGAAATTTGAACAAAAACTTATATTTGTTTTTTCTAGGTATGGTAAAACTTTCAAAACATTTGAACCATTTTTGAGCTTTTTATAAAAATTAAAATTTTTTATTGAAATTCAATTAAAAATATGCGTATGGACTTTATGAATATGAAATTTGGACACAAAATTTATACATTTGCCTTTTACAGATATGATCAAATTTAAAAAAAAATTTAGCACTTTTGAGCTATTTACATAAAGTGATTTACTCAACTGGAATCATTCATTATCTCAGAAAGTATTAATTTTTTTTGACATTTTTTTTTGACGTCCTTATTTTGGAGTGAACCAACTACCTAATTTTGATTTTCAAATGGTAATCTATGTATTATTAAAAATATCTTAAATNAGCACTTTTGAGCTATTTACATAAAGTGATTTACTCAACTGGGATCATTCATTATCTCAGAAAGTATTAATTTTTGTGATTTACTCAACTGGGATCATTCATTATCTCAGAAAGTATTAATTTTTTTTGACATTTTTATTTACTCAACTGGGATCATTCATTATCTCAGAAAGTATTAATTTTTTTTGACATTTTTTTTTGAAAATTTATGAAACCTAATTCTAAAATGTTACATTATCTTTTTTTTTTTTGACGTCCTTATTTTGGAGTGAACCAACTACCTAATTTTGATTTTCAAATGGTAATCTATGTATTATTAAAAATATCTTAAATACATGGAGTGTTAGTTATTATAAATTTTGGTGTTCAAATTTTTGATTTTCATAAAAACATTTTGTCTTCAATTATTCAGTATCTAATTTGATACAATCTATACAACTTCAAATATTATAACTCAATAATTATATCATAATTATGTTTTTATTTATATATTTATGATATTGTATATTTTATTTTATTATTTATTATTGATTTCTTAGTCCTGATTTAAAGTAAGCAAATTTCATAACACTAATAAAATAAGACTTTTTATTTTTTAGGTCAATATCATGTATAAACTATAGTAGTTAACCATCTTATATTATTGATTCACATTCAGTAATTTTTTAATAGCTAAGAATCATTTATTATTCATTAAAACATTACAAGTTTTAAAAATAGATGGTTTTCCAAGTTTTTATGAACAATGAACCCTTTCTAGAGATATTTACTGTTCCAAAAGATCATGAAAGACAAAAAACAAAACACATTTCAAACCCCATTGCTTTGCTCAGAATTAAAATCAACTTTAAAGTTTAGATTTATTCATTGGAAATCAAAAATAAATAGTGGTTTGCCCTATAAATTTAAAAAAATCACTGAATTATAGAAAAGCATGTATATATCTACAATTTTGAAAAAAGTGAATCCTCTAGAAATAATGAATCAACAATAAAAGAATCATTAATGTATACAAAAAAATACATGCATCATAATTAAAAAAAGCTACAACTAGTGTTGAGATAAACCAATTATCTTTTTATTTGGATGTTGATGGTAATCATTTTGATTATTATGATTTTGATATTATAAAATTTAAAAATGTAAGGCCATTTATTTTTATACTATCAAATATTTTATTGTTGCACTTACATTCAATTTAGAAATAGAAATAGAAATAATAGAATTAAAATTAATTATAATCACTTTTAAATTTCTATCTAGTCATTGAGTTTAACAGCTTAATAACCAATAAAACTGTATACCTTTGGAATACCTTGTTGTCAAACTCACTTATGTTCGTATTTTAATAACCTACATAAAATAAAACAAATTGTCTACATACTATTAAAGTCCAAGTTATAAATGCTAGTAAATAAAAATGTTTATACTTACTTTTGTTAATGATAATTGATAGGCAACCCCCCCCCCCTGAAGTATTTAGTTTCACTTAACCTAACTTAATCTTTCATATGTTTATTGAAAAAAAAGTTCTAATTTTCAATAACTGATTTTAAAAAACACCCCCCAAAACTTTTTTCTTTGTATGTCTCTGATAATTGATAATGATAAGAATAATATTTAGCCAAGAATATTAAGATACATAATACAATTATTTAGTCATGAATTCACGATAGTGATAATATTATCAATTCATACACAATATTGTTAACTTTATTTTACTTATTGACTTTATTTACTATAAACTTTCTAAAAAAATTTAACAAAATGCCCACATATCTATAAATGCATTAATTAAATAAGATAAATAATTTAAAATAATGAAAATAATAATAATTTAATACAAATAATAAAATAATAATATAATATAATCATTAGTTGTTAAGCACAATTATAGATTAAATCAAAAAACTGATTTAAATTTCCAATGGCATAAGGATCATTCAATTTTTCATTTTTATTTTGCATATTTGAGTGTAAAAAACAACTCTACATTTTTAGATAGTTGCAATATTCCATATACAATAAACATTTATAAAAATTAAACAAAAAAATCTAAATTTTGTTCAGTTATATAATGATACATTTATAATGTGCTATATTATTGGCAGTTAATTTTGTTTCTTAAATAACAGTATTAAGGCATATAAATATTTGCATATAATACATTATTTATGTGTAGGTAAATATAGTTATATTCTAAAATAATGTTGCATAAAAACCAAGCCCTAATATTTATATTAATATTACTATGAAATATAAAATTTTATTATAATTTTAAAGCACAGGATTATGAAACATCTATTTCAAATTTGATGATGCAGTTTATTCAAAATTATTCTGGAGTTATACAAAATATGAGTAANGTAGGTAAATATAGTTATATTCTAAAATAATGTTGCATAAAAACCAAGCCCTAGTATTTATATTAATATTACTATGAAATATATAATTTTAAAGCACAGGATTATGAAACATCTATTTCAAATTTGATGATGCAGTTTATTCAAAATTATTCTGGAGTTATACAAAATATGAGTAAAGATATAAATTTAAATTTTGTCGATTCCTATTCCAGTTATCTCAGGAGTTCCACAAAGTAACCACTTTTCATCCTTTCTATTTTATTTGTTTATGAATGATATTGTTTTAGCCTTTAATCACTCGGGTTTTTTGTTCTTTCTTGATATTGCAAAATTCTTTAAATTAATCAATTGTCATGAAGATGCAATACTATTACAAAACAATTTAGATAATATAATTAATTGATGTAATTCTAATGGAATGATTCTTAACTTGGATAAATGACTCTCAGTCACTTTTTCCAAAAAAAAGTGACCATTTAATTTTTGATTATAAACTTTTTAATAATTTATTAAATCATCTCAAATTAAGGACCTCAGTGTAATCTTCAATTCTAAATAACTTTTAACTTTCATATATTATAAATTTAAGAAAAATCACCCAGTTTTTGATATGATAAATAGAATCAAAACTGTTTTAATTTTATTTATCCTAGTACTTTTAAAAGTTTATACAATTCCCTTAATTGTCCCCATTTAACCCTTTCAGACTCAGAATTAATTTTTTATTTTTAATTTTGTTTTTGAGAAGTATGAAGTATGTCCATCTTTTTTTACTTGAAAGAGGAAGATTATTTATAGAACATATACAATAAACTTCGATTTTTAATTTATCTAACTATCTAATTAACTGATTGTGTACTTTGTGAAAAAATGTCAAAAAATAACATAAATTTAAAATGTTACAAAATGTATAAATCTCTACCTAAATTCAATTGAAGAAATCCAAATGTGAAAATGCGTAACTAATTGAATGCTTTATTATGTGTCTGTGATAAAAGAAAGAAAACAAACTTAGTACTTATATAACAAAAGGGTTTTTATATAAATAATTTAGGTATAATTTTTAATGAAAAATTATTATATTTTAAAAATTTATATGAATTCAAGTAATATGATAAAATATTATGATCAATAATGATCAATAATCACAATTCTGGTTAAGTAGGATTTTTTAAATTTTTACCAAAATACTGATGGATATTTTGTTACAAAATACAAAATTACGTACATTAAAAAGTTACAACAAAATATTGATTATTAATGAAACATTATATCTGTTATAATGTGGTCTTCATATTATAATATGAATAGCGATATAAAATTTTAATTAATACAGAATTACTAATTTATTGGCAAGCAGGAAGCAATCAACTTGTATTATTTTTGTACAAAGATTTGATATTATTGTTGGTGTTACAATCAGTGTAACCACTGTCTTATATATAGCAATATCTAAATGGATCATAATGCATATAATATTTTTAGTGATTTATATATAACCTATTTGAATGTTTCATTTAAAAATATAAAATGTAATTTAATCTCTTTTCAGATTCATAACTATTTTATTCAAAATGTATTGACAAATAAAAAATTTGTTTTGGACAGATATCAGTTTTAAAACTAAAATCATGTTAGAAAATCAATTAGACAAGTAAGTTTATATTAAAGTTTACAAATAAATATCTAAATATATATTACTATACTCATTAATGGTAACATATTTTAAATAGAAAGATAATATATAGAAGTAACATCTTTGTTATACCCATATTTGTATATTTTTATAATTAAATAATAATTTATTATCTATGTTTTAATTATTAAAACTAGGCGTTTAATTATAATATTAAATAAAATACAACGTTAAAAAATGTACTTATTATCATATTTAATCTATATTATTTCATATTTCAATATTTCATTTTTATAAATAATATAAACATTTTTATATTTTTTTTTTTTTTTAAATCTATTTTAATTCAGTTTTGTTGTTACTAGTATTAATTTTTGTTTACAATTATGTGTTTCTTTACTCCTATAACTTGTAAGTGATTCAATAAGTACCTATGTAATATATTTGATTGGTTTTCAAATAAATAAATAATTAACTTAAAGGAATTTCACTTTAATATAAATGTTAATAATCAATATAATATATTAATCTGACTTTTTTAAAAAAAAATTAACAAAAAAAAAACACTGTTGAATTAGTTTTACATTTATATTATAATTATAATTTTATACCATAGACAATGATTGGAACTGGGATGTGCATTATCTATATGGATTGTGTGGGTGCTAGAGTGTTTTAAACTTAATATATAGATTATTTCTTCAAATAAAAAAAAATTATAAAAAAATAATAATTTATTTTATTCCTTATTTAGCTTTTTTTCTACCTTGAATTTGATTTATAAAAAAACATATCTTTTATATCATTTAAACTGTTTAATTAACCAATCAGCCATAAAAATGTTATATTGAATATTTAGAAAACTTATTACTATATTAATAATTCATGTTTTTTTTTTTTTTTTTTATGTATATTGTGTATAGATCTGTCCTAGATTTGTCTCAGCACCAAAAATCTGAAACTAAGACTTGTTTTGGACAGTTGCCACTCGAAATTATAGGAAAAATTTTCAAATATTTGGATGAAAAAGACCTAAATTCAATTGCACATGTTAGCAAAATTTGGCGGACTATATATTTAAACCAAGATACAATTTGGAAGCAAATTTGTATTAATTTAAACATCCTCAAATTTGATTATGACAAATTAGTTACTCGATACTTTGGAAATAAGGGTGAGATTACCCATAAGAATGATTTTGATATATCAGCAGATATATTTGGTATTATGTGTAAATGGTGGACTCTATATAGATGTTATCAAATGGTAATAAGAAATATTTTATCTAACAAATTTATTAGAGTCTATTTTACTAATAAACAAACTCAACAGACTTTTTGTACTGATTCTTACATCATCAGTATAAATCGTACCAAAGAGTTATCGATTCACGCTTGGGTTTTACAAAATTCTACATTACCCTTGAAATTAAAAGAATTCAATTTATATAAAAAATTAATTCAAAATGAAAATTATAATGTGAAAGTTGTTGGAAACAATACATTTTTAATATTTGAAATTCATTCAGTTATATTTGTATACAAAATCAAAAATGGCTCATTTTTACTTAAGTATGCTAAAGTCATTCAGAAACCTAAGTATAATGATAAAGATAGTAAATTTGAGATGGAACCTTCTGAAGACTTCTTACAAGAGAATCAAAATACTAAAATTGACCTATGTCAGACTAAATTACTATTAGCTCAACCTAGTACAAATAAAATATTTATAATTGATTTGACTAGTGGAAAAATATGTAATGTGATAAAATATTTTCTGGAAAAATGCATTGTAGATGTCATAAAGTTTACTGTAAATAGAGTGATGATTGGAATCTCAGTTAAGGTAAATTACTATTTTTTATTGTAATATTCTAAGAAGTCACTAATAAGAATATCAGGTTTAAAGACAAAAACATGTGCTTCTTTTATTTCACATTCTTAATAAAAATAATAATGTATATGTATAATTAAAAGCTAAGTTATTGTGCCTGAGAAAAATAACACAGAGTTGCCAACATCATAAGCATAACTGAGAATCCTTAATCATAAATTAAAAATATAATTTTTATAATAAAACATATTACATATTCAATTTAAATGATACATAAAAATATCAAACAAAATAAACATATTTAAACAAACATTTACCTCCTAACTATTTTTCAAAATTACAATCTGTAACTTATTATAAATATAAATGTTTGGATAGTTTTTTTTTTTTTTGTTACTAATAGGTCTAATGGTTTTTGTTGTTCTATCTCCAGTAAACTTAATTTATCTTTAAAATTTTTTTCCATTCATCATTAATTTCCTCACTTTCCTTAGTGCTCTTTTTCATAGCTATTATACTTATTAAATTCCTCCAATTTTAATATTTGATTTATATATCATCTCCAGACCAACACTTTATCCTTACATCTGACAATATAATTTCTATGTCCTAACTTCTTTTACTGCTTTTTCCCAAATTTTCTTTAAGAGATTTGAAAAATGTCTAACTCTGTCTTAAAAATTACCCTATAAAAATCATTTATAGTGAAAGGGATTGCATTTCTCAAATATTTTAAAACCAAAGACATAATTATAAGATTAATTAAAATAAGATGAAATGAGACTATATTTTGAAAAGATTACTCTTCCTTTAACAAGGTTAAATTGTCCAATAATTAAAATATCACTTAATATTTTATTTAAACAATAAATTCTGTATCAAGAGATCTAAAAACTGCAAATATATCAATTGATTCTACCCAATACTTGACCAAAACTTAGATTTGACTAATTTTAACTAAAATCATGAAATTTGTATTTTTTGTAAAATTAGATTTAAAAAATACAATAATAGGTTAGTAAAAATATAAAATAATACAGTTAATAATTATTATAATCTAAATTTCACAAAATATTTATAATTATTTAATAGCACAAGATATTTGTAAATCAGAAAAACTGTTTTCATAACTTTCTATTTCTTAGCCAAATTCAGGTCACCAAAAAGATCTGGTAACTGCTTTCATTTTTGTGATATATGCATGTATACTATCTCTTTTTTAATCAGTGTTCGAAATTGAAAATTAAATAAACCAGAAAATTTAAAAAACTTATCTCATATGACATATATAACTCATACGCCATATTTTGCTTGTAAACCAGTTTTAGTGATACACAAAATTATCAAATACAGAAAGTTCAAATTTCTCAAAATTGAGTTTTATAAATAAGTATCTACAATATTGGGTCTTCAGACACTAGCTGTTTTGATAGGTAGTTTAATACTAGTTAGATTCTAATGAATTTTTAATACTTACTATACTGGTTGGGTTCCAGCTTTCTGTACAAAACATTTCCTTTCTTATTTTTATAGATTTAAGATCTATATTATCAGTGATTTAAACGTTAAAATAATGAATGCTCAGTGGACAAGTTTTTATTTTTTTACTCATGGGTAAATATTACATAAAGTACCGATTTTGCTAGGCACAGTACAGCTGCCAGTAGTCAATAATTATCTTAGTCATTATCCAGATTGCAAGAAAATAAATTTGAAAAAAACAATTTAAACTAACAAATAAGATTGTTCATTATTTAAACACACTTAAATAACTAATAATAATGTAATTGATATACAATTTGTACAAAAGTATAAAGTGTGTAAAATTGTATTAAACTAATGTTTTAATTTATAATAAAATAATAAAGTAAAAACAAAATTATTAAAATGGTTAATATTCGTAAATAAATATATGATTAAAAAATGTTTATATAAAAAAATAAAAATAAGGACCACTCTAATAATATTATACATAATATTGTATATCTATTCTAAACTTAATATTCTTTATTCTGAATTTAAATTGTCTATAATAAACCTGTTTGAATAGACTTTCACTACTCCTACAAGTTAAAGTGAAATATATCATCTACCAATTGATAGAAATCAAGGCAATGCAACATTTAAAAGTGGCTTGTTTTTTAAATTTTTCAAAAAATTAATTCCGAAAAAAGTTAATAGTTTCTAGAATAAAGAATGTTTTGCATTATGTTAATCTCTCTATAAATAACAAACAATTATTTTAATATATATTTTATTTTTCAGGACAAAATTTATGATAGAATTATATTACACTATGCAATTATATTCTTTTTGGAAGATGATGTAGTAGTTAAAAAAGTCAAAATACTCCTGTATGGTACTATTACCAAATTCAAAGTGTCTACAAAATATATTGGAGTAGAAAATAAAGCTCAACCAACACCATTTATCATAAAGAAAAACAAATTTGTAGTATTATTTTGGATTGATTGTGATACATTTACTATAGATTCTGGAAGTAAATTTATCTTCTATAATGTAAATCAAAGCATATATAGATATAATCTTTTAAAGTGCCTTAATAATAAATTTGAAATAGTGAATAGAGTAGCAAAAGATGCAATATCAAATCAGTTTCCTTTGACATCAATTAATGATAGATTTATACTGGTTCAATCAAAAGTTCCGCATTCCTTTGAGATATTTGATACTAAATTATGTGTTACCGTGAGGTCTATACAACTACTACCAGGATATAAATTAGCACATGTGGGCAAATTATCCATTTCATTCATCAATGAACAAAAAGTATTACTAATTCGATTTTGTTAATAGTAATAAACTAATAACTTACATTTTTATTACTATTTTCGTCTTCATTTCCAAACAATGTATTTTGTAAATGTTCTTTTGTTAACTAACTGAATTCACATATTAAATAATATATACCATATTGAAATAATATTGTACAAATGTTATAAAACTAATAATAGGTCATTCTTTACTTTAATTTAGTAAACTATGTATTGTTGTTCAATAGGTTATGTACTAATTAATATTATTAGCATAATGTTTGTATTACATATTTTTTATTTTTTCTGGATTTATATCAGACTTGATTTAATTTAATTTAATTTTTTTTTTTAAATGATTTGTATATTTTAATTGAATAATACAGAGGTTAAATATTATTTTACTTATATATGTTTGTGTATATAAAAATAGTATTGCTTCTTGCCAAAATGGATAGTACTTAATTTTCATGATATTAGTTGTAAAATATTTGATTATTTAATATTTAAAATATTTAATTCATTAAATTATGATTTTAGTTTTGTAGTGTCATTATAGTTTATGATTATTTTAGTTTAGTATCAATACAAAATTAAATATAATTAATTTACATTGAATACTTTGGTTTAGATGTATAATTTCTAAAACAATATCTGGCTTTTATTAAAACTTTATTATGTAATTTTTAATTAATAAATAAAGACTTAAAAATTACTGCTATACTAGTATCACACATTTAAAACTTTATTTCTATTGGTTCTGTACCATCTACCAAACCTATATAAATATTTGTCAGACAGAGATGTTATACACAAATCATGTGGTATTATAGCATCAGTTTGAATCAGTTTTCATTTACAGGAAACCTACACAGGGCATTAATTAATTAATATATTTATTTACTAGTATTAACCATTAAATAATTCTGTTTTTACTTTATTATTTTATTAAAAATCTATCTTTAGTCCCAAGAAGGGCCTAATTCAATTTTGTGTAATTTTCAATACAAGCAAATACAATTTTGAAAGTACATATACCTATGTAATTAGAATCAACAATAAATGGAACAAAACAGTAAAAATCAAATACTGATCAACATACCGGTCTTCCCCCAAGATCAAAGATATTTATTTATTTTTTTATTTTATTTAATATACATGAGTACTAGGCCCAGGAATTCTAAATCTTATTACATAAAAATAACATGGCCATGATAAAAATTTAAATTCTAAAAGTAAACAGGTGTATGATAAACTAAATTAATTAACATTAATTACATTAAATTAAAGTAATATTATTATTACATACAATTAATGCATTATTACTTTATGAGACTCCAATAGCCATTGCAAAATGATTTCTTAAATAAATTAATTGGAAGATTTATTATATAGGATGGTATTTTGTTGCATAAGATGGTACCAATTATTTCTAAATATCTACCAGATGTGGGTTTTTTTGGTCTTTTAATGGAAAAATATAATTCTTTATGTATCTTGTATTTCTTGTATTTACTCCATGTGTTATTGGTTGTAATAAATTATGGCAACGATAAACCATTGCTAACGAAAAAAACGATTCTAAGCGGAGTTCGGTGAATAGTGTTGTTTTGTCAACGATATGTTATCATATTATGTTAAAATAATTACATATACATTATATTTGTTTAATATTGTCATACTCCCGTGGCTACGGGCTTGTGTGTGACGTACTAAATATAGTAACAATAATAAATAAAATAAACTGCGTAGAAAGGGAAAACCAAAAATGACGAAAAATACGATTATTTTCAAATTACGGCACAACGGTTTCGTTATTTCAAATTTGTTCGGCTTATGTTTTCTAATAGAAATATTGCTTCAATGGAAAAACAACAGGAGATTTATTTTATTGAATTTTTAATCTAGTTGGTGACCATGAAAGTCGTTTTTGGTTTTCTTTGAAGTTTTTTTTTTTTTAATAATTGAACAAAACCGAAAAATACGTAGAAAAAACTGGGAAGTATACAGAAATATTCTTTTATTTTACATTTTGTTTTTTAATGTCATTCAGTTAATAATATTCGTAGAGATTTGAAATTTTGAAAGAAAATGTATAGTAGTTTGTATAGATGCGGTAAAATGTTTGATCTATTAGACATTTTAAGTTTGCAAGTTTTTTTACTTAATTTTTATCTGACACTTTGTGGACAAAATTATTAGATTAAACAGAAATTTATTATGATCTATTTAAACTTCACAATCTATCTATATCATTGGGTAATGTAATCTATATACATAAAAGTGAAACTGTAACGTAATTCAAAAACAACTAGACCAATTTTTACGCGGTTTTTCGCAAAATGATCCATGTTATCCGAAGAAGGTTTATAGCTATTATCCATCCTCTATTGAAAACCATTCCTCAAAATTCGGTATTTAGGTATTATAAAATTATTTATTTTTATGAGTTACCTGAGTAACACAAATGAAATTAATAAAAAATAAAAAGGCTAGTCAAAACGTATCTATGGTAATTATTAGTATAAATAAAAATAATTATACATATCTATGTACCATTTTATGCAATAAAATATAATGTTATAAACTGTTTTTACGTAATTATTATTATTATTAAATATTAATTTTTAATTTTTGAAACAAATAATAAATAATAAATGGTAAATAATTCTAAAGCTGTTACTCGTGCGTTAAGGGATTCACTCACGTGACACGACTACATCGTCCACTACATATCAGTTTTCCACTTATATTATTTCCAATTGCTATCTGACAAAAAGCTCAAAAGGAAATCCAATATTAGCGTTCATCGTGAGGGGCAAAAATATTGCGATGTCATTGAGATAATGAAAAGAATAGCAAGCGACGATTAGCTAAAATACGATACATGTGTTTTCCCACTGTCAAGCATCCTTACTCCCTGATAAGTTAGCTTAAATTCCTTTGAAATCCATCAATTCTCCCCTCCCCCCCTAAAAAAAATTCGATGTTTCGATATTTTTCATGTGAAAATCATAAAAAAATGTCAACAAAACACTTTTAGTGGCGGTTCCAAAGGTGGACTAGTTGACTAACCATTTTCCACCAGTTCTTTTTTATTTATTACTGACACGGTCAAAACCAAAAAGGAATATAGGTAAAAAAAAATAATAATTGGCACGGGCAACGTCAGTATGTATAATATATTTTTCAAAACTATAAACAATACAAATAGGGACATTAGATTTCTTTTCTTCTTTTTTAATAATGTTAAACATTAAATAAATAATGCATTTGTAATGTATAGTTATACATTGCATTTTACATCATAACTTAGTAATTAATTATATTAACTGTAATAATATAAAATTAAGACGTAGTATGGGCATTCAAATGTTAAGAATATAAGTCAAAATCAAAGACAAGTATATAACCTGTTTGATGATGAATAGTTTAAAAAGTTGTATATATAAAACTAGCTGAGTATTTCAAAATAGGGGGGAAGAGGGTTTGAGAGCATGTGGGCTATTTTACAGTCTAAACTTAAGTTCACAGTTTTCAAATTATACCAATTTGATGCTGCTGTTTATTTGATTTTTAAATAATTTAAAAGTTGATTATCAACTAATTCTTATTCTTAACACAAATAAATTAAATCATTTATTGTGAATATTATTAGCAGTACTGTAACATATCTAATAAGATACAGTATCTACTATCTAGGTACTTTTTTTGTATCTTGTATCTGTATCTAGATAATTTGTATTATCTGTATCTGTATCATAGGTATACAATATTGTGTATCTTGATAAAAGTATCTAAGGTACTTGTTAATATACAATTCTTACTTTTTTGGTTCAACAAAATATAAAAATAAAACTAACAACTTTAAAATTTAATTTTTTTTAAATAAAAATGTCAACAATTTATTGTTGATATGTATTATTTTCTCATTTCTTTATTACTATAAATAATTATGTGTACTAGTATTTATTATATTATTTATTTTATATTTTAAAACTGATATAAAAATGTAGATAAAAATATTGAGCTATAAATTGTGTACCCATTACTTATTTTATTATAATTTTGTAATTCTAAATTTTTAATGAATTAAATATTTATGAAAACAATTATCTGTTTTTTAAAATGTATCTTAATATAATTGTATCTATATCTAGATACTTTCAAATAAATTGTATCTATACCTGTATATAAATACTAAATTAAAGTATCATATTACAGCACTGATTATTAAGTATCCAATATTTTAGGTGAATTTAATTTTAAAACCAATAACTTATTAAAAGTTCAATGAAATAATGTTTGAAATAATTTTTTTAAATAGTGCTAAATGTTAAAAAGTAGTAATAAAGTAGTTGATTAACTAAACAGTATATTCATTTTTTTTAAAACTAAAATCCAAAATAGAAAACAATTTGTTTAGCATTAAAGTATATGTAGAGAATGTAGAATGGCGTGGATGAATTCCAATTTTCCTGCCTGAATTCGCATCCCATTCCGTCTCTGACATACAAATATTTTAAACTACCTGTTAGTCTACCTCCTAAAATATATATTTATAAAATAAAATCATAGTATGTAATGTAGTAGCAAAATTACGTATACAAAATATATACGTGTATACTTGTATAATATATAATTACATAATATATTATAATTATTAGTCTATATATGAGTCTAATATATAAGTCTATTTAAGTGAAGGACAAAAAATTAAAATTAGATTAGTTTAATGTCAAACTGGTATAAAAAAGAAACCTAAGCTAAAACTATAAGTCATACGGAAACTTTTTTTTATATATAGCATTACCCTACAACTATGTCTCTTATAATAAAATAAATACATCATTATTGTGGACATTATGTCAATAGTATAATAATAATTTGTGCATGGCAGGTATATTTTGTTGTCAATATAAACCCGTATTTAATGTTAAAGTTAATAATAAAAAAAAAAATAATAATAATAATATTATTATTATTATCTGGTACACTAGATGAAATTGATTTGTTGGAATGTTATATGAATATGAATAATGTTTAGCTAATCCTAAAGTTGTGATGACAGTGATTGTTATGTAAAATACATGGTTTTCAATTAGTACGCTTGGACCCAACAGCCGCTACTGTTGCAGTGTCTTTAATCCTCAACGATTTTTTCACAAATGCAGTCCTGATGTTATTGAATGGCATTTCCACGGATAGCGTCAATAGGACCGACACGATTACAATGGCCAAAAATTCTTGGATATTCACCTGAACAAAAAAATCATATAAAACAATATATCGATGGTATACATTGGTGCATGTTATATTATTATAATACCTACCTACACAGTTTATATACATATATGTTACGCTGAATTCGCGAATTTGCCGATTTCATGAATTAGGCAGCCTTTTATACTGCCGAATACACAAATTCAGCAATACATTATTCAGATACGGATCCAGAACAAAGATCTGAGGGAACCCCAACAATTTTTTTACAACATAAATACAATTACAAATACAATTGGTTCTAATTTAGATTACCATAATAATTTAATCAACGACAATCTATTTGTGATTGTCCGGAACCAACTTTGGTGGCGACGTCACGCACTATTGTGGTATCAACAATTAACAAGTACCTAATTACGAAATTACAATATTGGATTCACTGTCCACAGATATATATACATATATATATATATATAACAAATTATAATATCATAAATATCTGTGATTGAAATACAGTAATATCAGGATCTATAGAATTATAAAAAAAAAATTGGAGAAATAATGTGTCTGGGGGAGGCTGGGCCCCTAGTCCTCTCCCCTGAATCTATCCTTGATACTAGTAGTATGTACACAGAATGAAAAGAATTCAAATTTTTTCTCTATGTAACTTAAAAAAAAAAAAACAATATTTTATCTTATTGATGTATACGGTTTTTCTATCGCCTAAATAAATTAATATACCGTTTACCTAAATCTAAATAAAATCTACGTATATTACATATTATTCAGTACTTATATAATTGGTTCATTAATTTTACGCAGTAAACAGTGGATTTAAAATAATTGTTATAATTATACCTTTGCTGGGTGTTACCACTGGGCATTTTCCCATATTCAAAATATTCATTGTCATTACTTATATTCTTACATTTTAGTTGCTAAATGTACTCTTGTATAAATTGTAATTTACTTTATCAAGTAAAAATAAAAAATTTTCCTACTTTATTAGGAAATGACAGCATGTAATTCGGCCAAGTCGTAGTTGTTGTAATACAGACGAATTTGGTTAACAAACAATTATTTTAAACTTTTTTTAACCTTTTTAATTAATATTAATTAATATTTTTTTTCCTAATCAATTATTTCAATTTAATGATTTTACAATTTTCAGTTAAAATTTGAGTATATACATAAAATATTATGTTACACACAAAATAAGGAAAGGTTTTTCTTATTTAGTTTGTTCTTTGTTTCCTATAGGTAATATATAATACTTATAATACTAGTTTTCACTTGAGTTATTTTTTTTAAATAATCAGTTCATGGAAATTTGACTGCATCATGATATTTGAATGACCCTGTATATATTAATAAACTGTAGAATAAGTACAACATATAGTGTAGGAATAATTTATTTCATTCCTTTTAATCCTATTGCAAAGATGAAACTCGTTGGTTTTGATATTATCCAATGCAAAGTCCAGACTAATTTTTTTATATTTTTAATTTAAAAATAGTAATATTTTATTTGCTTTGGAAATCAGAAGTGTATATGTTACGGTAAATGTAGTTATACTTATATATTAACTTATTTTGTGCCGTTAATTTTAATATTTGAGTAAATTGATTTATTATCAAACTTAAAGGTGAAAATATTGTTTGTGTTTATACGTTGATTTTTTTTTCGTTATTTTAATTTTTAAGCGAGATAGAATGATTTAAACATTTTTATATTTTACATATCCGTAACTCACTTAAAAATACAAATATCGAAAAAAATTTAAGGTACAAAAATAAACAATATTCTTATCTTTGGGTTTAATAATAGACAAATGCACCTTAATGTTAAAATTAACAGCGCATTATTGGTTTTCATACAAAAAAAGTATAAATATAACAACATTTACCGTAACTTAATATACACATTATGAGTTTTTGTAAGTCATTGATCGTAAGTCACTTGTATATGCAATTATAATAATGTACTAAAAATTGAAAGAAAACAAAAGAACGAAGCTTTGCATTCATATTTCTCATAATTAGGCACTTATTCCGGTCTTTCATTCCAATATTTTAAAAGACGCTTTAATTTTATGAAATAGGAACGCGGTTCTTTACAAAACTGAATGTAGGTATAAGCACCTACATGAATTATTTTATTTGAGTCTTTCACGTAACAATTTTGAATTGTATACAAATTAGTTTGCTATGTTATTATTTATAATGTCTTTTATGAAATTTAATTAATTTTGGCTCACAAATAATTATTTAAAAAAATTAAAAAAAAAAAAAAAACGAAACCGATTTTACTATAGGTAGCTTTTTTTTTAGACGATTCTTAAAGCTTTATTGTTTACTTTTAAATAATTATTTCTAAATCCATATGCACTTTATATATGCCACTAAAAACCTATAATTTTCGGATTGAAACCATTTGGCGATAATAATAATTGATTTTTATCAAAATTGGACTTACTATCAACCCAAAATGGTACTCCAACGCTGAACGATTACTTCCAACGTTATAGAAAAACACTGGAAATTGCGTCAAGTAAACCGTATACGATAAGCGCGTGAACACCATAAAACCTTTCCATGAAAACAAAGATGATACAAATCCTGAAAAAGAATTACATATATGTAAAAATGTACAATTATAAATATATTCATCAACAATTTAAAAAAGCCATTGATCAAAAATAGTTATATTATTAAACAGTTGCAACAGGTACAAATATTATCTACCTAATCTAAAACTCAGGTATACCTGGATTGGTCAAGTAAAAACAAAAATAATAACATAATATAATTTCACGGAGTATTATCCAAATCAGTGACGGATCCAAGGGGGGGGGGGTAATAGGGATGATCGAACCCCCTTTTTCACTGGTTTACTTTTAGCTAAATACTCTAAGCTTAATTCATCATTGAGTTCGTCATAAATGCGTGAATGTATTATTAAAAATGCCCCCTCTTCCGTTATATTGTCCTGAATCCGCCCTTGGCCAAATGATGAATAAAATTATAGGATATTAAATTTTAGTTATCAATTTAATGAAGAGGTATTGTCTATTTCGGCGTGGCCATATCGGCATAAATATTTTTTCATAAAATGATTTAAAGCTATAAAATATAATATAAAATAGTAGATGAAATAATGATTTTAAGCAATATAATATAATAAAATATAATTTTTCATTTTACGTTTTTTAAGTACATAATTTAAGTATGATGAATTAAGGATTTTAATTTTAAATATTATATCTATAGGTTGCCTAATTATATTATTACATTTTTGTCATTTTTATTACATATTTTATAATTCATCAGTATATGAATATTTATATTTTTATTGTATTTTTATACTTTTATTGTATATGGCATTACTACTATAATATAAATTAAAAATGACAACGAATATAGTATGTTTAAATAAAAAAAATATTAATTCTATTAAATAACTTTTAACTTATAAATAAACATCAAAAAGACCATAAGTCAAAATGGCCATACGCCAAAACGGCCCTACGCCAAAATGTCCTAGACCGTGTCTGATGACATTTTAATAGAATTTCAAAAAATGGTTTCTTGAAATGTACAATTTCACCAAAGGGATTTGAGGACATTACGCATTCAATAAAGGTTTCAGTCATTTTTCAGAATAAAAATAAAAATATCTCAATCATAACATTTCGGTTCTCTGTTATCATTTTATTATTATTTTATAGTTGCAGATTATACCTGTGCTTTTAGAAGAATAAGTGACACCATATACCTTCAATAAGTATAAACTTTTGTTTTTCAAATAGGAACCCTTCATTTTAAATATAGATTTGAATATAGAATATATGTCTAGAAATTTCGATATGCTTAATACTAATATCAGATTTACTGTTTATGAGTTATACGATTATAATT